GGTGAAAAAAGTGGCCAGGAGCCTGATAAATCCCACTGAGACAGCAGGGAGAGAGGCTGTAATCAGATGGCCCTGCAACCAATTTCCAATTTGGAAATCTCACATATGTATGGTTCAGTAGAGCCCTGAATCCTAGAGCTGTATGTGTGTGGGTGTGTGTGTGTGTGTATGTTAACTCACTACAAATTAAATTATTTTTTAATTTTACTGAATCCTTTAGCCAGTTTTAGTCATCACTAGCTTAAAAGCCGCACTGTGTGTGAACTTTTAAGCTAGATGCAGAGGGCTAATTTAACCTCCAGGCCAAAACTAAAGGAACCTCTGGTCGATCTTAGAAAACAGAAATGATAATTTTGAAGAAATAACTTTAAATTCCTCAATTCACTCCATGAAACTTCAAAACCTCACTTTAACTCTGATAAGTCCAATTTTTGCTGAAACTCTGATTTGTGCTGAAATTTCAATTCAGACCAAAAATTTAGTTCTTGAAATCACAAACTCTGTGAAGTTTCAAAACTTCACGTCATGAAACCTCTCACTTTAACTCTGATTCCTTGGCATTTTGAAAAAATAAAATTGATTTCCTCAATTCATAAAATTTTGGAGATATTTTAAACTAAAACTTTTAAATTCAATATAAATTAAAAAAATTTAAAATCATTAATTTTTTTTCAGTTGTTTTAAAATTTGAATTTTTAACTGTTCCCTCCTCATCCAAGCACAAATCCCAATGCTGGATGTTCAAGCACCAGATGAAGGGTAGATTTTTCAATCTTGGAATCATCATGTCTATGTAGAGCAAATGTCGTCTGATTTAGAGGTGTTTCAGGCACATGGATGGACGCACAGAATTTGCTGTTTGTTTATTTAGATTTTGGTATAAATGAAGAATATATTCACCTTGCATTTTTACATCAGGAAATATAAAATCACGTAGAAAAGAAATAAATAAATTTGAAGTCAGTTGGTAATATGCCATTTAAGAAAAATACTTGAAAAACATTTAAAGCAGTTTCTCTGGAAAGAAAATCCTTAGCTTTGATTAAAAATTATATAAGCTTAAAAGAATGCATAGTTCATTGAAATAATCATGTCTTACACTGCAGAAAATAAAGGATGGCGTTAAAAAGGTGATTAAAAAATTATACAAAGCAATATGTGAATGACAACAATAATAGGAAGGCCAATCTAAAGATTGATAAAATAAACAAGTTGTGTTGATATCAAGACAAATGCAGCATATAAGAAATTTAAGTATTTAAAAATAATTGCAAAACAAAACAAAAAAAGTCAAGAAAATAAAATAACAAATGTAATTGAAGGACTGATGAAGTTACAACAAACCATTTTGAATTGTGAAGCTTTTAAGAAAAGAAGAATTATCTTTGTATTATTAGCTTAAGATGTTGCTTTTTTTTTTTTAAATTCCAATGGCCAATGTGTTTGGTTTCTGGTTACATATTTAATGTGAAAAAATTAGATTAATAAGAATAGAACCTGTTAGAATGAATTGCAATAAATAATTGTCCTTGTAGACTTAGAATATATTGCATTTCATCACCAGTCTTCAGCACCAAAAATAATAATGAACTTGGCTTTAGAAAAACAAAAGAAACCGCTTTCCTTTTATATGGAAATTTGGCAGGGTTTTTACGTGGAACTAATAAAATATGTACACATAATAGCAATAATCAGTGTGCTTGTTTTTATTCTGTAGGGAACTTAGAACATTTCAAGGTGCATTAGTTATCATAATTGAATGATTTCAGAAATACAAACAGTTGTCCAAGATCAGCTAACAGCTTTTTAAAATTTTCTTACAATTTGAATTATCTTCAGTTAATCCATAAAAATCTAACTAAAATCCTTTGAGAAGGTTTGAAAAAGTTCTTGGTCAGACTGCTAAAATGTGACCAAATGACATTAGATATTCTTTGAAAGGTTTGTAGATGTTAGGATTGTGGGTTTTGTGTGTATTTTTTAGGTGAAGGTATGTGTTTAATATATAAACAAAAAATATAGAAGCAGCATACAAAACAGGAGTTTCTGCTATGGAGGTTTATTTCTTTTATGTTGATTGTATTTAAGCAAAGTTAAATGTCTCTTGAGGGTAAGTTTGTTTTTCCCTTTTTGGTTGAGAAATGATTTATGGGAAGTAAGGATAAGACAGGTAAAGATGGTCAAGTTCAAGTTAGACTCATGCTTAGTTGGGATGGCCAAATTTCTACTTCATGAGTAGGGCTGCTGAAAACAGGTTCAAACAATCTTGTTGGAAAGTGGAATGCATTCTGTCCTTTCCAGAAGTAGGGTCATAAAATTGCAAATGTGATCAGAAACATTTTCCGTTTTCTTTACAAGTTGCATCATGGGAAAATTAATTTATTTATTTGTTTTTATTATTTTATTTAATGATTTTATTTCATTTTACCCCACAGTTTTTCTTCCTTGTAAATATAGATGAAATTATTTTATTACGATTATTTTAAAAAATAGTTAAAGATTTCTTTACATATAAAACAATGAAAAATTTATGCAGTCTAGATAAGATCCAGTTTGTCTTATTTGATTTTATCGATGGAGACTCAGTTTCTCAGTCTTGCTGCTTAAATTGTTAGAGTCAAGACAGAATTGGTTCTAACAAAGATGGTGTTGGCTGTAACATATACAGAGTTTGTTGCAACATAGTGTTATTTGTTTCACAGGTAGAGTTGGCCATAATATGTACAAAGTTGACTGTAACATTTTGTTTTTTTTTACTAACTGTTCATTCAATTTAAGGTCTGAGGGCAACTGACGGTAGAGGATTACAAAATGAGGTGATTGCATGGATGTAAAAGTAAGAATTATGTGCAAATTATGAGTATATGTAGGACGATTTTAGACTTGAAGAGATTAAGATTGTAGTAATTGGGGATGCATTCTCTCAGGTGTATGTTCCAAAAATTAACAGTTCTGGAGAAGATATTGTCTGAGGGGAATTCCTCTTTACCAATGGAATATAAAGGGAATGGAGATGATTCAACATGGTGGGTCCTAGCTATAAATGTCTGAACTGATGAAACTAAGGAATGTAGCTCATTTGAACATTTGTCTTGGAAATAGCAACAGAGTAAGTCAGAGAGGAGTCATGTACTTTCTGGAGTTGTACAAGTAACTGACTTCTTTAGCAGTGGATCATATATAGATGCTTCACTTGTGATCTGGAGTGAACATGATATACGGAGTCAGTTGTAACAGGAAGAGAAAAGTTCATTTAAAGTTTAAATCTATTGGTGGAAAGAGGAGGACCAGCACAATTATAATTTAATATAATGTGCTTGACTGTCAGGAGACCAACCCATCAGTACCTCTCTTTTGGGAGGGTTCTAGGCTTAATATCTTGTGCCTGAGGTGTCTGCAAAGAGGAAGTATCAAAGGGGTTTAAGATACCTTAAGCTTGGATGTGCAGCTGGTGTAATGGACAACAGCTTGGAATTGGAAATCAGAAAGCCAGTTTCAATTTCAGTTGGGTTTGTTATATTCACTTATGTGCAAGTACTCTTGGGGAAAGGTATGAATCCATTTCTTCTCCCTCCAGCAATGGGTTAATTAGTAGGACTTGTATTCATAAATCCTTATTATTTCTAAAAATTCTTACAGTTTAAAAAAAAATTTTTTTGGTTTCAAATAACCTGCAAAATGTTAAGCTATAAAAAACAAATTGATCAAAATTTTCATCCTTAAGTAAAAAAATTACCACTTTGTCCAAGTAATAAGACCCTGACTGTTGATTCCTTGATTGCTTAAATCTTTTACTAACTCAACACCATAAGTGATTTGGTTTCTGTTATTTGGTACAGTCCTTTGTGATTCACCAATCCCCAAGGTTTGAAGAAGGATGTTCTTTGCCAAGACCCACAGGCTTCACTCACTCAAAGCCAGTTTTGGCCATTAATCTGAGAATTGGTTGTAAATAGTTGACAGTTATTTCTGAATAGGTTTGGCAACATGCATGCCATCTAAATGAAAGTTTTGATCTGATGAGTTTATTTAAGAACATATTTTGGTTTTGTAGTAACTTGCAGTATTGCATGAAATTACCTCTAGTGACACACTGTCTATAAGTAGAAAAAAAGGAAATAGTAAATAAATAAACAAAAACTTTTAGGATCAAGTGACACTTGGATGGAAGATAGGGAAGTCTGGTTATGGGTTTATATAGTCAGGCAAAGTCATGGTAAAAAGAGATATAGAAGGAGATACTGGTTGAAGAGAAAATCTAATCAGTTTGTCATGACAGAAAACAGAAGTAGCAGTGAAAATATCCCAAGTGTCAATTACCTACCCATCAGATAGTGCCAGGTGAACTGATCCATGAATAAAGGATCATGCTTATTAGAACCAACAGATTTCTTGTTTTTCTCTTACCAAAGTGAAATCTTGAGACAGCTGTATACAAGACTTTTTTGTGAGCTATCTTACCTTCAGTTTCTTTGTTTAACATACACTGGGCCTTTTCCAGTTTTGTTTATGGCAGTACAAACAGGATTTAAGCTACAGTATGGAGCTGACCAGTTAGTGAAAAACTGCTTAAGGAACCCAGGTGTATCCTCACACTAATCTTTAAGTGGGTAATGTTAATGATCCTGTGCTCTTCTGTTGTCAAGTACTTTCTTTACAGAGATACTGTGTTACTTGCCCAACTTTATTTCTCTTTTCTATTTCTTATTGATAAAGGACTTAAAATTAAATGTTGAACAAGAGGATCAACATATAATTTAAATGGAATTTGGTTGGTACTCTGTAGATATTATATAGGTATTTAATAAGCACAGATGGCAAGGGTCCATTAAGAAATCATAAAAGAAAAATATTTACTGTTGTATGGATTGATAAAAAAGAGACTCGATTACATTTATAAGTATGTCCAAGGCTGTTTTGGGCAAGTATGTTTCAATATAAATGGAAAGCAATTTCTAAAAGAAATAAAATAAATCAATTCTGACAGAAAGTGACATCACCTCTTCTGAAAATTCTTCAGATAACTGAGAATCCAGCTGTTAAATATAAATAAAAGATAAGATAAAAAACTAGACACCCAAAAGTATAAGAACATAATGCACACACACTATATATATATATATATATATATATATTGGTCACAAGTATTCATCCAAACAAGTTTGATTAAAAAGAACTGACAAGGTCTGTTTAATTTTTTTATTATACTTTTCCAACTTTATTCTTTATCCACAATTTCAAACATAATATGCAACATCTTATCTGAAAGTTGGAAAATTAAAGTATAATAGAAAATTAAACAAACTTTGTTCTTTATATATATATATATATATATATATATATATTTTTTTTTTTAATGCACATACACACACACAGATATATATATATATATATATATATATATATATATATTATGAGTTTCAGTGAAGATGATTGACCAGACACTATGATTAAGCTTTTTAATATATCCTTTTGCATGCATATAAGAGATCTGGGGGTGGAGCAATATAGTGTATGTAAGAACAGTTGAAATGGTCTTTGAATCTGAGCACTTTTAGTTAATCCATTATCAAAGATGTTTTCATTTTTCTTGATATGTTGATTTTTTGTTTTTTAGCAATAGAAATACTTTAATTCTTGAATACACTCAGCACATTTTGACTGTGCTCATAATTAATATTATTATTTTTCTGTTTTCCTGACAAATTAATGATGGTAATATTGGAAAGCTAAAGTTCTAACTACTTTTCCCTTTTATGCTGGTGACTGGCTGTTAAACCCACTGAGCTCTGAAATCATTTATATTTGTTTTCTTTCTATACAAATCTTTACTTTTTTTTCACTCGGTTACAAAATGGTTGAATTTAGACTAAATATTTTATAATTAGGGAAAATAATTATAAATTAATGCATGCGTTTCTACATTTATAGAAGATTTGTTTTCGATCTTCTAACTCAGTCTCTCATATTATGTTGGAAACTCCTTGTGAACTTTTAGAAACATTTTATTTTCTTCCTATGGAGGTAAAAATTGTTGGGAAATCAGTTTTGTGTTATGCTTTGTTTGAGTTGAACATTAATATTTTTAATTCATAAACAAAACTTATAAATAATTTATAATTTTTTTTTTTTCTTGTTAGAAAATTTTTTTTGTTTGATTCTGGCACTCATATTCAATCTGACACTGTAATACAGATTTGTCATCGGTAGCAGATTTCCTAGTTATACATAAAAACATTTTGATGTATAACTATTTTGACTTTTTTAATTGCAATATGTAATAAGACATTTCCGGAATATAAATTTCCCCCATTTTTTTTCTCACTATTTATGATAGTAAAATTTTTCAGTAAAGTTTAACCTTGATACCCACTAAAAACAGCATGTTTCAAAAGGACATTTTTTTTTCTTGACACCACTAATAGTGTGTAGTCTTTCAACAAATTTAAAAAGCTATTTTAGTGAATTTATGTGGTTAAATCAAATGAACGAAATGCTTAGAAAATGCTGCTACTCGTGATTGTGTTTATTTAAACTCTCTTGTTTTATTTTTAAGACATTTTTATAAATTTATGAATAAAAATTTGTTTTCATACTTATTTCTTTATAATATGGTAAATGATAAATATTGTATTGTCATTGGTTCACATATTTTTATAATAATGTAAATATAAAAATATTCTTGTAAATAAACAATCTAATAAAATAAATAGTGTTTAATTCTTTTGTTGTCAATTCTTGAGAAAAAAAGAGAATAGATAAATCCAGTTTCACATGTTTGAGTTTTATTAAATTTGCAAAACAATAAAAATTGCCAAGTGGCATCAAGGGAAAATTGTCTGCTTGATAAACTGTTTTTTTTTTTTCAGGAACATTTGTTAAATTTTGCTAGTTTTCTTCTTTTTTTAAAAATAATAAAAAGTATAAGATATACTCACACTTGGACTGATAACAGGCTGGGTTAGAGATTCCATGATTTCTTTATTAATCTGTCATTTGAAAGCAAATTAATGTGTGTTTAAACTCATTGTTTTAATTAAAAAAATATTTATGTCAAGATAAATATTTCAAAAACATTTTTGCTGAGCATTTACTGGATTAACTAAAACGTTTGTTGAGTGTTTGCTCTTAGATGATATTAAGAGCATTTCATTCAAAATGATAGCTTTTGATTTTGCTGTGAAATGTCAAATGTCGATTTTTAAGATAATTGTCAGAATTGGTGTATTTTTGTTTAGTTATTCTAACATTGAAGACTGAAGAAAATTAGCATCATTTTCAGCATTGTATGCTTTTTATATTTTATTAGATTCTAAGAATGTGATTAGTGATGGATCTACTATGAAACTAATGAAGCTTCAGCTTCAGGGATCCTAATCCCAAAGAGATCTTGAAGCAACATTTTTTTTTTTAATGGGCAAATCTTTTCAACAAAATCAATGATTTTTTTGTAAAGTGTTTGTTATAAAGTGATGTAATGGAATAACCAATCACCCCTCATGAATAATTACATTATAGGTAGTAAGTACCTATAAAGTCAACTGTCTACGAGAGACTTGAGGAAGAGTGAGAGTGTGTAGACATAAGCATGTCTGATCTTCCAATTAGTGACACTTACTACTAGATTGACCTGTGTGTATAATTGTACCAGAATTCATATTGTACTGGTTGTGTACAATAAACCTTTCTTCTATTATCCACCTGGTGTTGAGTATTTATTCCCTTAGCACGAAATATAACAAAGACAAAACCAATTTAGTGATAGAATCATAAGCCAATGGGTTGAAGAAGCTAATAATGGCCTTAGAATATTCTCTAATACCCATTTCATATGGCTTCAAAATTCTGTAGTTGATATAATTTTAAATTTTTTCTTGTGTTCTTGCAGTGCCTAAACCTACAAGTGTATGGGCTCATTGAGTACACCAGAATCTATTCATAGCATGCATTTTGGCAGTTCTATCCTCAAATTTATTGTTGCTGGTTGCAAATGGGCATCCATACCTGTCTAAGTTTCAGGGTCCCAAAATGTGGGTCCATCACACTGAATGTGACTGAAATGCAATAGCAAATTTGCTTCAATTATAAAGAAGATACTGTAAAAGACTGAACATGTCAAGTTTCGTTTACAAGTTTTGAGCAAGAGATTCTTCATGGAATGATGATCAATAGTTAGGTAAACAAGTTGATAGCATTCAAATCAAGGAATTACTTTGTTTGTCTTATGACAAACATGTTAAAATAAATGTCAGATCACTCTATGAGTGCTGATGGTACTCTGTAATCCAGTACTACTTGTTGCATGGACATGTCATTGGCAATTAAACTGACTCTCCACCAGGCTTTTCTTGTTAGTAGGCTGGCTAGATACTTAGCAGGAATAAAAACAAAACCTGTCAAAAGGAAGTTTAACCTTCTTGTAGGGTCAACATCCATCTAGCATAATGAAGTAACCTGGGATCCATATCTATATATTAGCTGGTGTGGTGATGACAGCATCACTGAGTGAAGGGCTTTCTAGACTGAATCAACAGCCACATGTCCATGAGTGAAGGTGAGTTAGAGGATAACAGCTGTGATTTGATCTGAGGAGAGAGAGGGATTCCAAGATTTACTTGCCCAAGACACATTACACATAAATGAATGCTTCCCTGGCTTTCAGCTCATATATATGTGGATTGAATATGTCAGTGACCTTACAACCACACTCAGTCATGTGAATGATAATGATATAAAACAATATTGGCTTACATTCAACATACTCGAATCAAGCAATAAATCATTTACACAATTGTGCTATGTTAGTCATTTTGAAGTGTGGCTTCCACATAAGCAAAAAAATCTCCTGAACCATATTTGTGTGTGTGATCTGTGAATAAAATATAATGAAAACATTCCATTGTAATGTGTAGTAAAAAGTATCTACTTTAACAATGTTGAATGTAAGAGATTGTAAGGCTAGCAAAATGAACCAATGGCCAGTCTTCACCCAAAGAAGATGAATGCCATATAGAAATTAATATTCTACTATAATATTCTTCTGGATGACCAACCCATTAATTCAAAGTAGTAATGTTTCTAATTAGTCCAATTTAATACAGCAATCAGCAAAAAGTGTATGTCTGGAATTAGTTAAGAGAATGGACATAATATTCTGTCTGGAATTAGTTAAGAGAATGGACATAATATTCTATCAGGAATAATTGTAGTCCATCAGAAAAAGTTATTATAACATGACTGAGAATTTTTCATTCATCCATCACATTCAACAGATACCGAACCTTTGGATATATTCTAGTCCTAACAGTATTCTCCCAATGAAAAAGATTTCAATTCTCTAAAAGATTGCAAAAAATAGTAACTAGTACTGTTCTTTACTGAGTAAAATAAAAAGTTCTGGGAGAAAAGAATTATTGAGTTACTTGAAAAGTAGCAAATATATTGAAGTAAAACAATAAATCAGTTGTTCAATGAAGTTAGTTTTGAAAATTAATGAAATATCCTATTTTTACTTTAACTGAGCAAACTTTTGGCTAACTCAATATGTTGTTCAATGAAATCAAACTTAAAAATGAAGAAAATGTTTTATTTTGACTTAATTTTTCTGGCCAACCCATTATGTTGTTCACCAAACTTAATGACAAAAATTAGAAAAAATTTTTTTACTCAAACTGAACATAATTTTGTTTAACCTAGTATTATTGTTCAATAAAGTTAATATTGAAAATTACAAAAATTATTTATTTTTAGTGGATAAAATTAATGAAATTTGTATATGTTATCAAGCTTGTGGATTTTGCGTACATTTTTTTTTTTTTTTAGGTGAAAGTGCATGTTCAATATATAAAGAAAGAAGCTAAAAGAAGCATACAAACTTGAGTTTCTGCTACAGACATTTTCTTTTTTTATGTTGACTGCATTGAAACAAAGTTAAATGTCTCTTAAGTATATCTGTTTTTATTTTTGGTTCAGAAATAATTTATGGGAAGTAAGGATAAGAATGGGTAAAGATGGTCTAGCTCAAGTCAGCCTTGTGTTGAGTTAGGATGGCCGAGTCTCTACTTCAGGAGTAAAACTGCTGAAAACATGTCTGAATGATCTTGTTAGAAAGTGGAAAGAGAAAGATTCTGTCCTTTCTAGAAATGGGGTCATAAAAATTGCACATGTGACCAGAAAGCCTTTCCGTTTTTTTTTATAACTTGAATCATGGGAAAATGAATTTATTCATTGGTTTTATTTCATTTTCTACCACACTCTTTTTAGGCTGTGCATTAAAAGAAAAGAATTTAATCAGTATAAATCAAAGAGAATGTGATTAGGATAAAAATAAAAACAAACTTGTGTTCAAGCAACTATCCATACCAGAAGTTATATTTGTAGAGTGCCCAGAGACCATCAAACTCACATCAGCTATTGATTGTTCTGTGAGATTAACTTGCTTACTGTTACACTATGGTAATATTAGCCATTTCCTTATAAGGAAACATTTAATGATCAAGCAAAGCCACTTTTGGTTCAAATTTAAAAAGTTTTTCTTTGAAAGGAATTTTTCAAGAAAATAGGTTTCTCTAGTCCAGTCACTGTTATCACTCTCTTGATGGAGGATTTCTTCCAAAACTTTTATTTGAAGTGGTGTGGAATATTAATATTTTGATTAAGAACATTATTTTCTCTTTGTAATCACCATTTTAGTTGTTTCTGCTGTTGAAAGTCCTCAAGTGATGTAGTTTCTGTTATCTGGTACAGTCCTTTGTGATTCACCAATCCCCAAGGTTTGAAGAAGGATGTTCTTTGCCAAGACCCACAGGCTCCACTCACTCAAAGGCAGTTTTAGCCATTGATCTGAGAAGTGGTTGTAAACAGTTGACACTTAAGATATTTTTGAATGGGTTTGGCACCATGAATGACATCTAAATGAAAGTTTTGATCTAATGAGGTTATTTAAGAACATTCTAGTTTTCCGATTAATCTTTTGGTTTTGTAGTAACTTGCAGTGTTGCATGAAACTACCCCTGGTGCAGCCTATTCTATGTTCAATTTCCCTATTTCCTATGCTAAATTTATTATAACTGATCCATACACTGTGATATTTGAAGTGTTTAGTGTTTACTAAGTTTTATGATGGATTCACAGGTACATGCCATCCTTGCTTTCATTTCAATTCCAGATCATAGTTTCTGTTTTCGAAAGGTTTATCTTGACTTATTTCTTGGAACACTTGGTAGAGAATGTTGATGTTTTTGTTCTAGGTCATTCTTATTCCAACTGTGACTACCTATGATGTTGGTATACACCCCCATCATCATCATCTATACACTGGCTCAGGAGGGAAAACAGAAATGTTGTCCCCTATTTGTAGATTTGTTTGAAATATGGTATGAAATACTTAAATGATTAGTGTCTATCCCTTTGTATATGTGCAGGACAGTCTAGGAAAAGATTAAATAGACGAGGAATCTCATTTCTTCCTTGTCATATTTCTGATGAAGTTTGAAATGTTTCAGTATTGAAGTCCTCACCAGACATGTATGATTTTGTGAACCAAATATGGGGGTAAGGTTTCTTCTGCCAGTTTTCACAAGCTTATGTGAATGGATAACAGAACAAGGATAAGGTGGATGGTAAAAGGTCAAAAGAACAAAAAAAAGGTAGTTGTGGAGTGCCATAACCGCCTACATCTTGAAGAGACATCACACATAAATGAAAATGTGGTTATACAATCAAAGAAGTATAAGTAAATTGAAACTTACTGCATCAACTTGTATTTCTATATTCCGCCTTTTTTGAAAAATTTCCAAATTCTTTTGTGCTTTCAATGACCTTTCTATCAAAGGGAAATTTGTTACTTCAAGAGGGATGAGAAAGGCCTGAAGGAAAACAGAAAAAAATAATTAAATTCTCTAAAGTAATAATTAAATACGTTTTCAAGTGATAAATGGCAAAACCCTTTTTCTATTTTATTTGTATCACAAATTAAAAAAGTAGTATAACTGCACATGACTAAATATTTATGTTTAAACAATGGACAAAAGCCAGGAACATTCTTTTGGGATTTAGTAAAATTTTTAATACAGAATTTTTGCAGTCACTTTATTTGTATCAATTGTGACTGATTTTTTTTTTTGTATATGTTCTAAATTTCACCCAATACAAGGCTTGAGAGACACTCAAGGTAGAGGGTTACCTTCAAAATGGTAAAACTGAATTAGAAGCATGATATGAATGGAAGAGAAGATAATAGGATAAGGAGAAAAGATAATGATTGACCTTGAAGTCAAGATTGAAGTGTTCAGAGAAGCACCCATGCAAGAATGTATTTCACAAAATAAAAGTTATCGGGGGAAAAGCTGTGAGTGGAACTTCCTTCTTACAGAGAAAACAAAATAAATGATTTGACTCTGTGGAAGTGGTGTGTTTTAGTTGTAAAGTTCAGAACTGGTAGAACTAAAGAATGGAGCTAATCTGAATATTTGCCATGGAAATAGTGATGGACTAACAACAATCTTGCAGCATTTCCTCTGTGGGGAAACAGGTTGCAGAATGGAAAATAATTTGTCAAGCAGAAGACCATGTAAACAATTTGAAACTATCAAGGCTGGAAAGTGAAGATTTGTAGCTCCAGCTCACATATAAACAGCAATACTTCATTTTTGGTTTAATCTAAGTCTTGTAAAGATAAAACATAGCAGCAAAGAATCAGATATTTCCTGAATTGATATAATAAGCATTTGTATATAGAATCATTATCACAGTGAAGTTATGTCAACTGAAACAATTTTAGCTTTACTTTTGACTATGTATTGTAGAAAGTTGAAGCGGTGAAAATTTGCTTTTTCCAAAAATATTCAACTTGTTCACAAAGAAAAACGAAAGGAAAAAAAGAAAGCAGTGTAAATCCAAATTTTTTTTATATTCTGGAAAGTTTTTCTCGTGTTTTACAAAAGATTTTAGTCCAGTTTCTTCTAATGAGGACAATTTTCATACAACAGTTGGTAGACTAAATGCAAAAACTTTTTTAATAACGCCTCTCATTACTTTGACTTGGACTTATTTCAACTGTTTCTCTGACTACTTGATACATTGTCCTTTTATTTATATTTGATGCATGAATGTGATAGTAGACATATGAATATACATCAAAATTCAACAGAAAGATGCTTGGCTCTATCTGCATGTGGGTGGCTTAAAATCGGAAACTTTGCAGATTAATAATTTTTTCAAAACAGTAATTTTTATCTTTCCCTGTAAATTAGAAGTTGATTAAATTTTATTTTAAATTGTTATCCAGTCAGTGAGAATATCATGTCTTAATAATTTTTAATAAATCTTTTTTTATTTTGTCTGAATCTCTACAATTTGTTCAACTAACCAAATATTAATTTATATATTAATTTATATATTAATTTATATATTAATTTATATATTAATTTATATATTAATTTATATATTAATTTATATATTAATTTATATATTAATTTATATATTAATTTATATTATATTAATTTATATATTAATTTATATATTAATTTATATTATTTATATTAATTTATATATTAATTTTATATATTAATTTATATATTAATTTATATATTAATTTTATATATTAATTTATATATTAATTTATATATTAATTTATATATTAATTTATATATTAATTTATATATTAATTTATATATTAATTTATATATTAATTTATATATTAATTTATATATTAATTTATATATTAATTTATATATTAATTTATATATTAATTTATATATTAATTTATATATTAATTTATATATTAATTTATATATTAATTTATATATTAATTTATATATTAATTTATATATTAATTTATATATTAATTTATATATTAATTTATATATTAATTTATATATTAATTTATATATTAATTTATATATTAATTTATATATTAATTTATATATTAATTTATATATTAATTTATATATTAATTTATATATTAATTTATATATTAATTTATATATTAATTTATATATTAATTTATATATTAATTTATATTTTTAAGCACTGAAGTATCAACAAATATAATTCGACTTAAATTTTGATGAAAATGATATTCATTATTAAACATTGCAGCAATAAAAAAGAATTCAACAACTGAAGATATTTGTCAAATGTAATTGGTTATAGTCTTACCTTAAGAGTTCTTCCTTTCACTTTCATAGTATCAAAGCATTGTTTTTTGATAATATCTTTCAAATAAAGTTTGGTAAGATTCTCGTGTTCAATTCTTTCATAAACCTGCACAATGGAAAATAGAATGTATTTACTAAGTGTGGATAAAGATAAGTGGCTGTATATGATACAGAGACTGAGTTTTGCTAGTATACTTACCTGTAAGACAGCTTCTTTGGCTTCTTGCTGGAGACGTGTCTGCTCTTCAACATCAAGATCAAACTCATAGCGTTCTAGCTGCTCAATTTCTGGAAGGTTTGCATTACGAATCAGCATTTTCTTAACCTTTTATGAACAAGATAATAATGTTTATTGAATTTTAATTTCATGTTTAGTCCAAAATATATTCTCTTAAATATACAAGGGGTGGCAAAAGTAGGTATACAATACATTGTGTGTACCTACTTTTGCATTTTTATTAACACTTTTTGTTTTCTAATTCTGCATATTTAACAATGTTCATAATTTGATTTTGGCTTGGTGCAGAGAAATATTTAATTTGGAAATTGTAGAGTGAGTGGCCATGGTTAAATGTAAATAAATGGCGGAATTGTCCAACAAACAGAATTAACAAAGTTTGCAATAAGCACTAACAAGAAAAAGCAAAGAATAGGGCCAAAAATAATATAAAGTAAGCAAACAATATATGCAAGGCAAATTAACAGCAATAAGGCAAAGCAACAGTAATATGGCAAAAAATTCACAAACTAAGAATTGGGGTTGACATACAAGAGCAAATTCAGATAAGCAAACGTAGCATTCTGACTTCAGGACAAGACAGACTGGAACCGAGTCATATGAAACTGAGAACTCGCCTATTTTATAGACTAGGAAGAAATTGCCATATTCATTTGTATAATTTTACTTATAAATTGGGAAGGGAAAAGTCATTCCCACTTGGGATTGGAACCAACAAAAATATCCAATTAGAAAACTTGCCACCCTCTGGGTCACTTCCTTGTAGATATAATTGACCCACTGATTGGAAAGTCACCTTCATATGTCTGAAACTCCACCCACTTTGTGGAAATAATCAAAGATGCCTCCCCATCCTATTCAACCAGATGGTGAGCTTGGACGTGGTGTGTTTGTTCACCAAAGTACCCAGAGAGGAGGCATTCTCAGTAGTCAGAGGCAGATTGGCCTCTGACTCATCCCTAGAAGAACGGACCAGTATTCCAATAGATAATCTGATGGGGATGTTGACTTTCTGTACACAAACAACACACTTCGGAAGTGATCGCACATATATTGACAGGCTTGCCATTATCACCAGCAATGGCGATATATACACGGAATACTTTGAGGAAATGGCATTGGAGTCTATATCTCTAAAGCCAACTATATGGTTAAGGTACGTAGATGACACCTTCATACTCTGGCCAGATGTTCAGGTTCTACTGGACCATGTGAAATCAATAAGACCTTCGATACAGTTCATGATGGAGAAAGAGAGTAACAGTACATTCCCATCCCTGGATGTTCTATCTCAAACAGAGCATGGGTCCAAGACATCCGTATACTGCAAACTGACATTCACCGGACAGTACCTTAATTTCAACTTCTTCCATCCATACAGTGTAAAGAAAAGGATTGTCCACTGCTTACAACACCAAGCAAAAGTCATAAGTGGCAACCCAGAGACATTAGATAAAGAATTGGTCAGTATAACTAGTACCCTATAACGTAACTACCCTGGGTACATGGCAGCAGCCCCCAAAAACTGGGATAGGCGGGTACAAGAGGAAGAGAACAACTCTCAGAAAACAGTCTGCCTGCCTTATGTGAAGGGGTTATCAGAGAAAATACAAAGGATCTGCAGTCCATATAACATCAGGATAACCTTCAAAAGTTGGACGGCACTTTGCAGATATCTCTCCTGAGTAAGACCCAAGAGGAGAACATGACTAAAGACTGTGTGTACACCATCCCATGCAGCTGCGGAAAGAAATATAAAGGAGAGACAGGCTGCTCCATTAAGGCAAGGCTTCAAGAACACCAGAAAGCTGTAACACAAGGGGAAGTGGAAAAATCAGGTGTGGCTGACCACATATGGATGGAAAAAGATCACCACCCTCTGTGGGATCCAGTTGAAATCATAGACAAAGAGTATCATTGAAAAATTTGTAAACTTAAGGAATCATCAAATATGCTAGGCAACAAAAATCTCCTGAGCCAATCAAGCATAGAAATGAATACAATATGGGAACCAGTAATAAAGAGTGCCAGAGAAAAGCGATAATTATAATGAAAATTGCAATATGATCTCTGGTAAAAAAAATGGTTGCTGAAGACATTAGGTTTATAATACCTAGAAATTCATACACAGATGTCCTCAAATAAAGGCATTAGTTAGATCCAGTGACAGGACCCAAAGAATGTTTCAATACCTGGTTAAGGCGGTGGAGAACTTGGAGAGGTGAACTAGAACAGTCTACTCCATCAAGTGAAATAAAGTGTTCAGTTTGACATTCCAACCACCTGAAGAAGGCCAGAGTATACAACAGCCTAAACATTGTGATAAATGTGGTAACAAAGATGAGGACAATAGTCTGAATAATGTAAATAGTGTACATAATACCTCATCTCAGAAATATAGACAGATAAAAAACTTGAGATTTATTGTTTGATATAAAATAAAAACAAAAAAGCATCTAAGATATACTGAATTTTATAAGGAACAATTTTTTCAATAATGGTTTCATCAAAGTCCTCACTCTTAAACCGAGGAGAAAGTTTAAATTTCTGGGATGTGTAGTAGTAGGCAATGTTTAATAAATAAAACAAAAATATTTCTTAAATCCCCTGAAAAATATCACCGACTTATCTTCATGAGACCTCATTGACATCAACACCAACATTCTAAAGACGGATCAATCAGTTGACTGTTTCTCAAACCAGATACTTGGATAAACAAAAAAGATCAAAGACCCAGTACCAAAGTGAAGGACACTTCTACATGAAGTCACTGCACTCCCTGACCACTTACCAACCTCAATATAAACCCAAGAAAAGAGGGCTTTGAGGTCAGTTGTCTTCTACGTTTTTACCAGAAAGTGAGACATGCTGTTCCATTCCTCTAACCATCAAAGAACTAATCTGGATGACTGCTTATTACAGAAAAGGAGAGGTCTCTCTTGCTCTCTCTGTGTTCCAATGTACCATGAGCTATGAATTCTGTTTAATAAGAAGGAATTTATATTTCTAAAAAGAAAATAAACTTCCCAAAATAGTGTTCACTCAGTGTTCATTCATTTTGAATATAAAAACCAACATTTTGCCCCAACTTACAGTGATTCAATATGAGGAAATAGGATGGAAAATTAAATACCAACAGGATATACTGAAGTCATACAGGGCAGAGGTAAAACAGTGAGTAACCTAGCTAATAGGTTTGGGAGAATTGATGGCAAAGCAAAAACAAAAAGGGATGGTAAAATTTCAAATGTCGCTTAGAGCAACAAGGGAAAAGAAGTTGTGGAGAGCCATGTTTGCATATTAACTGAAGTGACATATTCAAAAAAAAAAAAAAAAATAAAAATAAAAATGCTTTCAACTTCTAATGACACATGAACATGAAAAACAAAAAGTATGACAATTTCTGCAAAGAGTCTAGTCACAATATTTCAAATTTTTAATCACATATAACTCAGAACAGATGCAATCATTGCAAAGGCAGCTTTGCACAAGCAGCTCAATGTTTAAAGCAAATGACTTGGATCCTGCGAGTTTTGGAAAATCTCTAACCAAATTTTAATAGAAGTGTCAGATATGCCAAATTTTTCTCTATGTTAGATGACAAGGGCCATTCTCACAGAGCAGAAACTTAGTAATATTTCTATCACAACTCAGGAAGTGTCAAGACTTATCAAAATCTGTGACCCTAGGAAGGTTACCCAATCCAGATAAAATCCCAATAGCTTTCTTTAAGAATATTAGCCTTGAGTTATCTCCAGTCTTAACAAAATTCTTCAATTGCTGCTTAAAGGAAAACTTCTTGAAACAATGAAAGGTGTCAAGTGTATGCTCAATTTTTTAATAATTCAGGTGAGTGCTCATTCTCATCTCAATATCAGCCCATCAGCCTCCTCAGTGCCAACAGTAAATTCTTTGAGGCTATAATCAACATGGAAGTTGTTGAGCATCTCAACAGAGACAACCTCTTACACTTTGTCCACTACTGATATCCTAATTGACATTACTCACAGAATCAATGAGGTATTAGACAATATATACATCACAAGTACAATCTTATTAGATATACTGAGAGCCTTTGAGAAAGTGTGCTATATCGAGTTACTACACAAACTATCCAGCTAGGGAACCAATGGAAGAGTCTTCTTAATTATCAATTTCTTCCTTGAACACGTAAGTCAATGAAGCTAGTTGTTAATTTCCAGTTCTCCAAGGCCCATGAGATCAATCCAAGCATCCTCCAAGATCCACTTCTAGGTCCAACCCTCTTTCTGCTTTATATTAATGATTTACCTAAGAGTATATTCTGATCTCTTGTGAATATCTATGCAGATGAGACAATGCTATATGGGTGCAGCTCCCAAAATCTAGATGACAAGAACCTGGAAGCTTGTAACATTCCATCACCACCAAGCAGTCTATCGCAATGGATGATTCTTCTCTCAAAGAGGCCCTTTGCTTTGAATGCTTATTAGGACTTAAGCTCACTCTAGACATCAAGTGTATCTTGTATATATGATACATTAGCAGTATAACCCGCCTTCGACCAGGTGTTTAATTAGTGGGAATTTTTGTCATTCACTTCGAGCAGTTTAACTTTAAAATCAGCCCACCCGAAAATCAATATTAGTAACAACAACTGGGTGCAACTGAGACACATCCCCAAATGGGTGGGGGACAATTTGAAATGGGGTCCTGAAAAGGGACGTTTTTGTGTACTCAATCTTGCAAGGAAAGAACATCTTCCATGGACCATCATAATATACGATAATTTTTATTTATAATATAATTTTTTTAATAATTCTAATAATCTCTCGAGTTAGGTTTCAACTCTCTAAATTGTACACTGTTTTTTTTACAGACATTAAATTTTGCCTTTGTTTTTGCGCAAAGTGTAAAAAAATCAGTTTTTTCAATTTTTCACCATCAAAGTTGTAATTTTTTCCAGCCAATTTGGACTCAAAACCAGCACTGAAGAATTATATATCAAACAAAAAAATTAATTGAAATCAGATGAAAATTGTGGTAATGCATAAGCAACATGTGATCATACACGCATTGAGAATTATAGATATAGATTGCTAAAGATGCTGGAAAAAATGTTTGGTTCTCTGTAGCACTCCACTAAGTACCTGACTCTTCTTGCTATGCTTTATCTTTACAAGAGCCAGATTATGCTGAAAATGGATTACTGCTGGTATATCTAGGCTGGAGCTGTCCATTTTTCTCTTTCCAGAGCTCAAAAACGTCTACATGCCCTTGTGGGTGATGAATTGTTTTCCACCTTACAACTCCTTTTCCTTGATATAACATTGTAAGCCTCTTGCTACATTATTACTATTTCCACGGAAAATGGTCAGAAAATCTACGTTTCTTTGTTCCTCAAATGCTAACCCTCCCAGTTAAAACCTACCATGCCATATACATTGAGGCAAACCACCTTCATTCCATTTGTATTTCTTTAATAAAGAGTAAATTCCACTCAGTTACTCCAAGAAATATTGTTTTGTGAAACATAATCCCAAGAAGGATGTTTTTCTAGCCATTACAATCTTAACATCTATGAATCTATGGTTACCTTTCTCACATATATCCTTATAAACTGCAACTCTTATCACTTATTCAACAACTACCTTCAGTAACTCTCTCTCTCTCTCTATATATATATATATATATGTCTCTCTCTCTCTCTCTATCTCTCTATATATATATATATATATATATATATATATATATATATATATATCTATGTCTCTCTATCTATATATATATATAGCTGTTGGTTGAAAAGCGTTTTGCATCGCCTTCACAAAACGGTTCAACCCACGTCAAGTTGGATTTGGTTAAGATCAAAACAAGCAAATAAAATGCGTGCAACATCACGACCTAACATGCGCAAGTGAGATATTATCGTGGTTGTCTATAATGACTTTTACGAGCGCGTCAATAACAGCAAATGCGTTCAAGGAACTTTCATTGCAGATAGATTTTACTTAAAGGAACAATTAGTTAGCTTATCTTCATACCCTGCCTGGTGGCAAACGCTGCTGGTGGCGCCAGGGGTGGTGGTCCCGCCATAGCCACCGAAACCGTGAGATCACCTCTGGTTGGCGGCTGATGAAGACAGGGTATCGCACGTGTTAGCACACGTTGTATGTTAAAAATATCTTAGTTTCTCTCTCTCTCTATATATATATATATATGTGTGTGTGTGTGTTTTCTGTGTGACACCTTGAGGGTTGAAAGGATAGCGTGATTGCTACACCGATTTATTAAATTTATTAAATTCAAGATGTTTGTTTTTTTCTTCTTCATTGGTTAAAAGCAAGCCAGAAACATTTGATTTTCAAATTTTCTCTCTTGATCAACTTTTCCTTACTGGGTCTTGGACAACAGATAATTTCATAACCTGTATTTTAAAAACAACAGTTTCTCCAATTTGGCTTTTACACCACCTCTTCCATTCCCCATGTTTTTAAATTATCCCAATGGCTCTTTCAACTCGTGTCCCAAAAATAAAAATAAAGCCATTTTATTTCCAGCCAGCCCACACTCCTGATTTGGACATCAGTCTTCATATCTCTATTCTTCAGTTGATGTGCTGACAACCCAGTATTTACCAGGTCCATTTCATAGTCACTTGTCAACTTTGGCCATATGGTTTTGTAAAAAAAAAAAAAAAAAAATCAAATGTTTCTGTCTTGCCTTTAACCAACAAAGAAAAACAAAACCTCTGAATTTAATAAATTTTGCCATGTCTCTCAGTATACCTATTAAGCTGTCCCTTCAACCATTAAGGTGTCACATCTCTCCCTTACCCTTCCTGTCATTTACTTGTAAATGACACACAAATCCCCAATTTGTCATGCATTGTTCCCCCCCTATGCCTACTATTGCATGCAATAGGGATAAGAAAAGAAAAAATTCTCTTTCTTCATGGACAGTTTTCAAGAGTTCCTTCTTTCTCTGCTACATCAATGTTTTCCAAAGAATCTTTTCTTCTGTTATATCATGCAATTTTTAATTTTATGGGGGTTTAAGAAATAAGTATTTTGTACTTATTAACATATAAAAACCTGACATCATACAGGCATTAGATTCTAAGTAATGGATACAAACATTCAAAACCGATCATCATTGACTATATATATATGCGTAGGCCAAACAAATGCTGTTTGACAGATAGGTGCAAATGATGTTAGCCAGGTCCATAGTCGCTGGCCAAAATGAATGCTGTTTGACAGATAAGTGCGGATGACATTAACAGGGTCCGTGAATGACGCAAACCTTTTTTTGGGGCCAACACGTGACTCAAAATATAGCAGTTTTCGTTTCACACGTGTTGAGGTAACAACAATCTCACATAGTTGCTGGCTGTCGGAGGAGTTGAACGTCACCAAAAACCAGTCTTAGCTATTTGCCATTAGAAGAAGCAGTTGTCACCAGAACCAGATTTCATTGTTTGATGCCAGAAGAATTAGATGCCACCAAAAACCAAAGGACCGACGTGAGAATCTAGATCAACATCGTCAACCCAAGTCGGCTACACTCCCATGGTTTTTCTGTGTATTCTCCTCGCCATCAACCTGGATTGGACGTCGCCAGTCAAAAATTCATATTAGAACATCGTCAATCCCACCCTTTGCTTTCAGAGAGGTGTATGAATATCCTTTTGAACAAACTGTACCCCGATAATAGTCAATCGATGTTGATTCCAACCTTATGTAAGTTTCTGCATGTTTTTCCATATCTTATAATCTGCTATCTTCGTATTCATATGCATTTCGCCACATTAATATCTGTTTAATTGGTAACTTATCTCCCCATCCCTTGTATTATTTAGTTTTCTTTTTCTTACATTCACACTTTGTGTATTCTATAAATAAAATCTTTGTATTATATATTCTCGTGTTGTCTTCTGTTGTTCTGTGTCTGCGTATAGTTCATTTTTGTTTACGGATGTCCAAAATTGGAGAATTCCTCTCTCAACGTTCTTTTCTTTATTTTTATATCGAACCTTGGGATCTCTTCTTTTTTTTTTATTTTCTTGTTGTGTCCCGGCTATCGTAGTCCCAACGAAACCCCGGGTGTAACAGTATATTTACCAATTTATAAACCATTGCCACTCTACTTATCTATTAAACACTTTTTTGACAAAATTCTACTGGCCTTAAAAATACATTAAATTCTAGTCATTTTTAGTTATTGAGATCATTGAAAAAAAAAATACACTTTTTTATTGATACAACAGATATACATACAGTTTGCCGCATTTGTTTAATTGAGTCTTTGATGTGCTTCTTGGCAGCAGCAAACTGTTTATTCTTCTCATGTAAATGCTAAAACAAGAAAATATACATTGGTTATTAAATTTAGAGAAATGAAAATATTCATCTTTTTCTGAAATTTCATCAATTAAAAATTTTCAATGTCAAAATGACATGCAGTAAACAAAGTCTGATGCTCCTTATCTTTCTAGTGGGGTAGAGAAACTGACCTTGGCTTTCATGATTTCTATCCAGGACCCATTTAGAGGAGGAGTCGACATATCTGGGGAAGACTCAGTACTTTCTTCTGTTGGAGATGTTTCGGTTTCCGTTTCTTTTTCTGGTTCTTCTTCCTTTGCATTCTGAATGAAATGATACACCATTGTTAAAAGTGACAAGACAATTTTAAAATAATTACTGAAGAGAAAAGATGGTCAAACCTTTAGCATTTAAAACATTATTTACATTTAGACTAATGTCCTTATCTTTGTTGTTATTATCACAACATTTTGGCCATTGGGCTCCCCAGCCTTATTCAGATGTCTATTGATCCAGGTGACCTATAGTTAATTTTGAAATGAACCCTTTATTTACTCTACAAGAGTAGACAACAGCCTAGTTGATGTAGCAAAAAAGGAATGGCTGTTTGGAGCCACAGTTTCACTGTCTTCTTTTCAATCATAATTGGTGGGACTACCGTGAAACTCCACACACACACACACAGCATAACCACTCAACTCATTGGTGTCTGCTGCCCGTCTGATGTTCTCTCACTCATTTATTAGAATGGCTGAGGTATAAGCCACAATTTTGTCTTGCAAAATCACTGAGTTTTGAGATCAAGTTGTTCTTAAAATGCAGCTTTTGCATCAGCCATATTTTCTTTCATGTATTTCAATGTGAGACATATTTTGTTTCAGGAGGTAAGCCATTTTCCCTTTATTAAAGTGTTGGTTCATGAATTTAGTCACATAGTAATTGTGAATTCAATCCCTGAACTGGGAAATACAGATTGGGACTCAGTGGAAACTGTGTAGTTGTACTAAAGATGAAATATCCATAGGCATAGACAATGGAACAAGAACACTCTTCTCCTGTGCATCAAATAAAGGGTTCAGTTCAAATTTCCCTTAAGGTTCTCAGATTGACAAACACCTGAAGAACGCTGGAAAGCACAGAGGCTAAAATCATGTGATACTGTTGTGGTCTTGTTAGGGAACAGAAATAAAGCCACAAACAGAGGAATTGAGTTAAACATTAACAGAAAACAGTAATACAAACATATACAAACAATAGTGTTACAAGAATGTTCGGCCCCACTGTCAGAGTTGACTGCTGGAAACTTCCCTCTCCAAAAGGCAATACCTGCTCCTATTTATAGCTGGGAGAGTCCATGCATGCATGGGTAAATTACCATAACAGATATTAACAGCAAAGATTAGAACATTAGTCCAAATGATAATATAAATTTTATATCAAGGACATCACCCTAGAAATTCAGATAGAAATTAGTTGAAGTATTTACAAAAGAATAATATTAAAAAACTATCTTAATATAGTCTTGTGTGCCAAATGTAAGCACAGACATTGATCCACATGTCAGGGGTAAGATAAACCTATTGTATTCATTAAGAGATGACATGTCTATGAATTCATTAACAAATGCAAGAAGATACAATCCTATTTACCAATCCACTACACCTCCCTGAACCAAAGAGGTTTAATGCTTCAGGTTGTTCTCAAACTTATTCTAGAACCTCTTTTCTCCTCACCCACCTTGAGATTTATGCCTTGTTCTTTTTAATGGAGATTTTGATCTCATTTCATAGTCACTCCTGTCATCATCTACTGGCTTCTCTTCTATTGCATTGTCCTGATCTGAAGAACTCATCATTTCTTCCTTTTCAATTCTGAGTTTTTCCTTTCTTTAATATAATGGCCATATTATGTCCTCTTTGCATGACAAAATTAGCTTCTCTCAGGGCTTGCTACTTTATCTTTCTTATACCACACTAATGAATCATAATTCCTAAGTCAATGATTGAATAAGCTCCTTGCGAGTTTGACAAGTATTTTATAGCTGTGGAAATTTCCCTATTGCATTGTTAAATTTCTGGGATTTACAATTTTAACAAAATATTATAACAATCATAAGTATGAATGTAGGTTATTAAAGAAGTAAGAGGGTACAAATGAAAAGACTTGAAATTAAAGTTTTTCCATTTCACTGAAGCAGATGTTAAACACATGAGTTTTATTGTTTCCTCCTCATTTTTTCTCATTGAAATCAAACAATGTCTGATGTCTTTTTCATCTTTCCTTTCATTTTTCCATAGTCCATTATTTATAAAGTATTTATAGGGCGTAACATGTGTTAACTAAGGTACAAACAGAATTAAATATGAATGGAAGCATTTTTAAGACAAAAATGTATTTTCAAGTTATAAACATTACTTCTGAATGCAGACTAGTAACCCAGAGAAAAAATATCAAACGACTTAACTTCAAAGGGTGTCACTGTAGATAATTTAGCAATGGCTCTGGTCTCCAGAAGTAGAAGTGTTTTTGTCATGTCTTTTTTATTAATTAACCATTCCTCTGTCTCTTTGAGGTTTTCAATGGCATCTTCACTCTTATAATTAATCTTATAACAAGAAATGGAACCGTCTTCACTTGTGAGAAGCACATGAAGACAATCAGAAGTCAGAATCAGTGATTTGGCACAACTTTGGTAGAAGTCATGACTGGCATATCTAATCAGAGTTTTATTCTGAAAAGAAACAAACATATATATATATATTGATCAAAGTATAGCTAATAGGAAAAACAAAACAAAAACAAAAAATTCAGAGAAGACAAAAATATTGCAAACATATATTTTGCTGACAATTAAGATACAGAGTTGAGGGAATTGACTCCTGAGAATATGCTTTCTTGGTCACTACAATCTTAACCTTTTCAAGTTTAGAGTCAACTGGTATTTATCCAACATATCCTCATAATATGCAGTTCTAACTCCCTTACAACAATTTCACTTAGTAACACTATCTGCGTAAATCCCTCCCTTGAGGGATTTGTAATATATCTATTTATCATCTCTCAGTTGCATCTTGGTCCTTGGGCAGAATGTACTCAGGGATGAGTCCATCAAAGGACAAAGTTGCAACTGAGAAAAATTATACGGAGAGGTGCCCAGCCCTGGGGAAGAGCTGCCTGAGGCTGTGCCCTCTCATTGCAACAGAGAGAGGGATCGGTGCTCGCACTGAGGCCAACACAACCAACAGTTGTGGGGGCTAAAGGCAATTTTTGTTCCTGGCCTGGGTGTATGCACTCGTGTCTTCACCTTAAAAAAAAAAAGACCTTGTGTCAAAACTTGTCTTAGTGGGGAGACAGAGTAAATTCCTAGTAACATTCTACTTTGAATGTCTAATATGAACTAAATCAATAAAAAGAAAAAATGGAGAAAGTTATCCTTAAATACTTTTTATTCCAGAAATAAAGAAATTAGAATCATTAACTAGAAAATTGATTTATTGATTTGTTTTTATGGCTTACCAACCCTTGTGGGTTATTTAAAGCCAAAAAATATTTGGGATTATAGGAAGTTGTTTACAGTATGAAGTCATAACTGGAAAAGTACATTAACTACACTAATTACTGATACATGTAAGAAGAATGTCTAATGTTACTGAATTATATGATTGACAAAATCTGTATTCCATATTATATTTTTTATTGAAAGTTGGTCTTGAAATCGTGAGATTTCTATACTCTTCATCATCCAAATATTTACATTGATTTTTATTTTTTTATTGTCACAAGACAATAATAAGGATTGATAACAGAGCATAATTCAAAATTCATAAAAAGAGAAGATAATTCAATAATTAACAATTCTAAAGAGAAAAAAAAGATGTGTTCACCCCCCCACCTTTATTCATTTTCTTCTTCTGGTTCTTAGAATTGTGAATTACTGTCCATTACAAGGCTGTATCATTACTATGACATTTGAACAAAAATGAAATCAATGCAAATACTTGGAGCTGATGAAGGGGACAGAGTCCCTGAAATGTTTTTCAATAAAAAATATACACAGGCATATATATATATATATATATATATATAGAGAGAGAGAGAGAGAGAAATGATGATACAAAGAAGTTTGACAAGTTTCACCAATATGTTGAGTTTGGCTTCAGGACAGAATGAAAAACAAAACTGTATAAAGAAAATGCATTGGGATTTTTTGAGGATAAGCGGGGCAACGACAAATCTGATGACACAAACCAGAAAGTGTTTGTTATGTATGTGTGTGCACACACACACACACACACATATATATATATATATATATATATATATATATATATATATATATATATATATATATATATATATATATAAGAGCTATTGATGTGTTGGATTTTGAATCAGCCTACTTAAGTGGTTCTTTGATTTATTTTTTTCTCTAGTAACTCTCATACTACATTATACTATTATTGCTTTTATGATGATTTTATGTATGATCTTTGTCTAAGGTTTATTGTCCAGAACTGTGAAATTAGCACACTCTCAATGCATTTTCTTCTTAGTGAATCCCTTTCTTTCCTAATCAGATGGGAAGAATTGTGGTCAGAGGTATTATATGGGGAACTACCAGTGTGTTTGCTCACTGTGATGTTTATATAGATTTTTTGAGGTTTCTGGATGTTTCACCAACCTAATTTTCTAACTCTGGGTAGCACATTTTCATCTGAAATCCCTTGTTAATCCTCAGATTTCATGATTCTGATGATATGGTCAAGACCTCCAGTGTCAGATGCAGCAAAGCAGCCCCACAATATTATGGATCCTCCACCATGCTTAATTGTTGGTAAGGTGTCCTTTTCCTTATAAGCTTCATTTTACCATTGGTAAGCATATTGTTGGTGTGCAATGCCAAAAAGCTCTAGTTTTGTTTTGTGTGACCAGAGAACATTTTTCTAAAATAATCGTGATTTGTCCAGGTACTCTTTAACAAAAGTTCAGTCATTCCTTTTTATGTATTTTCTTCAACAATGCAGTTTTCCTTAGTTTTCATCCATAAAGCCTTCCTTGATGTTCCATATGGTATGTGATGAAACAATTACTCCAGATTGTTCCAAGTCTGCTTTCAAGTCTTTGGAGGTTTTATATAGTGGTTTTTCAATGGTTTGCACTAATGACCGAAGACTTCTCTCATGAATTTTTTCATACATGCACATCCATAGAAGTTTATAACAATTCCTTGCTTAGCAAACTTTTTAACACTGTGCATGTTGAAACAAGAATACTGAGATGCTGCAAGATGACCTTATATCATTTAGTAATCTTATGCTTACTAATCATAACATATCTAATATTCTTAGTTGACTTCTTTGACTTTACCACAGGGAATGACATGTGACATTTTAAAACAGTTTATTTACACTAATTTCTGAATCATCACAGGTGAGTCAAAATGACTCACATGTAGCCAGTTTCAAGTCCATGTCAGTATCTTGTGTGTGTATATATATATATATATATATATATATATATATATATATTATAAAATGGACAAAGTCCAACAATTATTTTAAGACATTTTTATGTTTATACATAACCTGTCAGGCTAAATGACGGTTTCATATAGGAGACAGGTTCGATTCCTGTTGGAGAATATTTTCTATGAAAATTTCTGACATTCAGGCTGGTAAATGTTATTAAAACTGTTTATTATAAGACAGAGCATTTACTTAAATATTTGTATCTATAAAAAGAATGTATAAACATAAAAATGTCTTAATATATATATATTTTAATTTTAACTTTTATCTATTAGTTGTTATTAATAATATTAATATTTTTATTTTATTTCATTGATAATCTTTAAAATAATGCCAAGTGTTAAATGTAAATTATATTAATCTGTATTTTTGAAATTAACTGCAATATGCCTATATTTGATAATTTATTCTTCCTTTTCTTCTTTCTCTCTTCCCCCTGCTTCCCCATTTGTTTTCTATTATGTTTTATCTCTCTTTTACTTTGTCTTCCTTCCTTTCCCTGTGAAAGAACTTGTTAAATAGGTCAAAATGTTTGGTACCTTACCCTACCACCATTATGTATCTTAATAAAGATAGATTTAAACATATTCCTATCTCTCCCTTCCCTCTCTAATTTTGATCATATCCGTCATCCTCCCCCTCTCTATCACCTTTTATCAACTTAAAACTCACCCTCAAAAACTTGTATAAAAATAATATGTAAATTTTTAAACCATTTTCTTTTATGTTTGGAAATGTGATCTGGTAAACCAAGAAAAAAATCTAATTCCTGGAGAGATAAAATATAATCTATGGATCCTTAAGGTTGTCTGTTCTTTAATTTAACTAATATTTGCTCTGTTTTTACACTGAGCTCTCTGGATTACATCCTCCTTAGGATTATCCATATGGATTACCAAACATTTTGTTATATATATATATATATATTTGTATATGAACACTTGCTCATACATTTACCTATATTTATCCATTTGATTATATTTATGTGTGTGTGTGTGTGTGTAAATATTCTCAGATGGAGTATATCTGTAAAAGAGACAAAATAAATGAAAAGACATAAGGAAAACTATATTTAAATTTTAGCTGACGAGCTTTGTCATCTGACAGACTTTATTAAGGCAAAAATGTGATAGTTTTCTTTTGCAACAAGTGCATATTTGACAGTTACTCAAAATTTTTAAATTTAAGAACACTAATAAATATTCATCAGGTCAACAGAAAAGTTTAGGTGTTAGAACCTAGCTTATGTCATATAGCATCTTTGAAATTTCCTGAAGTAATTACTACTTTCCCAAGCCAACCTACAAAACAAATGTGTTGAAAAATCAAAGAAAAATGGCTAAATCCATCATTTCAACTTTCAGAAATGTAAAATAAAAAAAAACTTTCTTTTTTGAGTATACTAAATGAGGTAATCTAAGGTCTAAGTGGCTACACATTTCAGTTAATCTGTTGAGTATTTATGAACATCTTTAAATTTAAAAAATTTCCTTTCAATGATCCTATATAAGTTATGCCAATACTATATTTTTTTAAAGATTGTAATGAGCCCAACAAACATTGATGACCTAGTAACCACTAATATATATGTGCGTGTGTGTGTATATATATATATATATGTTTATATGTGTGTGCATGTATATATATATATATATATATATGTTTATATGTGTGTGCATGTATATATATATATATATATATATGTGTGTGTGTTTATATGTGTGTGCATGTATATATATGTACGTTTATCTGCATGCATAAATATATATATATATATATATATATGTGCGTGTGATTTTATGTGTGTGTGCATATATATATATATATATATATATTAGTGAATATACATAATATCTCATGTTGAGTTTCATGCAAATCCACAATCTTCAAGTGAAGGATGCTCACTATTAAGTATTATGAAATTCATATTCATTGGCGTTGATTTAAAATTGTGTATTAAGACATGTTCATTTTATTGTTGTCTATAATATTTGAATTAATTATTTATAATTTATATTCGTCAACTTCTTACGTTTGAAAGGCGAAAAATTAAAAATATTTTTAAAAAACAATTTATTTAAACACGCTATATATCAAGTGGGGTAACTCCTTTTTTTGCATTAAAAAGGGTTGTTGGTTGTAAATATGATAATCAATGCTTATTAAAATATATTATCAAGGCAACATCTTGCAGAATAATCTTAGTTCACATGATATAAACTTAATTTTAGGTTAATATATATACATATATATATATATATATATGTGTGTGTGTGTGTGAATCGAGCCTAATACTTATAAAGGCGAAATTACATATACACACACATAATAAAATAATGAAGTATGCCACTAGCATGCAGGGGTTTACAGGGAGTGAAAGTGAGAGTAAAGACTGAGAATATAGAGGATTAAGGAAAGGACAAAAGATGAAGGGGATTCAAGAAGACAGAAGATGGCACTTGATGTTGCATTTAAATTTTTGAAGATTGTAGTTATCGGGGAATAAGAAATTAGAAGGCAGTTTCACAGGTGGAAAGTGTGAGAAAAGAAACTGTAGTAAAAGTGGCAGTTGTATTTAGCAACAGTAAATGTGTGGGACCTAAATGACAATCTAGTAGCATACGTAAGTTCATGTAGTTGGGACGCCAAAGAAAAAAACTTGTCAAAGAAGTTGCCTTGAAAGTATTTGTAGAAACACTAGAGGGAAACCATCTCATGTTAGTGAGAAAGAAGCTGATGTTGAGATGCTTGGATCTATTACGTTACAGATCCTTCTTTGGATATCATAAAGAATCTCAAGATATACATCAGAAGCACCAGACCAGATATGGCAACAATATTCAATGCACGGGTGAATGGTAGATTTGTAAAGGTACAAGATGAATTCTGATGAGGAAAATTTTCTGGTATGACACAGACACCAAACTTTCCTTGCAGCAATTGCAAATATTGATTTGATGTAGATGCTCCACTTCAAGTCAGTGGGAAACATGAGGCCAAGCAAGTGTAATGTGTTGTTCTCCTGGAGTCTAGTGTCAGTCATGTTGATGGCAGGTAGAAAAGGTTCTCTGTGGTAGTTAAATGAAAGGAGTTTTGTTTTGGAGGAATTAAAATTTACAAGCCATTTTTTTGCCCCAATTAACCACTGATTGTAGATCCTTTTTATGAGCAGCAGCCAGGTTTGTTTAAATATATATGTATGTTGAGAAAAAAAAACACTTATATGAACACAAATCTTAATATTAATACCTTGTAAGTTGTCTTTAATGAAAAAAATATATATATATAAAAATGGGGGGCATGGTGGATAGTGGCTCAGATTGAGGAATTGAAGAGCAGAGTTCAAATTCCAGCCAAATCCATTACATTCACTTATGTGCTAATACCCTTGGGAAAGGTATTAATCCTCTTCTTCTCCCTCCAGCTATGGGTAAATGGCAGGACAGATTGGGTTCTATAGCCTTGAATGGCAACTGGTCTAGGAGGAGGACAACTCAGAATTCAAAACCTGTGGAGGGTTGTTCAGGGACCTTGTGGCACATGGTGCATCAGATCTTTGCATTCGGCTCTTCAAAAAGTGTGGTTGATTCTGCACAAAACCTTCACCACTATAATCAAATCATGTGTGCCTATGTGTGGTTGTTGGTTCCTAGGAACTGTGCTCCTTGATCCCCATATGTCAAATACAATGGGAGAGTCCACCATCACATACACACATATATATATATATATATATATATATATATATATATATATATATATATATATATATATATATGTATAGTTTTAAAATATGTACAAAGGCATTTTTATTTATTTTCCTTAAGGAATCCTTTCAGCTAAGACTTTGTCAGAGGGAAAATGTTGGTAAGACTTTTGACGAGAACAAAGAAATGAACAATTCAGAAAGGGAAGGAAAAAGAGAATATGGAGAATTAAGGAGGGAAATTTTGGAATGACAATTAAAATAAATTTCTTGTAAAATGATTTACAAATAAAATATATAATTCCAAGTGAGTATAAAATGGAAAAATATTACTCACAGACCTCCTAAGAGATTGAGGGAGCTGATGAAGTGTGCTTTCTGTTTGCATAGAGACGGTTGATGTAACTTAATATGAACCACTTCCAGGAGACATAAATGATGAGCAAATTGAGCTCTGTGCAAAGCTGTGAAAGAATTGTTCACATATCTATTAGCCCAGTCTGGTTTGTCAAATAAGTAATGGCCAATAGCCGACTGATGTGCAGACTGAGATACCCTCAAAGAGTGAATTGAACTATCTAGTCTTATACTGAGAGGAACATGCTGATCAATTTGAGTTTCTCATCATTCATTGGTTTACCCTATGTATTCAGCTTCACATTGACATTTTAATTTATATTTGATAGAACTATTTTGAAAATAGGACAAACCATCTTTGACAAAAGAGGGAAACACCAAATTAGTTTAAAAAATGACATGTAACCAGAGGCGACAATTGTCAGGCAGCTTGATGGTTGCGTCCAGCATGAAACAGTCTGTCGCCTCTGAGTGTTGACTTCAATGGTCACTTTTATATTTATATTTACATACGCTCTATCTCTGATATTGTGCACTTTATCCATGGAATATTAGTGTTTAAGCCTTTTTATTATATATATATATACATATATGTATATTATATATACCCATTGAAATTGTACAGAGATTTTTTATAACACTGATATTTAGATTAAATTATGAATGTAGTTACTGCTTATTCACCATCAATATTGACATCAGAAATACATTACTTATGCATGCTTCTTTATAATTTTAATTACTCATCTGAAAATACTTTTGACAGGGAGTTCTTAAACACCAGGTGGACGAGAAGAGGGGGTTTGAAAGGTAGATTTACCTATGCAAAAATCTTTACGATGACAGCTTACACTTCTAAACATTCATTTTTCAAAAATATACTCATTTGGTTAAATGTTCTAATAAAATCTGTGAGAATTGCTAATAAAATATAAATTAGTCATGAATATACATGTACATATAGATTCTTTTTTTCAATGCTATAGTCAAATTCAGGGAAAACATTTGCAACTACAACATCTTTGTGCCTTTTGGTACAAAGATAAATGTCACACCTGATAGAGAAACATCGTTTCAGAATGCAAAGACAAAACCATCATTATACTATCAATCTTCATCCTGAAACAGAGCAAAAGCAGTATGGCACTCACTAGTAAATTAAATTCAAATAAATTTAAATATGATTTAACCAGATCTTTAAATGAATCAATTGTAAATTATAATAATTAAATAATAAATTCAAAAAGGGCAATTTTCAATGTACATTCAGAAAGGTAAATAAAATAAGTAAATACTATACTCTACATAGAAAAGGTAGGCAAACATAGGGTCTTAAAGTTTTTATTTGCAAAGTAACCCCAGATCAGATTAATTGATATCATTAAAAAGTGTAAAATTGATGAGTGGTCTATGTCTGTCAGGTACTTTAGAAGTTTAGGGGTCTTGTCTGTTTGCAATAGAAATTCATAGTAAATAAATCTCCTGGAAGTAAACAACCTCTAAATTTGTGTAATGCTTCTACAGTTATATATTCAGCACATTTCGTAGTGGCTCCTAGTATCTGATAAAATCTGACTTTATATGAATAAACTATTCAAAACAGTGTTTTTTTTTTTTTTTTAAAGTTTACACCAAAAGTGTACACAAACAATATAAAATTTATACAAAGATAGATTATGCTGAATTTAGGAGTTAAAGAATTAAGCCAGTGTTTAATTAAATGAAATAAATTAACAGGGCTTTGTATTTAAATAAACAAACCCCTAAAATGTTGGAATTTTCTTGTTTCATACACTTTTTTAATAATTTTAACAGCTGAATAAATTTTAATTGTCATCAATTACTTGCCTTTCACTAAAAACTTTTATTTTTTTATGTTTAAAAATCTGAAGAAAATTGATTTAACTTCTTTATAATTAATAAATTAAATTTGAAGAAATTCAAATATAAATTGACCATATTTCAAAATGAATCACTTTACTATTTATAGTAAATAAATTCAAATACTGAAAGGTGTAACCAACAGTTTACTTACACAGACTACAGCACAAAAATATTATTTTCTACAATAGACTCACCATGTTATTGGTTAAACAAAGTTGGAGAAGTCCATCTTTACCACAGGATACCAGCCATTTTTGATCATCACTGCAATATAGGTCTATACCAGGCAGTTGGTGGCTATCAAAATATTCTTGAGCAGATAAGAATTCAGATGTGTTATCTACTAATGCCTGTAGGTAGGTAAAAAATTATTTGCAGACTTAAATAAATATAAAAGTAACAATTGATATAGGAAATAATGTTTGATTCAAATTTTGGAAAATATAGGAAATTATTTATTTTTATGTGGAGTGATTTTATGTAATGTGTGTAAATATGAAGCAACTTTTGTTAGAACAGAGATACAATTTTAACAGATTGAAAATTCAAGTAACCATATGATTGCAGTCTTCTTTTGCTTTATTTAAAATGAACAAGGGCATCAGGTATTGCATTGGATCTGTCCTTTGTTCTATTATATGACACAGGTAATTAAAGAAAAAAAAATAGCATAAAATGTTATTGTTGATTCCAATCCCAGATAAGAATGACTGTAAAAACATCCGCCACGCCAATTTTATAAACAAAACATACAGATGCATGCTGGGATTTCTTCCTAGCCAATAAAATAGGCAACTTCTCAATCTCATCTTAGTTCTGTCTGTTGTGTATTGAAGTCAATATTGTACTTGCTTGTCTGTATTTCTTTTGTGTGTTAACACCATTCTTAGTTTGCAAACTTTTGCCTTATTACTGTTGCTTTGCTTTGCATATTTTGTTTGCTTAATATTATATCTGCCCTGTTCCTTTCTTTCTTTTATTATTGTTTATTGCAAACTTTGTCAATTCTGTTTGTTGGCCATTTCTGACAATTACATTTAACCATGGCTAAATTACTCTACAGGTATTAGTGAAATTATAGTAATTATCAGAACATTTACTTGGAACAAATTTCCTGCATATGGATAAGAAACGAATTGAACAGATACACAAAAATAAAGCACATAAGACAAGGATGCATCTTCTCACCAGATTATTCAACTTGAACAACAAAATGGTCTTTATAGAATTAGAAGTCTACCAGGATTTATTATTAGAGAACACAATCTCAAGAGCACAAGATATGCAGATAATACTATGTTGATGGTAGACACAGAAAGAAAATTGTAGGAACTCTGAGACACAGCAGTAAGGGAACATAGGAAGAAAAGAACTAAGCATTCATTGTAAGAAGACAGAATGTATGGTCATTAGCAAGAGGAACAGTCAAAGACATGAGCTAAAATTGGAGAATTTAACTGTCTGGAAAATATTATAACATGATGCATAATGTTTTTTTTTTTTTTAATCATTTCACTCCAAGCAAGACAATAAACCCACTAAGATGCAAGGGTTACTGAGTATTAGAAAATATGAAAAAAACACTATTAAGGAGAAAGAACAAGAAAAGAACAAGAATTAAGAAGACAGAAGATAATTGACATTGCATTCAAATTTTTGAAGATCAAAGTTGACTGAGAAGCAAGAAGCCAGAAGAGAGTTCCACAGGCAAGAAGTGTGATAGAAGAAACTTAGCATAAAACTTATGGTTACATCTAGCCAATTCAACTGTAGAATGGTAAGTTCTTACTGCCAATCTAGTACTGCACTTAAATTCATAGAGGAAAGTTCATCAGAACAATTACCATAAAAGTCTTTATAGAAAAGGCACAGGGAAGCTATATTATGGTAGGGGGAAGTGACTGAAACCAAGATGTCAGGTCAGGACCAATAATATTGCAGATCCGTCTTTGGATTTTATCAAGAATCTCTGAATATATAGTGGGAACACCAGATCAGATGTGGCAGCAAGGACAAATGGTAGACTTAAAAATATGTAAAATAGATTCTGGCAAGAAAAATTGTCTAGCATGACACAGGGAACCAACTTACCTAGCATTGGATCTGAAGGCACATTGGAATTGTGAAAGTTGGATCCCAAAAGCTGAAGAAAGCATTATGAACCAGGAAAAGAAAAAGGAAAGGCAGTCTGAACTGTTATTTAATAAAAGCCCTTCTATATGGCAGTGGATCCCATACAATTTTTTCACCAGATGAAGAACGTAGATTTGAGGCAACAGAGCTCTTGCTCTACAGAAGGATGCGGAGAATATCAAGGATGGGACATGAGAATAAGTTTTAAAGAAAATGAAAACAAAAAAGAGACTTGTGCTTAGGATCAGAAAGTTAAAAATCTTGGGACACATATTAGGAAAAGAACAGAATTGAAGGATTTGTCACTCTCAGGAGAATATTGAAAGTAAAAGGGACAGGGCAAGTAACCTACCTGACGATGGATGACAAAACACGAACTGAGAGTAATAGGAAGGGAGATAAGCTGTAAGGGGACAAACATTGCTATGAAGGATAGGAATGATTGTCCACGGCCATGTTATAAAAGCCATCAACAAAAATAATCACTTATTTATAAAGGACTACAAAAGACCAGATTGGAAATAATTAAATTATTTTTAGTTGGTACATGTGTTTTATTTGGTGTTGGATTGTCCTTAATTTTGGTGCAGGGTCTTTCATCTTTTGTTTTGCTTATCCAAGTATTTGATTTCGGAAACAAAGTTAACTGGTTGACCTGTCTTTAAGAATGTCAGTATTAGAGAGATGATAAGCAGATGAAACTTCAGGGGGATTTTAAAAAATATTTTTGTTTACTAAACTTTGCCTACAACTACAAAGCTTTAATCATTTGTATAAAATTTAAAAAAAATGGTTCCAAAGAAAGTAATACAGACCTCAATTCCTTCCTCATTAAGAGGCAAATGGATAATTTTACATGATTTTTGTGAGTGCACATAGACTTCTCCTTCAATTGAGGTTAATCCACGAACAGGTGAAAGCAATGTAAAAAATTTTGTATGGAGTTTACAAGGATCAAAATCACATTCTTGACTCAAATATTTATCTGAATAGTCTGTAAAGAAAAAGAGAAATTAATAAAAAAATTCTAAGGAATTTTAAATCATTTTCATATTAAAATCTTACAATGCATTTTTATTAAAATGAAAAGTCATTATAGATTTTATTGGGATATATATTGTATATATGTGTGTATTTAGGCAGCATTTTTTTCATTGATGCAAGTTTCATTAAATAATATTTTAATGATAATGTTATTAAGCTTATCAGACGATATGAAAAGTATTTACATAAAAATAGACAAAACTTGCCTATGTTGTTTAATGAAACATGCATCAATGTATATATGTGTATATATATTGTGAGTAATAATAATTATTACAATAACTTGTATTGCAAATACAAATTAAAATATGTGTAATTAATAATAAAATTGATAATATTGTTACCTCATCATTTTGTACCATGAAATGCTTTTAAATGGGACCCTATGAATTTATGGGAGGTTGTAGAATTTTGAGGGGATAAACTTCACTACAGCAGTTTCTTGTCTCATGAAGTTCTCCTTCATGTTGCGTAATTGAAAGCCCAAATTCCCTGATTACATGAAGCACCTGTTTATATCCAGATCGAGAATTCAGTGATTGATTGAAGTGTGTGTTCTCTCTTTTCTGACATAGGATACACGCAATATGTTGTTGCTTGGTTTGACAAGGTAAGTTGCCATTTTCTTCACTACACTCCCTGCTGATTTAATGATCACAAATCAGACAGCCTGGAGCAGGTCTCTCTAACTTGGTGCTTCACTGTAATGGGACTGTCTCCATTACATGTGTTGGAGAGTTATCTTCTGAGGAGTCATCAAAGATATCCAGAGTTTCCAGAATCTCCGTGTCTGTGGAAGCATTGGTTTCATAGAGCTCAATTACTTGATCACTTCAGACGTAGCAGAGTCTATGAAAAGGCATCCCATCAACCATTACAGTTTGTGGACTTACAATGTCTGTCATGTGACCCACTTGATACCTGGAGTTACACTGGCCATGGGGAGCTTTCACCCACACTGTTCCCCACTCTGTGCACTGCCCCCATTATTGAAGATTGCTTGTTGCAATTCTCTTTATGCTTTGATGAGATCTTTCCACTATGCTGTTTCCTGTAGGAACATATGCACAATGGAAATGAAGTTGGACTCCCCATTCATCCAAGAAATCTTTAAAGGATTTGCTGTGAAATCCAGTGTCATTGTTGGTTAGAATTTCTGATGGTGAGCCTTGTTCAAAAAATAGTTTTCAGTTGTTGGGTGATGCTTCTTGAGTCTTGCTTAAGCAGATGGTGCCATATCACAAATCAACTGAGGCCACAGTCAATTAACATAAGGTAGTGCTGTCCATTGTAATGGGTAATATCCATTCCCAAGTGGGTCCAGATTCCAGTGATACTTAAGTTGCTGTATGACCAATGAGTTGAGACTGGGTCAACTGACTGGCATTCCTTAATTTTCTGACCACTTCTTTAATGGCTACCTTGGATATCATAGGGTGAACTCATCTAACAAAATACAAGTTCCTTCTGGCACCAGGATGTCCACTCTGGCAGTGTATGGCACTTATCTAGTCTGGAAAATTTTTGTTTACTATCAAAAAGTGCATGTAGGTTGTGTTGGAATTTTTGGATACCCTGGTGTACTAGTGAGCCAGCCAAAATGAGCTGACTCATTTTATAGTTCACCAATAGAAGGGTTAACCAATCAGAAGGCTCAAAATATTCAATGTGATGTGTATAAAGGCAGCCATGCTTTTCCCGAATACTCACTGCCAGCCTTTGATAGTGAAGACTGAAGAATTACAGAACAGCTGCTGGTGGTATTGGCGATATAGATTCAGTAGAGTGTCTGACTCATGAGTGTTAGTCTTTAACGTTGTTTCATTGAACAGATTATGTACTGCACTGTATTCTATATTCATAGACTATGGTGAACATGGTCAACAGGTTGTGCTGGTTTGATCTTTTTCTTGATAAAAATCATTGCAGTACTCTTGTGAGCTTATCTGCTTGATTATGACTTGATATCACTAAAGTTATGGTGATCAATAATTTGTACTCTTGAACCAGCTTTTCAAGAGTACTCAAATGCCTTTGGATCAGCATTTCAGTTGCTGCTTTAGTCTGTATTCTGGCTTTGCCAGTGAGCATGTCTGATACCCATCAGTGCACACACATGGAGTCCATGACAAGATGCAGTCCTATTGCACCACACTGTAGTGCTAAATTCACTATAGCTTCCAATTCCGCCAAATTGGTGTATTATGCATCATTCACAGATCACCGTCAACATGCATTCTCTACAATGGTTCCATCAACCTCCAATGAAACCCATGTGGTAAAAGAATTTGTATTGACCCACACATCATAAGTGTGTCCTCAATCATGTTCTTAAGGGAAGTGTCTGTCATTTTATTGTCCCAGCCAAATGTGATTGATACTGTTCTACATTTAACAAATGCTGCAACAACATGGAGCCAACCACACACAGAAAAGTGACCCACCAACTTTCCCCACCATGAGAAGATATGTTGCATCATGACATCAAGAACTGATGGAATGTTATTTCTATGCCTCCAATTAATTAAATTGTTCTCCTTGACATGCAGACCCAAAACACGAATGCTGTGCCATCCTGTAACCGCTCTGGTTTCTTGCAGGTCAGACCAAAAGCAGCCAAGTGCTTTTTCATGCAGTCTGCTGAAGTCATACTTTCATCAATGTAAATATCATCAATATATGATGATGTTGACTATCAGACTGACTCATTTTTGATAGTACAGCATGCGCAATGGCTTTCATTATGGCTGGTGGTAACATTCAACCTGAAACCTATTCATGTTGGGCAATATCTTTACCCTGTGAGGTTTGAAAGGGCCAAAGTAACTTTTGGATGTGCACTTGTAGGCAGGCCTGCTGTAAGTTGAGGATAGTGGCATCAGGTCCTTTTTGGTGGCAATCCCTCAGTATTTGTACACACACATCAGCACTGGTTGTGTGTGTTTCCAAGCACTCATTTAGTTCCTGGTAGTCTAATACTGGCCACACCTTTATTTTCCTGAACTATCAATGGAATTAGACCTCTTGGGATACCAAGTTCCTTTTCATGACAAGGCTGCAACCAACTGTTATCCATCCACATCTGCAGCTTGCGGATGTATTCTTCCTTGACACCTTTTGGTATTAATTACTCATACATCTTGTTTTTCCAAATTCACTGGTGTTTGACCATCTGGGCACTTCCATGGTGCAACCCATATCTTCTTGTTTGGATCAAATTCGGCACAGAAATTGGGTTCTTCTATTTTAATGATGGCTCAACAAGCCATCCCATGTTTGTGAAATTGTACATTGCCACAATCTGTTATTTGAAGTCCACCCAGCTTTTTAATAGTGTTGTACCCAAGCAACAGGTCAAAATCTAATAGCTCTCTCTCCACTACCAAGACCTTGACATCAAGGAGAACTATAATGTCTATGTCAAGCTTGATGTTTCCAACTCCATTACATGTGAGGGTGTTACCACTTATGGTAAGTATGTCCACCTCCTCCTTCCACCACAGGATTGACAGACTGATTTACTTGCAAGTGATTGTGAGAAGCCCATGTCTACCAGTGCCACTCCCTTGATTCCATTCACATGAACATCTAAGACAGGTAGCATGTTATTCACAACTCATTTGGGGAAGAGACTAGTGCTGACATCTTGTTCCCTTCCTCTTTTCCCAGACATGCTGGTGCAATATGGCCTAACCAATGACACCAGAAGCTATGTATTGTTGTGTTTGTCCTTCATGACTGACATGTTTGTGCATCTTCTCATTGAACCAGGCAGTCCTTAAAAAGATGATTCCACCCAGAGCATCACATGCCCTCCTCATGTTTAACAGTTGGAAGTTTATCAGCTGCCACACTGACTGGTGAGATGCTAGCCGCAGCCATTTCCTTGGTCACAGTCTGATCCTTCACTATAGCCTGGGCTCAGTCCAAGAGTTGAAATGTAGTCATGTCTTTCATCCTGGAAGACACACACAGTATTTGCTTGACGTGTGCTGACAAAACTGCTATGAATGTACATGCCAGTCCTTGCTTGGATATCCTGCCAAATAATCCTGCTAGCTTCTTCAAATTGGTTAGAAACACATCGACCGACTCGTCCAAGTGCATCGTTGCTCCATCAACTGCTTGTAAGTTTGGAAACGATCTGATGCAAAAGCAATCCATAGAGCTTGTTTTATCTGTTTGGCATCTGCTTTTTGCACTGTACTTAGCTGCTGGTAGACAGCAAATGCACCACTGGTCAATCTCAAGGGAAGAATACGTTCAACCTTCTTGATACTACACAGATTGCAAACAAGTTCCACTTTTTCTATCCACTCGGTAACTGCTTGTTCGGTCACTGAGCCATCAAATTCAGGTATCAACTGGACGACAAATGTCCTATCTGTCATGATGCTGAAATAGCTTATAGAATTTTGATGCTACAGCAGTTTCTCATCTCACGAAGTTCTCCTTCACCCTGGATAACAGAAAACCAAAATTCCTTGGTTACATGAAGCACCTGTTTATATCCCGGTCAAGAAGTCAGTGATTAGTTGAGGCACAACCAAAGATTTGCATGATGTTCTCATATATAAACAAGGGTCATATGCACACTTTCTCATTTCCAACGTAGGATACATGTGACATGCTGTCACTTGGTTTGATGAAGTCAGTCATTTTCTTTGCTACAGCAACTTTAGTTTAATCTAAATATGTAGTGAGATTTCATAAAAGATTCAAAGAATTTATAACCTTTGTACCTTAAAAAAAAATCAATTTTTAAAAAGGATATTTTTCCTGTTGATTGGTCGCATATTTTTAGAATGTTGTAAATATAAAATTATTCTTGAAAATAAAGAATCTAATAAATAAATAGCATTTAATATTTTTGTTGTAAATTCTCAGCAATGAAAAAAATGTATAAATTCACTTTCATATATTTGGGTTTTATTAAAATTATATCGATTTTTAAAACAAATATTGTTGAGGGAGTGAAGAGCATTTACAGTAATAGTGGTGTCAAGGGAAAAACCATCTTTTTAACACTGTTTTTGGTGGGTATGATGGTTCAGTTGTGCTGAAAACCTTAATCATGATTTTGTAATTAAATCTGAGAAAATTGTCCAACTTAAGTTTAGATTTTTGAAGCCAAAATATTCAACCATAATTTTTGTTTTTGGTTTGTTTACACATTTAAAACATGATTTATTTAATTCGTAAAGAAAAGTAAATTATTCATCTATCAAAAATAACTGAATTATCTACTAAATAAATCTTATAAAGGAATATAAAAAGAAAATATAAACTTACTCTCTTTAAATTCTGATTCCAAATGAAATGTAAACAGCCTGTGTGCTCCTGCGTTTTTGTTGTCTTCTTCATTGTTGAGGGTGATATAAACATCAACATCTTCAAGAGTATCAATTGTTATATCTGATACATGACCAGGAGAATCTACAAAATGCAGGTAAAATTTACAAGTTTAGTTAACAAGAATAAACCTGGGTTCATTAGGTGTTAGGAAATAAGCTAAAGCAAGCAGACAACTTCATGTTCTTTGATATTTGAATTCAGTCAATTGAAAGACATGGAGATCAGAACAGGGCAATACTTGGTGGTGGGTAGGAAGTGAATAAAATAGAAAGAGTATGGAAATTGGATCTTCAAAAGTATTTGAAAATAAACTGCTTTCTAGCCATAGTAGAAAGCATTGTAATTGTATAACTCGGCCAGTATTGGGTAATTGGGTAATTTTGTATTTGCGGCATTTATTTTGTAATTTTTTCATTATTGTGTAACTCTGTTTTTGTGGAAATAATTGCATAACTGTATCATGGTTGCATAACCCTGCACTTCTGGCACCGCTGCGTAACCCCGCTCTCTGGCACCGCTGCGTAACCCCGCCTCTCTGGCACCGCTGCGTAACCCCGCCTCTCTGGCACCGCTGCGTAACCCCGCCTCTCTGGCACCGCTGCGTAACCCGCGTCTCTGGCACCGCTGTGTAACCCTGCATTTCTGGCATGGCTGGATAAATCTGTTTTTGTGGCATTGTTGCATAAACCTTTGTCTGTGGCATTATTTCATTACTGTATTTGTAGCATTAATGTCTTGGCGAATTTCACAAAATTTGATTCTCACATTTCAAGGCATGTAAAATAACTTGTGACAAGAAAGCTGATAAATTCTATTTGTTCACATGTTTGTATTCATATCATAATGTTGCTTTTAATTTGTGATTGTTCAAGTAGAGGTACTTACTTAAATAGCCATAAATCTTATAACCATTTATTCCACTGCCATCCTGAATGAAGATGTAGTTATCTTCTGACACAGAAAATATATAATCACCATTGTAATCAAACCTAAAAAGTAAATTTAAAAAAACAGAGTAAAAAAAATTTAATCTTTCTATAAATGAGGTTAGGTGAGTTTTTTTTTTTTCCTAAAAGATTTGAGTCAGTTAAATTAAAATTGAAGATTTTGAACCAGAAGAACTCTTTGCATTTTATTAAAATCTAATAAGATAAATAATTACTCATGTTTCAATATTTAATTCCTGGGGAAGTATGAACCAAAATTTAAAAACTACAAAATGTTTGAGGGAATCTGTATTTTGGATCATGATTAAAAAGGACTTCAGTAGGTGTGTTTGTTTAACAGGGCAATGGACCTATTTAAACATTTGATTGCGTGAAATTGCTGTATGATGATTTAAAGGACTACTAATTGAATAATAATTTTTTTAAGTTCTCAAGAGAGGATAGTTGAGAAAAAGTGAAAAAAGAAACAGGTTAAAAATGATGTTTTAAAATAAAATGAATTTAAGAACAGTTCCAAGAAGAATCAAACTCAGAATTAACTCGCCAAGATTCAGTAAAATTGAGCAAAACCAAGGTCCCCAACTCTCACTCAACTTCCCACCAATAAGAAGACATGATTAATGTGCTGTCTGAATTTCTTTGGTTCAGAAAAATTAAAGTCAGAGATTTGTCTACATTATAGTATTTGTCCAAAACGTCTGTGTTCTTACATAAGGGACAGACCAAATTATTCTAAACAAAGAAAGGGAATCAGTTTTTTGCTTAATTCTCAAGCTTTGGAATTGTTTATGTTGATGCTGTCTGCCCAAAACACCATTATTTTGACAGAAAGAAGGAACAGAAGATTTTGAACAAAGGGAGTACTATGTGGTTATTGACAAGATCTCTCAAGATTAAGATGATTGGACTTGAAAAATTACATATATCAATGTCAAATTTTGGAGAGGGATCATTTATATAAATGAGAACCCACCAAGCTGATAGAGACACAAAAAATTGGGCCAAACAAGGAAAACTGACAGATTCACTCCAGTCGCATTTTATGTGGTTGGAGTGGAAACACAGACACATGCATGACAGAATTGAGCAAGATTTGATTGGCTGGTTATTACTTTAGCATTTGCTGCTAGATTTCTCAAATTACCATCTGGCAATAAAGAACTTGATTTTGCAGTAAATAATAGAGACATTTTATTCAACAAACCTGTTGTTAGAGTTATCTAGTCTGATTCCCAATGTAGCCTTTGGGTAGAAAGAGACAAAAGTTACCATAGCAATAAGTTGAGAATTGTTCATTCTTAACTAGGGTACACAATATACATAAATAGGTTCACACTAGATGCCACCATCAATTACCAATATCATTAGATTTTGGGAAACCCAAATCAACCCTACTGAGGAAGGAAAAGAAAGCCGGATGGCCTGTAAGGTCTGTATTACTCAACAAAGCTAGTGGAGTTAGCAACTGTGAAGAAGAGACCAGAAACTGGAGAGAGAGAGTGTGAATAGAAGAGTGAGTAGAGAGGGTGTAGGATTTACATGTGTAGATGCTACAACTATAATTAGTATTATGGTAAACTTAAGTTTGTGTTTCATTTTTGAGATGAGGATTAGTTAATAAAGTCATTTTAAATTATTGTCCTCATCTTGATTATAATAGATGTTTATATTATAGACAACATTTTGGCCTGCTACTCTCTGACCATCTTCAGAGAACCATTGTTAATATTCATGATGTGGGATACATGTTGATTATTGTGCTATTTTGTCCTTGTAATACCAGTTCTTCTTCATTCTTGCTGAACTAGTGTATAGTGTTTCATTACTTGATCCAGGGACTGACAACTAGTTGACAGCAACACATATTTAACTAATGCCTACATCCACTATAACTAATTCTGTTTTTTTTTATGAATTATCAACCTTTTACAGGTTAGTTAAAGCCAGAAAATATTTTTACATAGTAAGAATTTTTTTCAAATAATAATGATTTACTGATACAAGTTTTACTAATTAACCCATAACTGGGGGGAGAAGATGTGGCTTCATACTTTTCCCAAAGTTATTAGCACATAAGTGAATATAACAAACATGACTGAAATTGGAAACTTGGCTCTCCAATTTCCAATTTTAAGCTAATATCATTACACCACCCACACATCTAAACTTACAGCACCTGGTATTTCCAAGCAGTGACCCATTTAGGTACTGGCCATGCTCTGCATTGCTTAACTTTGGTGATTGTACAAGAACCAATGTTTCAACATGATATTGTCATAAGCCTATTACAACTATGCAATTATTCAAAAGTCATCAGTAGTGTGATGTCAAATGGTTTTGATATTTAGTCATGGTGGGTTTCAACCACTTACGATGAATTTCCATGTCATTTTTGGGAATACAATAACCAACAGATATCTCATATCAGACAAAATAATGGTCACCTCATGATGGCCAGAGGGTAGTTGGCTGAAATATAATATAATAACATCGATAATAATAAAGATGAGAACAATGGTAATTGGATGAAATGTAGATCATTCCAAAAATATGGAATTAAATGTCAATTGAGTTGGTTTTCATTATTTTCATATTGAAAAAAGTATATATATACATACTGTATATGTGTAATTGAAGCATTACATAGATGGTCACAGTGAATTACTCTTGGTTGTTTTTGAGTTGTAATATCAATGATACAAACATAGCCTTTAGCACATCCTATGGCCACTATATAGCTGACTGGACTGCTGCTCATGGAACAAAGCTATTGAAACAATAAATAAACAAAAGTAAGACAAACTGGAGAAATCATTTAGATCAGCAAACAATACATAAATGTAAAAAGCATCTCAAATTAAAAGCATCTGAAGCATCAGAATAATTTTGATCTTGAATTTTTTTTATTAGGCTCATAGTGTTATTAGATTGAATATTTCTGAAAAAGATTATCAGTAATTATACAATGCATAACATTACATCTTACATGTGTTATGTTATATATGATCAAATATTTCAAATGAATTATTTTAGATGAAATTTATTGTACTACAGAAGGGATAATTTTATCTCTCACAAATACTATGTGCACGCACGTGTGTGTGTGTGTGTATATATAAGTGAACATTGAAGTCAACACTCAGAGGCAACAGGCTGTTTCATGCTAGATGCAATCGTCAGGCCGCGAGTGTTAGATTTTTTCTTGACTATATATATATATATATATATATATGGGTCAGTGGTGCCTTGTGGGAAATCCATTCTGGTGGTTATGTTGGCAGGAGTGGCTTTTTTATTATTTGGGTTGATTTATTTTACTTGTATTTTGTTTTCATTTTTTATTTTATATATTTCTTTATTCTTTTCAGTTTTTGATGTTTTATTAATGTAGTAAAAAATTTTTCGGGATTTCTTTAGGTCGCTTATTTAATAATTTGTTTTGGTCTGGGAAGATAAAGCTATTTATTCATCCAATTTTTGGATTGATTCCCATAGTCTATTCTGCTATTTTGGTGGGGGACAGTTTTAATTTGTTTGTTTTATTTATTTGGATTGATTATGTTTACTTGTTTTTGCTTATTTATCTTTATTTTTATTAGTTCTAACAGTTATTTTAGTGGGAGCGATTTGTTAATTTATATATTTGGATTAATTTTTACTTATTTTTTCTTATTTATTTGCTTATTTTTTTATTTACTCTATTCGGTTTTTGATTTTTGAGTAACGTAGTATTTTTTTATCATTATATAGCAGCTATAGCTATTTTCTCGTCCAGTTTTTGGATTGGTTGTTGTAGTCTATTCTAATGGTTATTGGTTTGTTAATTTGTTTGTTTACTTTATTTATTTGGATTGATTATTTCTATTTGTATTTTATGCATTTATTTTTTATTTATTATTTTTATTTGTGCTATTTCATCTATTCTAATTGGAATGGCTTGTTAATTTGTTTATTATTTGCTTGGGTTAATTTATTTTGCTTGTTTTTTCATATTATTTTGTTTATTTTTATGTATTCTTTTCAGTTTTTGATTTTTAAGTAACATGGTAAAAATTTGTTTTCATGTCTGCATTTTGAGATGACCTCAGATTGTTTATTTAGTAATTTATTTTCCTCTGGGAAGGTAATAATAGCTATTTTTTCCTCCAGGCAAAGTTTGCAGGTATAGGATTGATTGTTGTAGGCTGATGATCTTTTCCTTATTGTCTATGGTATTTTTGGCATGATTTGCGTTTTGTTTTTAATCTCCCAGATAATTACTTAGAAAGCATTGTGCTGTTCACGTATTTACTATTTGTGAAAGATGTTTGTGTGCATACTTTCTTTGTTCCCTGGGTCCTTAAGTTAGTCTATATATATATATATATATATATATATATATATATATATATATATTTACTTTTCTTCATTATTTGGTGATTTTACTGTGGCTTGTTATGTTACGTTGTTTTGTAAGCAATTACTGTTTAAGGGACATTCATTCTTTATTCTACAGTTACATGTGGGTTTAATTTGTTCAGGTGGTTTGTTGATAGTTTTCCTATATATATAAATAAACAAAAAACATGTATATACTCACATAAATATTTTATATATATATATATATATATATATATATACAAACAAACGTGTATGTGTGTGTGTGTGTATATATATATATATATATATATATATATAGACACACACACACACACACACACACACACACATGTATGTATGTGTGTATATATATATATACACACAAGTCCACTTCGTTGGTTCAATAATTCATCAGTGTTCCCATATTCAATTATTATGATTTTTTTCTTTAATGCAAAGATTGCATCTGTCTCTGAAGTTGATGGGAGTCTGGGATTTACAGATGATCCTCCATTTACGTGCGGAGTGAAGCCTCCATGTTTGAGATTCCAGTAATGTTTAGACAGAGCTGTTTGGTATCTCAAAGACGCATTGGTGAAGGGATGTCAGTGAGTGTAAAAACATTGCTTCCAGCATCCAGCTGAAATTCCTATATATACATTTTTTTCTGGTTGATATCTTCCTTCAGAAAAATAGTAGCTTCATATACTACTAAAAGGTTATGTGAACTAATTATACTGTCTATATTACTAATGAAGGAGTAACTAATTTTTAAAGTTTTCTTATTGGAAATTTTCCTTAAAAGATTGCTATTATTGAAATATTTGTCTATTAAATTTTTACTTGCCATGTCTGGAAAAAGAAGAATATTCAAGGTCAACCCATCAGCTTAATTACTTAAGACTTTTCTTTCCCTTTCTTTCTCTCTCTTACTCTATCTTCCCCATCCTCCCATGTCTCTATATCTCTCTTTCCCTTCCCCATATTAAAAAAAAACAAACTTATTTTAATATTTATTTTCTCCTTATTTCTGAATCTTTTTTTTTTCTATCTTCTAACCCTTTTTGTTTTCTTTTTCTCTTTTTTTCTTTTTTTCCTTATTCTTTGCTTGTGTCTGGATGAATTTAAAATCCATTTATTGTCGTAAAATTTTTTTGGTCTGAAGAGATTGGCCCCTGCTCCCATGATTAAACTATTACCTATGGATGTCTAAGGACTCTGCTTTCATTATATATATAAGTTTCATTAAATACGAAAGACAAGATACTGTGGGGTTATTTTTCTTGTAAGCTGTGAGGTCATGTAATTTAATAATTGTGTATTTTAATGAAACATGCATAAATGAGTGATTACTGCCCAAATGCACAACTATTAAATTACATAACCCGGCCACTAAAAGGAAAGAAACTGAAGTACCTTGTCCGTTATTTTCAATGAAACTTGTATAAAAGAGGGATTGCTACTCAAATACACACACACACACACATATATATATATATATATATATATATATATATATATATATATATAATGTGTGTGAAGCTTAAATGAGACAGAAGCCATCACAAATGATGTGAGAGGAGGGGGGCAGCTATCACCTGATGGATGGATGGATGTTGGATTTAACGGCATGTCAACTCCTATTTGGGTCAATTTATGCGAAGCCTTATTAATTTATGAATTTAAGTTGGTTATTTTGTATAAAAAAGATGAAAGGTTGTTGGGTTTCATAATTTTCTGTGTGTTTTTTTGGGATTGCTTTTTGTGACCGTTTCTGATTGTGTATTTTACTGTTTACATTCATAGATGCATATATATGTCTATAAGCATATATATATATATACACTATTTATATTTTATTGAGGATTTTTATTTCCTTGAGAAAACTGTATATTTTTTCTGTGTCTGTATTTTTGAATATTTCTATCACCTGAATCAGATGTCAATCACTATAAAGCTTAGTTTACTATGGTAGACACCATTATCTTCATGAACCTCAAGTGTGTTAGTACTTACTACAATAGTATTTTTGCAAGATTAATTTCTATAATTTTGGAATGGTTCCCAGATTATAAGCTGAGTTTAAATTATTACCAATGAATTTCTAAGGACTCCGTTTTCATTATTATTATATTTATTCTGTTCTTACATTGGCTTCTCTTTGGAATTATCCATCCAAATTATCAAATATTATATATATATATATATATATATATATATACACAAAACATGTATATGCACAAATATATATATATATATATATATATATATATATATATATATATATATGTGTGTATACACAAAAAGTTAGACACAAAAACACACACACATATATATATATATATATATATAAACAGACACACATATATATATATATATAAACACACATATACACACACAGACATGTATAAAATATTAACATTTACTCATCTCCTGTTTTACATGTTCCAACTGGTTACAATTGTTTAACATTCTAACGTTCCATGTTTTGGAAGTTATTTTTTGTTTGATGTCAACAGTCACTGGATGATGTTCTGGTGACACCTGTCGCTCATGTCACTCCTTTCCAGACAAAGGATCAGCTCTGAGAAATGTTTACTCCCTTTACACTGTTTATGCTCACAGTTGCTGGATGACTGGGCAAGGAGTTAATTCCCATAGACTTAACCCCCTTCATGCCATTAGGTTTCATATTTTGTTTGTTAAGTGCTATGATATTTCTTGAGATTAATAGTGGAGTGGTTTCCACAATGGCTTCTTGAGACACTGTCTCTAGTTAGCAAGTTGTTAACTCATCAAGAGTTCTTCTGCCTTTTGTAAGGTCTTATTTTTCATCCTACTGGGTTATTAATAACCTGCATCACTCACAAGAACATGGCATGGGCTAGCTGGTTTAGTCCCTGACACTCCAATAGCGGATTATATATATATATATATATATATATATATATATATAAATAATCTCTGACTGATGCCAAATCAGTTTTGATCCTGACTTGAGGCACTCAGATGTCTTGCCACACTGATTAGCTGTGGTACAGCAAAACAGTCTCTCTGTGGATGACATTATATACACCCCTGGAAAATTTAATTCCAGTCAGACACCCTTGAGAGAAAGTGTGAATTTGTAAACAATGACTACTATTGCTAATACTGCAAAGTTCTTCCATGAATTGAGTCCTGTCAGTCATTGGTGTATTTATTCAAAGAATAAGTACGTAAAAATTAGCCTTCCCCTCAACCAGGTGATGATAGCTTAGGGTTAAAATCTCTGACTGATGCCAAATCAGTTGGGTTTCGATCTTGGCTTGAGGCAATTGGATGTCTAGCCACACTGATGAGCTGTGATACAGTGAAACAGTTTGTCTGTAGATGACATATATATATATATATATATATATATATATATATATATATATACATACATACACACAAACCTGTGTGCTGGAGAGTAAAAAAAAAAAAAATTATATAAAAGTTATAAAAAATGTTAGCATGTAAGATGGAAATTGTGAAAACAAATTGGATTTTTAAAATATCTTATTCTGTTGTCAATGTCTTGCTTTGTAAAAACATCATCAGAACAACTGAAAAAAAAAATCCCCCCAAAATATTACTATGGCAATCTCACTACTTAGTTTTTGAATAAATCATTTTCTAAAACTTATCAACCTCTTGCAGGTTATTTAAAGCCAGAAAACATTTTTAGATTGTAAGAATTTTTGGCAAAATTATACCTTTCGTGTGTCAAAAGGATGTTTTTTTCCCCTTGACACCACTATTATTTTAACTACCTTCACTCCTCAGCAATGTTTCTTGTTTCAAAGTGATGATTAGAATTGTAATAAAAGCTAAACATATAATGAAAGTGAATTTATACATTTTTTTGTTCTTGAGAAATTACAATGAAAATATTAAGCCCTATTAGTTTGTTTATTTACAAGAATAATTTCATATTTACAATATTCTAAAAACTAATACTATTAAAACTAATGCAATACAATATTTATCATTTACAATTTATAAAGAAATATGGATTTTTTTATTTATAAACATTTACTAAATTATTAAAATATGTGAAATGATAAGGAAATGCTTATGATTTACCATTTTATAAAGTTTGAATCAATTGGCAAATAGCCAATTGCTTTGCCGACCATTCCCAGATATGACATTGTGATATTGGTAAATAGAAAAAAAAAAAAAAAAGAGTTCAAATTAAAACTTGGAATAAGATAAAAAGGGTTAAAGATATAGAAATGACATAAAATGAAAAAATGTAAGCAGTCGACTTGAAGAAAATGGCTTTATTGCTCTGAAAAAGATTACCAAAAAGGCCATCTGGAAAATTTAAACCCACATGGGGTGGGAAGAGATGGTGGAAGAGCATTCAGAATCTGCCAACAAAGTTTGCTAAACAAGGCAGAAATAGAGAAATTAATTTATGGTTGTTACTAAAAGTACAAGTTACGAAAACTTCTGGTGAAGAGACAATATTTGTTAATTTTTGAAGATGAAGACAAAAGTGAGGAAACTGATTTATTTCACGTGTTGAAAAGTGGAAATTGTAAACAACTCAAGAAATAAAATTTTCTTTTGATAAGAACCAATATATATATTCATTTAAAAAATTTTTTGAATATTACTCACTTACTTTTTGCTACACTTTGAATTATAACACACTATGCCCTCTACATGTTTTGACTGACCTTTCAACCACCTTATGAATATTCATAAACATTCTCAAATTTAAAAGTCTTGATAAACTAATAGTATTCTCGCTTTTGTATATACAATTATGCAACAAAATACATCCTACATTTGCTTTGATAATGTCCCTCAGAGGACAAAACGTGTTGACTAAAAATAGTTTTCCTCTTGTCTCTTTTTATTCATTTACTTCCTTTACATATACACTATTTGAAAATAATTTACACACACACACACACACACACACACACACACACACACATATATATATATATATATATTTATATACTAAAATTCCCAGAACCCCTCTGTCTGCCCACATAACAATTTTAGTCCAATGAAGTCCAGAAGGACAAAATGTGTCACAAGTAAACTTTATTCACTTTGTTATACAATTTCCCTGTGTGTGTGTATATACCATCAATTGAGTCATATTTATTATTCTTATGTTTTTACATATTAATTATACCTTTAATGATAGAAAATGTGGTTTGGGCACTTTTAATTCTAAGGTTTTGAGTTTATCAGCAATTATTTGAGAAGGTGGATATTATGGAAAAAGAGAATATTTTTTACATTCATCGTTGATGCAAATCTTATTTTACCTTTACAGTTGTTGTAAATTTAGAGTTTCATTTTAGTATGAAGTAGAGGCTAATCATAGTCATCACAAATTCTGTCATACATACTTTGGATATTTTGCATCAGTTGTTTTTATAAAGAAAAATCTTACTGTGTTATTTAGAGGCAACGAAGAGATTTCCTTTCCATCTTCAATGTTCCATAATTGTAATAAACCATCTTGCTGTATAGACTGAAAAACAAAAATTGAGAAAAAAAGTGATATTAAAATAATAAACATTTTTTCTAATTATCAGTCAGTCATTTAAGTACTATATGTGATACACACTTGAGCAATCATGTCTCTTTTGATCTATAACTGACTTGGCAGAAGATTTTCCTGCAGTAGTTTGCCATTTCTTTCTGCGATAGACTGGTTTCCAATCAAGGCTATATAACCCAGTCTGTCCTGCTATTCAATCCATAGCTGTGAGGGAGTAGAGATGAATTCATACCTTACCCAAGGGTGTTTGTGTGTAAATGAATGTAAGGAACTTGACTGGAATTTGAACTTGGCTCTCCTATTTTTTATTCAAAGTCGATATGGGTAAACTACATGTAACATATTTCAGACACTTTTCACATTGAAATATCAGGTCATCCCATAAGTTCTGTCCGAATTTTAACTTTTTGTTAAAATGAACGAAATTTAAAGAGTATTTTATAATGTCTAATGGAGCTGAACATTATTTTTATGTTTAAATGCATTTAAACTGATCAAATTTTATTTCAGAGAACAATAAAATTAAATTTTGTTTGATTAAAACCCTGCTATCATGGAAGTACCCAAAAATCATTTGAAGCACATAATGCTTTATGAGTTCAAGAAAGGAAACTCAGCAGCCGAAGTGGCTAGAAACATTCACTCAATTTATGGAGAGGAATGTATGAGTGAAAGAACTTGCAGAAGATGGTTTGCAAAATTCAGAGGTGGAGATTTCACCATTGAAGATGAAGATTGAACCGGATGTCCAGTTGAGTTTGATGAAAAGCTTCTTGAAGCAGCCCTTGAAGAAAATTCTGCTTTATCAGTTGAGGAATTGGCAGTGGTTCTCAGTTCAAACCATACAACTGTTCATCATCATCTTCAACAACTTGGAAAAGATCCTAAACTTGGAAAATGGGTGCCTCATGAATTGTCTGAAAACAACCTCAAATCCTGAGTTGACATCTGCTCTTCTCTTCATTCTTGCCAACTTGTTTCACCTTTTTTGGATAGACTTGTGACTGGCGATGAAAATTGGATCTTTTATTGAAATGTTAAGCATTGTAGACAGTGGCTTGGTAAAGGAGAAGGACCCCAGCCACAGCTGAGAAGGGAACTTCATGGGCAAAAGGTTCTTCTTTCAATCTGGTGGGATTGCCAAGGAATAATCCACTTTGAATTCTTACCACCTAATGCAATAATTAATGCTCAAATATACTGTCAGCAATTAGAGTGTTTGAACCAAGCTTTGAGGAAAAAAAGACCTACTCTAGTGAATCAAAAAGAGGTGATGTTTCATCAGGACAATGCGCGACCCCACACAGCAAGAATCAAGTCACAAAAAATCGAAGAACTTGGTTGGGAGAAAATTCCTCATCCATCTTATTCTCCCGATCTTGTTCCTTCAGACTACCATTTGTTCCGTTGCTTACAGAATCATTTGGAAGAAACAGCTTTTATAACACAGGAATAGGTTAAAACTGACATTTGTGAGTTCTTCGAATCAAAGCCAAAAGAATTTTACAGTAATGGAATTAATAAGCTTGTTAATAGATGGAAGGTAGTCATAGATAATCAGGGAAAATACATTGTTGATTGAATGTGTAATTAAACGTAACATTTGGTCACTTGTTTTCTTTATACAAAATTCGGACAGAACTTATCGGATGATCTGATACATTAATTTTATTGAAGTAATTAAATTATTTTTTTGTAACGATTAACTTGTGGAATATGTTAAGTAGGTAAATTAATGATTAAAAAGACTTAGCAAAGTTTATAATTTTCAAAACAAAATTCTCACATGTGAGGCACCTTTACAAGTATAATTTTTAAAAATTTTCACAAGGAGAAAAACTGAAACTATCCTACCTAGAATATTTTTTCTAGCCTTTAAATCTGCGAATCTTTTCATGGCACTATACCTATTTTCTTTACAATATCATTTTTTGTTGACAAAGTAACCAAAGAATTTAATCTGTCCTGAGTTGTGGACGACAGCAAGAATGTTTTTATAAGCTTTAGTTTCGAAAGATACCAAATACATGACATGGCAGCATGATGATACCCTGGGTGACAGCCTGAGTTATCGGTACCTTGAGCCGATCCTGCTCCCATCTTATAGAACAAGTTTTAGAGAGAATAATGAAAATGAATTCAATTTATTTCTATTTAAAATGATGTCAATTGATAAACAAGGTTATCAGTCTTTGAAAGCAAGTTTTACACCAAATAGCACAATAAAACTGGTATTACAAATGAAGTAGACATTTTCCCTCAAAATATACAAAGTTGTAAGGTCTCCAGATTCTATAAAACAAGTTTTAAACTTGAAAGAATAATGAAACTGGTAATCAACTTGAAGTAAATTTATTTGACTTTAAAATGATGATTGTTGTCTTGTAAATATGACCAGCAATCTTGTAAAAGATGTTTTAAATCAAATAGGATCATAGAAATGGCATCAAAATGAATTAAATTTTTGACTGATTCATTCATTTTTTATGGCTTATCAAACCCTTTGCCAGTTATTTATAGCCAGAAAAAAGTTTTTTTTAGATTATAAGATTTTTTTTGAGATAGTAATGATTTAGTAATACAAGTCTTACTAATTGACCCATAGTTTGGGAGAGAAGTGGTGGCTTCATACCTTCCCTATGGTATTTGCACATAAGTGAATATAATGAACCCAACTGGAATTGGAACTCAGCTCTCCAGTTAACAATTCCAAGCCATTATCCATTAACCATGCATTCTCAGTTACCCATCAATGTAATGACCAGGTTCAATATTGCTTAACTTTGGTGATCAGACAGAGACTTGTGTTTCAATGTGATGTAGCCATAAACCTTGAATTAAATTTATTTCTCTTTAAAAATATAAGTGTTGATTAGCAAGTAATCTTCAATGCTATAAGCCAGAATAATGAATTTGAATCAATCTTTTCCAAATATACTTTGGTTGATAGACAAAATCTTACACAATTAGATAAAAAGTAAACAAACTGGAGGGAGATATTAAGATATTAACATTGGATCTGGAATTGGAATGAAAGCAATGATGGCATCTACCCTGAATCTATTATAAAAATTCAACATGTGGAATTAGTAGATATTAAACACTTCAGATACCTTGGTACATAGATCAGCTATAACAAATTAAGTATGGGAGAACAAGAAATTGATCATAGAATAGAGTGAGCTAGAGATAGCAATTTGTTGTGTTGGGCAAAGCTATGAAACCAAAACATCAACATTAAAATTTGAGTCATATTCTTAAATAGCCTCATCAGATCGAGACTTTCATACAAATGTCATGTATGGTATCAAATCTTTTCTGAAATATCTAAACTGTCAGCTGTATACAAGCCCTTTCTCAGATCAATGGTTAAAAATGTTTTGAGTGAGTAAAGCTTGAGTTTTTTGGAAAAGGTCATCCTTCTTTTAACATTCTGAACTAGTGCTACAGAATCACAAACAAAGAACTGTACCAAATAACAGAAACCACATCACTTGAGGATTAGCAACAGCAGCAACAACTAAAATGTTGACATAATCAAGATGTTAAAAAATGATGACATAATCAAGATGTTAAAATTTTATACTACTTCAAATAAAAGGTTAGGATGGAAACCCCCATCAATACTGAAAAGAGGTATAAAAGTTACTGGATTTGAGAAATCTGTTTTCCCCAAAAAAGTGTTTTAAGAGAAAGATTTTATAAATTTCAACCGAAAGTAGTGCTGGCTGCTTGGTCAATGAATGCCAAATGTTTCCTTGTAGGGAAACACCTAATATTACTATTACAAGATATTTAGTAACAGAGAAAAGGAAATTAAAACACAGAATAGGCTGTGCTGGAAGTAGTTTTGTTCAACACTGCAAGCTGTTATACAACCAAGACATTAACCTGAATATTTGTGACATGAAACTTGTGTTGTGAAATAGCCTTGTCAGATCAATGTCATGCATAGCATCAAAACCTTTCAGAAATATCTAAACTGTCAGCTGTATACAACTGTTTAAGATCTATGGTTAAAAATAGTTTTAGGCAAGTGAAGCCTGTGGGTTTTGGCAAAAAACATCTTACTTTGAATATTGTGGAATGGTGCAACAAAATCAAAGAACTGTACCAAATACCAGAAACCACATCACTTGAGAATTATCAACAGCAGCAGCAACTAAAATGAATAGCACATGTAACTTGAAGAGAAAATAATGGCATAATGAAAATGTTGATGTTCTACACTACTTCAAATAAAAGTTTAGGAAGGAAAAACCCCATTAATACTGGAAAGAGTGATAAAAGCTACTGGACTTGATAAACCTGTTTTCCTGAAAAGTTGTTTTAAGAGAAGGATTTTATAAATCTGAAACTGACAACTGTACTGGTTGCTTGGTCAAAGAATAGCAAAAGAATTGTTTCCATATAAGGAAATGGTTAATATTAATATCGCCATTGTTACAGACTCTCTGCTGCCATAAACTGTTTATTGTTACAAAATCTCTTCTGCCATAAACTGTCTGTTGATATATAGTGTTGAAAAGGTTTTTTACCTTTACCAAATCTCTTAAAGATATTATATGTGAATGTTTGATTTTTTTTATTTAGTCTCAAGATAATGATTTTTTTAAAAGACCAGCCATAATGCAAGTTATAAGAAATGACACTTACCACAGCAGTTTTTGTACCTGGATATAAAGATTTCACAGCTAAAAAAGGAGAGCTATCCTCATCGAACAGAAGTTTGACTTGATCCAGTTTATTCACATTATGAAGTTGAATTATGCCCTGACAAGAGAAGAGATAATAGTGAAATAAAACTTAACTATAATAATAATGTTAGAAGGCTGTCAATTTACTTCATGTTGTTATGCAAATGCAAAGTGCGACTCTGATTTTTTAATGAATCAAATGTAGTAAGGGCATTTGCCCCGACTATTTGCGAGGGAACTGCATATATACTCAAAAGGTACTACTTTAAAAAGGAAGGCAAAAGTAGTAAAAAAAAAAAAAAAAAAATAATTTTTTTCATGGTAAAAATTCCCAAGCATCTCTTTGAAATTTCAAAGTCATTTATCCAAAGTGAAGGTTGTAGCATTGTCTCTTGGACCACCTCTTAGTGGGATTTAAGACAAGGCTTCTTTGGTGATCAATCACTATGGTTCAATACAGAAAAAGAACTGTGATTGAAAAGTGAACCCATTGTAAAAAACAAAAAACTCATGGACAATGAAAACATTTGGAAGAATGATTCTGTTTTATTTATGTTTCAATAGAGTGAAAAGATAGCTGCTACTAGAATTTGGTAATGGGGAAAATGAAGAGTATGAAATAGTGTAGCATTCAACTAACTAGCAGACAAAATGGTTCCTCTTTTATGGAAATTTAAGTTCCAGATTGATTAAGAAAAGTCATTATTCACAGCTCCTGGCCCACAGTCATCTCAGACCAAAATATTTCAGTCAAAACTGATACACATGTGACACTATTTAACTATGGTAATTAAGCATAGAAATTAAAAACGAGAAATACTTAAGGCGAGAAAGAGCTATATCAAAAGACAGACCGAGCGACATTTTTTTTTTAATAAAAAAAAGAATGGGAAAAGATTTTATTTCATTTGGGAAGAAAAATACTATTCTGGCTTCGGTCAACTGCACACAGGCAGAAGAAATCAATATTGGTTATCTATCAGAGATACCATTAATATTTTTCATTCTTGTATTCCGACAAAGAAAGCCAGCCGTTATGTATACAGATCTTGATATGATCATTGTTATTGCTTATTCAAACTGTTGATGACAGATTTAATGTTGCTGAAAGTGGGCATCTGGTGATATTAAAATTTTAAGACATGAGAAAAATAAAGAATTTGATTTTCAGGTGGAACATGACCACCCAGTTTAAAAGTTGACTAGCAGTGATTAATGAGTCGGTAGAGATTCTGCTAAGTGGATTTTGGGTGGCTCAGGATAAGATAAAAATTTAATTCTGGCCACATGGGATTCATAAGAATTCTGGCCGATAGAAAAAAAAAAGAAAAGAGAATTTTTTTTCTGGATGATAATTTTAAGAAGGCTAAGTCTAGCCACACCCACACTGCTGAGCGATCATTGGCCAAGTGGTGGTATGAGTGATAGGCGAAGGTGAATGTATGAGAAAGGCAGGGAAGTTGTTGACACCCATTAAGAGGATTGGTATGAGATACTAATATCAGAAAGGAAGAGTCTAGGAGGATAATTCTCCTCCAGTCTCTCCTCATGGATGAGGGAGAGAGCCCCGGGGTGGAAAGTGATTGGCTTCCAAAAATGGGAAGTAATAAATTTTCCTATCCTGAGGACAAAGAGAATTTTTGTTGGGAATTAAGAATTGTCAAAGACCCCAAACCATGACAGGCCTTAACCCAGAGTTGGTTGGTGTCCATATAAACAAACGTCTTGAGGCAGCTAGTCAGTGTTTTATTCGGCAGAGTTTCAAGAGAGTTGGGTTGGCGATCGGAGATGCAGATCAACTTGGGCTTGGAGAATAGCGCCTCGCAGGAGCTGATCAAGATTTCCATGCCTTTCGACTTAGTCTTCCCACCAAAAGCAAGTTTTTATTGATGAACGACTTAAAATACCATAACTCGCTTAAGAAATGCAAAAAGTGTCACAAGTCCATAGAAATGGACCGTGAGAGAAACACACTTCTGTATTCAACAGATGGATAAAGATAATTGTTATTTCTCAACATATTTGATCCTTGTGAATTTGTTTTATTATTTTTCTTATACTTACGCTTGTGCAGTATCACCATTACCCTGGATTCAGCTTGCATTACGGCCTGACGCCTGATTGATTTCGTCTACCCTAAGATCAAAATCACAACATGGGTAGGTTAGACTTGAGATCAAAGTAGTTACTTTGGTGACCAAGCGTTGGAGGCAAGCTGAGAACGACAAAACTGGTATTGAACCAGAAACGAGCAGATTGACCGGGACTGGTGGTAGCGACAATGAGTCAACCCCAAACACTGGTGGAAGAAACCTTACAGCTTCATGCCGCAACTGGGAGTTGACCATGGGCTGACGGCACAGCATAGTATATTGATGTCGCGACCAGTGGACGTCACATATTGACACTGGACTGCGACTGCCGGTGGATGTCACACACATAAGAATGTTGCTCCCAAATGTGCCTTGAGCTGTCATTCTACAAACTCTGTTTAATGAGCATCATTATATATCACTACAAGATCAGCAGAATGAAAATAAAGATGACGAAAATAGAAAAGAAAATGTGAAAAATATGATGATAGAAAGCTAGTTAGGATGATGATTGGGATTAAAAGAATACAAATGTTTTTGTTAACAGCAATTTAAAACTTCATTTTTGTTTATTAAAAGTGAAAAGGATTTGAAACACTATAAAACATCTATTTGAAACTTACCTGAGGTGATCCGACCAGTATCATCTCATAGTCTGGAGTGAATGTGAAAGTTGAAATTGAGGTATCGGCAATGCATTGGCAGAGTAGTTTTGGGTTTTCACCAAAAATATCAAATTGCTGAATAATTCCATCCTGAAATTATATCATTAAAAGTTTATCCATGGATAGTTAGAAAGTATTTCAATATTTTCTCGTAAGAATTATTGGAACAACTTGTGAATTGGCAATATGAAATTATAAATGAGACATCTAAATTTGGCAAATTGAATTTGATCATTAAGTCCCATAATTTAGTTTCACCAGAAAAATTGTAAAGATTTATTGGAACTTTTTTTTTTTAATAGTCTGTGACTGACTTTTTCTAATACAGTAGAATACCACATAGCCAGACATAATTTTGATGCGTATATTTGAACTATTTGGGTGATATGTAACTGATTTGAAATTTCTGTTTTTTCAAGAAATTTATTCTGGATAATTGCTTATTTCACCCTAATGGCTCAAAAGATGATCGGAATAAGAGGAAAAGAACAACTTTGGGGTTATCGCAAAAAATGGAAATTTTAAACAGACTAGATGCTGGTGAATGTCCATTGTAACTAATAGCTGAGTTCAGTATAGGAAATTCAACATTGTATGATATAAAATCTTCCAAAGAAACTATTCTCCAGCATTCACACTGTTACAATGAACAAGGATGTAAAAAAACATGATTGTGATGAAACCTAGACTGAAATTGAAAAGGCTATTGAAAAGGTTGTCAGTTTTATGGAAAGAAAGTCAGCATTCAGCTATAATAAATGCAATAATGCACACAGAGTTAAAAAGTGTCTTTCATTTAAAAAAATTTAAGAGCAAAAGCAAAACAAAATGTGGAAAAAGTTGAGAATGACATTAGAAGAGAAAGAATCATTATGCAAAAGCAATTAAAAAATCCTTGTTACATTATTTGTTTTGCATACGTGACATACTTAATTTAATGAATTTTCACTAACATTATGTAATTTATTTCTTTTTTCTTAAAATCAGTTCCATTATATTTTACTCATCATTAGCTTATTTTGTTTACTATAAAACACTGAAAATGAATGTTAAACCTGATTTCAGTTCTTTTATTTTAATCTTAATTAAATATAATAACCTTCATATCCAGTAACCAATTCCTCATATCCGGACTTTGTAATTCCTTTAACTTTTAACCAATTCATATCCGGACTTTGTAACCAATTCCTCATATCCGGACTTTGTAACCAATTCCTCATATCCGGGCTTTGTAACCAATTCCTCATATCCGGGCTTTGTAACCAATTCCTCATATCCGGGCTTTGTAACCAATTCCTCATATCCGGGCTTTGTAACCAATTCCTCATATCCAGACTTTGTAACCAATTCCTCATATCCTTTGTAACCAATTCCTCATATCCGGACTTTGTAACTCATATCCGGACTTTTGTAACCAATTCCTCATATCCGGACTTTGTAACCAATTCCTCATATCCAGACTTTGTAACCAATTCCTCATATCCGGGCTTTGTAAACAATTCCTCATATCCGGCATATCTCAATTCCTCATATCCGGGCTTTGTAACCAATTCCTCATATCCGGGCTTTGTAACCAATTCCTCATATCCCTTTGTAACCAACTTCATATCCAGACTTTGTAACCAATTCCTCATATCCAGACTTTGTAACCAATTCCTCATATCCAGACTTTGTAACCAATTCCTCATATTGACTTTGTAACCAATTCCTCATATCCGGACTTTGTAACTCAATTCCCTCATATCCGGACTTTCATATCCAGACTTTGTACCAATTCCTCATATCCGGACTTTGTAACCAATTCCTCATATCCGGACTTTGTAACCAATTCCTCATATCCGGACTTTGTAACCAATTCCTCATATCCAGACTTTGTAACCAATTCCTCATATCCAGACTTTGTAACCAATTCCTCATATCCAGACTTTGTAACCAATTCCTCATATCCAGACTTTGTAACCAATTCCTCATATCCAGACAATTCCTCATATCCAGACTTTGTAACCAATTCCTCATATCCAGACTTTGTAACCAATTCCTCATATCCAGACTTTGTAACCAATTCCTCATATCCAGACCAATTCCTCATATCGGACTTTGTAACCAATTCCTCATATCCGGACTTTGTAACTAATTCCTCATATCCGGACTTTGTAACCAATTCCTCATATCCGGACTTTGTAACCAATTCCATATCCATATCCATATCCGGACTTTCCTAATCCGGAATTCCTCATATCCAGACTTTGTAACCAATTCCTCATATCCAGACTTTGTAACCAATTCCTCATATCCGGACTTTGTAACCAATTCCTCATATCCAGACTTTGTAACCAATTCCTCATATCCAGACTTTGTAACCAATTCCTCATATCCAGACTTTGTAACCAATTCCTCATATCCAGAAGGCCTTATTAGTCTGGTTGTCAGGGATTCTACTGTATTATTTTTAAGTTACATGACACATGGTCTTGTAAGATTTAGTAGGGGCAACCAATATAGGACAAATTCAAAAACATGGACAAACTAGTTACCTATCATTTTTCATTTATATAACACAGCTAATTCATCATAATCATTTTAACAGTAAATTTCTAACTTGAGTGGCTCTTGTGCCTTGTATTTCATGAAATTTAGTATAAAAAAAAAGATAAGCTACTCTATTACCTTTCCAAAGAGTACTGATAGCAATTCACAAATGTAAAAAAATAAAAAGATGTGGAGAGTCTTGATCAGTAATTTTGTTCAACTGCAAATTTTGCATCTCAATGACAAGACTATTTTCTTTGATAAAATGTGATATTAAAATATAAGAAATTTACAAAAAGCAAAGGTAACGCTCACCTTAGAAGCAGCAAAAAGTCCTATGCGATGTACAGCAATAAAATCTATTGAAAGCACTTGCTCAGAACTGTCATCATCTGTTTGTTTTCCATTATCAGGAAAAAGAAAACACCCAAGCCATTAATAGTAGTAATGCTTATTTGTCAATAAATCAATTCAGAAAATGAATTCAGGACATATGTCAAATAGCTTAAAAGGATATATGCAAGGTTATTCAAAAAGAAAGAGCAGATTTCGAAAATTAAATAAAAAATAATTCTAATAGAAACACATTCAATACATTACTGGATAGGAAAAGTGTGTTCATCTTATCTGATTTTCTAAGTAAATATGAATTCCAGCACAAAACTGTTCGCAGACTGAGAGTGCTTAAATAAAGAAGTTATTAAGATTCATGTTTCGTCGCAAATACACAAGGTACTGAAAATATACTTATAAAATCTGAGGTGAGGGTACAAATATGGGGTTAATGTAACACCCCCTCACCAAAAAATGAAAAAGGATTGCTTGCGATTCCTTTTGAGTAAAATAGGAAATGGGATTTATTAAAAAAAATAAAAGATTTACTCTCCTCTGTTATATATATATATATATATATATATATATATATATATATATATATATATCAAAGGTATATCCTTTATTATGTTAGCAGTGCGATAAAGCGTCTGCACATACATTGTCGGTGCCTCGAATATGTCGGATATCTCGATTATATTCTTGCAAAATCAGGCTCCAGTTTAATAGTCTTCAATTCTTACTCTTCATCCGATGCAGCACTGTGATAGGGTTGTGGTCAGTGTATACTGTTGTTGGATGGCAGGACGAAGACACGTACACATCAAAATGATGCAGGCTTAAAACAAGGGCTAGAGTCTCTTTCTCCACAGTTGAATATTTTTGCTGGCATAAATTAAATTTCCGCGAGAAATAGCTGACAGGGTGTTCGATGTTATTAGAATCGACCTGAAGCAGAACAGAACCCATTCCAACACCACTGGCATCGACCGCCAGGCTAAAAGGTTGAGAAAAATCCGGGGCCTTCAGAATCGGGTCAGAACATAGCAAAGACTTAATCTGTTCAAACGATCTCTGACAGGAGGGTGTCCAAACAAATTTGGCTTTCTTTGATAACAGCTGGGTGAGCGGTAACGCTACATCAGAAAAGTTCCTGCAGAATTTCTGATAGTATCCGGCCATTCCAAGGAACCACCTTAGGTTCCTGATGTTCTGTGTGACTGGGACGTTCAAGATGTCTTTAACCTTAGCATCAATGGGGGAGATTTTGCTGTATCCTACTGTATGACCCAAGTATGTCAATTCGGCCTTTCCAAACTCACTCTTCGATAGGTGGATGGTAAGATTCGCTTGTCAGAGCCTAGCAAAAACGTTCTGCAATGTTGTCATGTGGTCTGCCCAGTTCGTGTTGTAGATTACTATGTCATTGATATATTTCGCAACATTAGATAGGTCTCGCATACAGTAATTCATCATCTGTTGGAATGTGGCCTGAGAATTTTTCATGCTGAAAGGCATGACGCGATATTGGTATAGACCATAAGGCGTCACAAAAGCTGATATTTCTTTGGTGCGCTTAGTAAAAGGCATGCACCAATAGCCCTTCAATAGATCCAACTTGGTGATATGTGTCGCTTTACCGATTTAGTCTATACAGTCATCCATTCGGGGAGTGGGATGGGAATCAGTGTGGGTAAGGGTATTCACCTTATGGTAGTCCATGCAAAACCGTATCGAGCTGCAAAAACCTACTCCTCAATAAAGTCTTGACACCAAATTGTTTTTATGAGAAATAAATCTCATATTCACCCTGACTATAACAAAATAGTTGTTTCCATGTCAGAGAACAACTACTGTTTGAAAAATAATGCTCTATGCCAGGGGTTGGCAACCTTTTGCTAATTATGTGCCAGCTTATAATCATTCACTGTATAAGTCAATACCTGTTTTACAATATATTTTATAATATATATATATATATATATACTTTAGTATATATTAAAATTGAAACAGCTAGATATCTTCTTTGCATTTTAGTAGTTATTGGTTAGGGCATTGTGATGTTATTTGCAGTTGCATGCCATTCAAAATTGTTTGGCGTGCCAAGTGTAGCATGCATACCATAGGTTGTTGACCCTTGCTCTATGCTGAGCTCTGAAGGCACAAACAGATTCTGTCACAAACTTTGATAACACATATCAAATCATAAGAACTATTAAGAACATTCACATTTTATACTGTCAAGGTAAAATGTACCCTTTTAATTGGGTTCAACCTCACTGAAACCCTTTTATTGTATCTTCTTCCGTGTAATTTGCATTGTTTTGCATCTGCTAGCATTTTTCTTGTGATATTTTGTTATTTGATTCATATTGATTGTAAACTTGAGCTTTTTCCTCACAACTAGCATTGAGCCTTATTTTAGTAAAAATAAGTTACTTGCCCGGAAGTTTTATTAGTCTCCCCCTTTTTCTGAGTACACAAATCACCAAATTTGTGCATCCCTAATATTTAGTAAAATTTGCTTTAATTTTATTTTATTTTAATAAAATGTTTTTGGTTTTATATCTCACTAAGTAGGTCTAATTTTTTTTTTCTTACAGTGAGCCTTGTTGACACTTGATCTACATTCTCTTCAATCTCTTAACTGAAACCACAAAATGTATTAATAATTTTATTTTTGTTCTCTATTTTTTTTTTATGATATTAAAAAAAAAAAGTGATAGGAATTTGAAGAATTTAAGCACAGTACTAGATTGGCATCTCAGTCTCATTTTACTGTTGAGCAAGCTAGATGCAACCATAAGTTCTATTCTAATAATTTCTTGCATTTTTTTGTCTATGGAACTCTCTTCCGGCGTCTTGCTTTCCTATCATCTATGATCTTCAAAAATGTAAATGCAATGTTAATTGCCATCTTCTGCCTTTCTGAACCCTGTTCTTTTGTCTTTTCTACTCAATGTTTTTCTCAGTTTCTTTCACACTCAGTAACCCCTTACTGGGGTGAAAGGATTAGAAAGACCTCCCCACAAAAAAACAAAACAAAAACAGCAAGGTGGTGCATATACATACATCACACTAGAAATGTAAAATGTTAAGTTTTCTTGCATCTTCAGCATTTCTCTTGAATTATAATGGACATTTGTTTGTCTTTCATTCACTCTCTGTCTCCTTACAAGGATTGATTAAAAAGTATTGGGACTGGTGCTATAAAAAGAAAACTACAAGACACATCAATCCAGCATTTAATCTCTTTTGAAGTTGTCCACTTCTGAAATACTTTTTTTTTTTTGAGATAGTGAGAAGCAGTCCTATCATATTTCCTGGATTTCCTCAATGTCTTGAGATTTTGTACTTTTCAACTGTGATTAGATTTTTGAAAGAGGAAAAAGTCAAAGGTCAAGATCTGGTGCATATGATGTTTGTTAGACCTTGGGAATGTTATTGGTCCAATTCCTTCTCAATTCTTGGAAAAGGCATGATCACTCCATCTATGGGTTAAATAGTAGTGCAGACTGGCTACTTTTGCCTTGAGGTGGCAATCAGTCTAGGATGAGGGAAACTGAATTCAAAACCAGCCTGAAGTGAGTTAGGTTGTCAGGCTATCTGGCCCTAGGCACCCCACCATGCCCTTACAACCTGTATTCATCTTGTCTGGTTTTTGCACATCCACACAGTCAGAGTGCTTCTCTTGATTGTGAAAAACACTAGAGTTATATAGCTCTCTCAGTCCCAGACCCATGCTAACTATTGGCTAATACTCACCCAGTATCGTTCATATGCAAATAGGCATTGCCACCTACTCTAAGTAGAAGGTCTTCTCTTAACAGTCTATTGTGGTAGAGGATGCAATTACTGGTGATTACAGCACCACATACAACCAACTCAGTCTTTTATTGGGCTGACCTGATTCTGTTACATAACCCTCATGGGTTACAATATACACACAAGAAAATATTGCAGCTATTTTTGCTGTAAACGTACAAACTGTGACCCTCAAAGTCTTTCACCGATTGGACAAATCACCCCAAACATGTTTTGATTCCAGTTTGCACTGATGTGAACAAAATTTGAGAAAAGCTTGTTGTATGACCCCAAGGGAATGGAAAGTGAAAATATTGCCACTATCAGAAATGAAAAACATATTTGGTTATTTACTGGTAGATTCACTATCTCTCCACCCAACTGACTGCAACTGTCTCTACATTTCTAACTAATGGCTTATCAGTCCCTAAAGGCTGGCTTCTTTCCAAATGCCATCTAGTCATCCTCTACAGGCAGCTTGCAACTGACCATTCTAACTCTGCTTATATAAACCTATGATGAACTTCTGACCTTCCATCCTAGTAATACTGAAAATTTTCATTTATTTGCTTCATTTCACTCGCAGGTGGTCAATTTTGAAGATTTTAATTTTATATTTTACTATCTACATAGTGATAAAAGACAGAGATAAAATTATTTAGGGCCCCACTTGACTTTAACTGTATCTTAACCCAATTCAAATATGGGATCAGTTTTGTCACATTGTAAAGAACAGAAATAATCCTTTAATTTGTGGTTTGAATCCTTTTGAGATTGAGTGACATTCAAACAAGTTCATCTGCTAAAACATAAAAGACAAAAAACAAAGACAAAAAACAATTGAAACTGACAACTCATCTATTGATGCTTTAAAAATTGTCCACAAATTTTAAGTCATTGGATAATATAGAGAGTATATATAAATACATTTATGAATGAACATATTTACATGTATGATATCTATATAAAATGAAGTGCCAAAAGATTGAAGACAGATATCTAATAATGTTTAACTCCTACAGTCTCCTGACCCACCCCTTGTGAAAGTGATGTGATCTAATTTTAGTGAACAAATTCTTACTTGCAGTTCCACTGACAATGGGCTTGTGCTCCTACATTTACTGGAATAATAGTGGCTACACAACATGGTCTATAATATCCTACAGTCATTGCATGGGTATATCTGTCCAGGCAGCTTCCAGGGCTGTCCATAATGAAATTGTGTTTGATAGGTATGACTGCAGGGAATTTAGTGAGTTCCTTACATGATGAATGGGGTTTAAATCTAGTGAGTGCAGGGCCAAAATGGAAGACCACTTGAAAGTCAGTTGATTGTTCCTCAAACCAGTTTTGTGTAAATTGCACACAATAAGGTTGGGGGTGACAATAGCTTATTAGGAGAAACCATCACCACTTTGAAATAAGTCAGGCATGAATTGGAGAGGATCAGATATTTTGCAACAAAATTTGTTTTTGTTTGAATTCTCAAGACAGACTAATTTTAGGAGCTGTCTTTATGAACTCTAACACATCCTATACAGAGTAATTATCAGCTTGCACAACATCCTGCTGACAACTTAGGTCTTATGTTGACTACTCCACAAACTCAGAGTAACCAATGGTAATGGTAAAAATAACCATTTCCTTATGAGTAAACATTTGCTGTTCATTGACCAATCTGTCAGTTTAAATTTATAAAATCTATTAAAACAATTTTTCAGAAAAATAGGTTTCTCAAGTACACTGTTATGGCTCTCTTCAGTATTAAGAGAGTTTCCTTCTTAACCTTTTGTTTAAAATTAGTGTGGAATGTCAGTATCTTGATTATATCATCATTTTCCTATGCTTTTATTACTACATGTGCTATCCATTTTAATCGTTGCTGTTGTTGAAAGTCCTCAAGTGATATGGTTTCTGTTATCTGGTAAAGTTCTTTTTTGTGGTTTATGTAGTGCCAATCCACATTGTTTGAAAAAGGATGGTCCTAACTAAGACCTTCTGGCTTCATTTACTTGAAGCCACCTTTAATCATTGATCTGAGAAAGAGGGTGTATACAGTTTATATAATGGAGTCACTCCATGTCAAATCAACAAGGGTCTAACCATCACTGAGATGGACATTTTTTTCATATTTGGTACACTTATATAGCTTCATGATATGAACTGAATGGTACCTATTATACATCTCAAAGTCAATGACCCTGTGAATTTTGGAAAATAGTCAAAGTTTAAATATCAATATCTTAGGTTTTTTTTTTTACCTACAAAGCTAAATTATTTACCATTTTAAATTACTTGGATAGATATAAATGGTGATCTATTTATTTTTTTTTTTTGTTAAAAGGTCAAATGATATAATTTGGCCTTGATCTTAATCTTCAACTTTTAATGACTCAAAAAAGCATATCTAATTTTTAAAAAAAATTAAACAAATTTGTCTTTTATGGCAGATATGTACAAACTTTTATATGTTCATAAATTGGGCAACTAGTTTTATTTAAATTTTCTTGTTCTAGATTTCAGACATTTTTATAAATTTATGAAATCAAATTTTTTTATTCATAATTATTTCTTTATAAAATGATAATATTGTATTGTAGTTGATTCACATATTTTTATAATCTTGTAGATATAAAATTATTCTAGCAAATAATATGATACATAAATAGTACTTTATATTTGTGTTTTTAATTCAAGAAAAATGAAAATAAACCCAGTTTGATATGTTTGAGTTTTTATTAAAACTCTAAAAAACAGCTTTTTAAAACAAAAATTGCAAAGGGAGTATACAATAATAATATTGTCAAGAGAAAAACTGTCCTTTTGACACATTTTTTGCAGGTACGTTTGTTAAATTCTCCTGTGGTTCGAATTTATTTGATGAAGTATATTAATTTTTAACTTCTTTCTTTCGTTATAAGCAAATTTGTGCTTGCTACTGTGGATTACAGTTACAAAACATCTATTAAATGGCACTGTTTAAGTTCTATAAAAAGACTAACATTTCCTTCTTCTAAGATGTAGCAGAAATAGATGAAGGTGTCCCTGCTAGGAATGTTCCTTTCCCTGGTTGACTGATGACTGAACTCTTACACACATGCTTGTATCACACACAGACATGCCGAATTCTTAATAATTAATAGTTTTTAATGCCTCTTTTTTCTTTTCAGCTGTGTAATGTAATTTGTCTCTTTTGTTAATGCATGCATTGTTTGTTTGAAATCTATATTTTGTGTGCATTTATTTTTACTTGGACTCACATGAGTGTGCCAAATATTGTTTGTAGAACAAAAGTGAACCATAAGGCATAAAATGAAACCCTTCCATCTATAGTTGATAGTCACGAGTCCGGTCCTGCACAAGTCAGACTGTAGATCATCCTCTGCTCCTCTGAACAACTCACCTTTTATTCAGGTTTTTGACCATGCATGCAAATTAGCCATAGTTTAAAAAAAGCTAGAACCATGCATGTACTTTACCTAAATTGCAAATGGTTGCTCCAACTGGGCAGGTGAGACATTGTGACCTTTTAGTCACCTAAGTTAGAATTCCTTGGTCCTATTTCACCACACCATCTTCGCAGTAAAAGTGGTGACTCCCACAACACTATCATGGCAACTTACCCTTAGAAAGGCATGTGCCCACCTCCTCTTCTCTCAACTAGGAAGACTGGGCTCTTAAGCTTTGGTTGGTAATCAGACTAGAATAAGTATAATTCTGAATTCAAAACCAGTTGGATGTGCAGTGGGGCTGGTAACTTAATTCTGTACAAACCTCCTTACTATAGAAAAATCACAGAAGCAGCACCTAGATATATAAAGTATAGATATTTACAAGAGTAGTATCCTATAAAATACTCATTGTGACAGGCTGATCACATAACAAGTCTGAAAGATGTTTATCGTCCAAGGACCTTCCAATTCAAGGAACTAGCTTTAGCTGACAAAGGAGTAGTACTTTCCTGAAAATACAATGACACCTTGAAAAGGAGCCATTGTATATCCTGTGTATTGAACCACCCTCAATGGGAAACAGAAGCAACCAATATGATGATATAAAAGTGTAAGATCTAACAAGTAACCTATATTACAGTATCAAGCCTTAAAAGGTAAAGTGGAAGAAAAGAGACACAGGGGCCTCCATTACTAGCTAAACCCTCTTCTGTAGTTGTGGAAAAAAAAATTTCTCCTGGATAGGCCTCACTCACTTTCAACAGATATGGAAGGCTCTCCCAAATCTTCGTTTCCAATATCTTAAAAATACTTGAAAATAAATTGGAAAGAATCCTGTACGGAAATGCATATATATTTTTTTTGTCATTAATGTCTGGAAGAGTTATAGCCCTTGAACCAGGTGTTAAGCGGAAGACATGTTTGATGATAGTTGAAGCAGAAGACATGTTGGGTTGTCTGCCCTTGAGAGAGTGACAGGGAAGTATAAAAATAGTGAAACAGAGCTTTTGGGATTCAAAATATCTGGAATCTACAGCAAGTTAATAAAACCTAAGTAAAATGAATTTGAATACGTTGCATAAATATATGTTTTAGCTTAAAAAATTCTATGTAAATATTGATGACATTTGAATAAAAGAAACAATACTTTACCAGGAATCTCTTCGCTGATTATTAAAGGATGAAATAATATCTTTGCTGAATCTGAATCCCCGTCCACCTGCAAGGGAAGATTCATAGAATCCATAAGGAACTATCATAATATGTTCATCTATCATCCCAAATGATAATCAGTGTCAGAAAGAATATGCTAATGTATATTTTATATCATTTCTGTCTATATTTCTAAGATGAGGTATTATGTACATTATTTATATTATTCGGACTATTGTCCTCATTTTTGTCACGATATTTATTACAGCATTTCGACCGCTGTATGCTCTGGCCTTCTTCAGGTGGTTGGAATGTTGAACTGAACCCTTTATTTCGTTCACTGGGGTAGACTGTTCTAGTTCCCCACACCATGTTTAATGGATGTCAGTTATCAGTTATCTCCTGTTAATTTCCCTCTGAAAGTTCTCCACTGCCTTAACCGAGTATTGAACTCACACTCTTTGGGTCCTGTCACTGGATCTAACTAATGCCTTTACCCGGTTAAGGCAGTGGAGAACTTTCAGAGGGAAATTAACAGGAGATAACCAATAACTGACATTCATTAAAGATGGCACATAAAGGGTCGTTTGGGGACTTTGTGGCACCTAGTGCACCAGGTCTCTGTAATTGGCCCTTCAAAAAGTGTGGATGGTCCTGCATGAAACCTTCACCACTATAATCAAATCTCATGTGCTATACATGTGGGTTGGGAACTGCTTGTGAATTCCAAATTCCCATAAAACTCCAATATTGGAGCTGGCTCAACCCACCGCGGGTGAATGCCGTTAGAAGAAGAACCCCAGTAAGCGAATTAAAGGGTTCAGTTCCATATCCCAACCACTTGGAAAGCTGGAGTGTATAACAGCCAAAATGTTGTAATAAATATGGCGACAAAGATGAGGACAATAGTCAGAATAATGCAAATAATTTATATCATTTATACAAAATTTTAACAATATATCATATCCAAAATTATTTGGACATTCAAATCTATTTGCATAATTGCTGTTAAGATGGGAAGTGAGAGAAATTTTGGAAAACAGCCAAAAATGATGAGAATGTGACACTTAGGTCTCTAGAAGAACACACAAAAACAATTCATAATAGTACCAGTAGATAAGAGAAATGCTATCATAGTGATGGATAGAACTATGTAATTGATTTGTCTTTTTTATGTTTTATCAACCTTTTACAGGTTATTTAAAGCCAGAAAATATATTTAGATTGTAAGAATTTTTGAGATAATGATTTACTGATAAAAAACCCTACTCAACCTATAGCTTGGGGGAGAAGAGGTGGATTCATAACTTTATAACAAATGCAACTGGAACACAGCTCCCTGATTTCTAATATATCCATTATACCATATGCACATGTGAGTTTACAGCACCTGATCTTCCCAAGCAGTCATCTATCTAGGTACTAACCAAGATGATATTGCTTAACTATGGGGATCATAGGAGAACTGGTGTTTCACTGTGATATGGGTTTATAACTCATTCCTAGTGGTTATAATATTAGGTCTTGCTGTGACATCTGTAAGAAATTCTCCTGACTGACTCCAACAGACTACTCCGACTTACTTGGAGTTCTTTATTTAAGGCATCATGCCTAGTTCATTTGTGTTACCAGGAGTGTGCTATTCACTCCATAACCCCCTGCCCCCTTGTAATTTTTTTTTTTTTATCAGTAAATATTTTATTTCTTAATAATCGCCCCTCCTCTTTTTGGCAAGTTTGCCAACACAATGTACTTTGTACTTCTTTTGTTTTGGGTCAAATTCCAGTTTTTCCACGTGTTTCCTTTTTCTGGTAATCATACTTGTATGTTCAACAAATTTAAAAGTATCATACAGTACTTGTATAGATTTTTCCTTTCTTTGGGCTTTTCTTCAGTAAACCTTTTCTTTAACTAATTCCAATGTCTTTTATATTCCCATTTTTTTCCTTTTGCCATATATCTCATTTTTCCAATTTGTGACCTTATTACACCATCTTCCCACATTTCATTTTCATTTTTATATACTCGGAAAAGCAGTTTCGCCAATTTTGAAAAATTTTGTGTGCTCTTTGTTATGTTATTCTTTTTTGACTTGGTAACAACTTACCAAACACCAATTTAATTTTTCTTGTGAACGTTAATTCTGCTGGTGACATGCCTGATCAGTGTTATCTAGTATCCTCTCAAACATTTTTGTAGGGTTTCTGTGCTCACTTTTTCATTACTTGCTTTTTTTCAAAGCTCTCTTAAAAGTACCCACAAACCATTCACTTTCCCTGTTTCACCTTGCGTGATACAGCAGAGTAGTAATATGTTCAATTAAGAACATTTTACAAAAATCTTTAAATTTGTAAGCAGTGAATTGTGTACCATTATCCGATATTTATGTAGAATTATTGCTACTATACCATAGTCACTAGCATCTGAAGCCAATACAATTTCTTCTTTCAGATCATAGTGTACTAATGATAAGTCTGACATTGGTATTTTCTTGATTTCTTCAAATGCTTTCTGACATTTATCAGTCCAGTTCCACTTTACACCATTTTTAAGCAAATTGTTCAGTGGTGCTCTCAAATTTTGCATATTAGGTATATAAATTTGATATTAGTTTGCTAGTCCCAGAAATGCTTATAATCTAGTAACGTTTGTTGGAGGAGGCATATTCTTAATTGCACTTGCCCTTGATGGATCTGGTTGATGTCCATTTTTGTTAATGATTTGTCTTAGGTACTTGATTTTAGGCAAAAACAATTCACACTTTTCCTCACTGAGTTTGAAACCCTACTCTCATTTTTTCAAAAACTTTTCATCTACCTAATATTTTGTTCCTTAGATACATCCATATAAACAACTGCAATATTACAAACTCCATAGCTTGTCGAAATATAGCAGGGGCTTCTTTTATCCCAAAAGGAATTCGGTTGAACTTATATAATCCCTAGTGTGCATTTATAGTTATTAACTCTGAAAATTCTTCTTCAACCTGTATTTTCAAATACACTTCAGAAAGATCCAGCTTCATAAAATATTTTTTCCACTATTTAAATTCACAAAAATTTCCTCTGGACTTGTTAATGGGTAATTATAAGATTCTAAACATTTGTTTAAACCTGTTGAAAAAATCAGCACAAACACAAATTTTATTTTATTTTTTCTTCTTTACATACATTGCTGGTGCTGCCCATTTTGAATGGTCAATCTTTTCAATTACAACTGTTTTTTCAAGTCTAATCCTTTATGAACTTGATCCAATGCTGCAAATAGTACACTATGTTTTGGATTAAACACTGGCATCAACCCTTTTGTCACTAGAAATTTTACTTTGACTTTGGAACACTGACCCAACTCATCCGACAGAACATTGTTTTCAATTCTTCCTTTAAATTTTCAGATTTTTAAAATGTTCACTTGTCTCCTTACATTTTTGCAATAAATCCCACAGCTCAAGTAATTCCATCCAGTCAGTACCGAATAAGTGTAGTATTTTTTAACACATAAGCCTTAGCTTTTACACACTTGTTATGGAATGAAGTCATTTTGCCAATAAAAAATAATTTCTCACCTGACACACCACATGCAATTTTCAAACTTCTTTTTAATATAGGTTTTCTGCTTGCTTTCCATGTGGCTTCACTGATTATTGTAATATCACTACCAGTGTCTAGTTGCATTTTAACATCCACATTAATTTTTACATGCACAAATTTTCTTTGGTTTTCTGTAATTATATTTTCTGTCACAATGCTCTGTATAAAATATTTTCTGTGAGAACTTTTTCTTGATTTAGTTTTACAGTGTGACTTTTTATGTCCTACTTTTCCACACTTGTAGCACTTTGAATTCTTAAAAGGATAGTCGTCTCTGCAATGTAACCTTCCACATCTGAAACATGGATTAATTTTTCTTTTTCCACATTGTTCATTAGCTTGTATATATGCACATTCTTTTTCTTCAGTTTCTTCAGTATCGCGTCTCAGATTTAGGATTCTCAGACATTTGTCCAATATTTCTGGTAGTGCTAGTTTTTGATTCTGTTCAAGTTTTGTTAGAATTCTTGCACGTATTTCTTAGTCTTTTCACTTTTAAACATATTTGGAGTCAATTCATTTGAATGTTTCACACTCCTTGTTAATGATTTTGGCATGTGTGATAAAAATCTTCAACTTTTTTTTTATCAGATTCATACATGTCCAAGTAGTACTGAATAATAAACTTTTCTCACTAAAAGTGGTAAATTCTTCTCTGAAAATGTGCTTGCATCATCTAAAATAAGCAGGAAAGGTAATTCCATCATCTGAATTATATATCGGCAGTGAAAGAACTTGGGGAATTTTTTTGCTCTTCTGTATTATTTCAGTTAAATTTTATTGTTGTTTCTGGAGTTCCAGAATAGATATACTTCAAATATGGAAGAATTATTAGCCCAAGTAGTAAAAGTACCATGCTGTTGTATTTTTACTACTTGAGCTAATAATTCTTCCATATTTGAAGAATGTGTTTTTTTTTTGTTTTTTTTACACACACCAAAAAAATTAAACCAATGTGGTTCTAATTTCTTGTCACTTATTTGCAGCAAAGCAAAAAAAAAATAGTGTGTGTTATTTACTCCACAAAATATAGCCATAAGCAGAACTGTGTATAAAGGGAGACTTGCCTCCAGATTGGAAAAGGGATTTGCCACCATGCAGGAAGAGGGACTTGCTTCTATAATAGAATCTGATAATTCCAAGAAAGTTCTTACATTGGCCAGGGAGGGGAAATTTTTACATTCAAGAAAAGATCATCCTAGTTCTAAAAAATATCAACAATTATCACAACTTCAAAAAAAACATACATGGACAATGTTTCACAAAGACCTGCAGTCAAATTCTGTGACTCAGCATATCAACTGACATTTTAAAACTACTTTTGAAGTGTTAATCATAATTATACAAAGAACTGATTTTGGGTTTGAACAATTTTGGATATGGTAATGTCATGCCTTCTGGTGTCTGAAGTTAATAGAAGTGTCAAATGATAGAATATGTCTTAGTTGATGACTCCATGCATCCACTTCCGATTTTCTTGAAATAAAATAAATGTTAATCAACCAATAAAATGAATTCCCACTCAAAACCCAAATTCCATTTTCTGATGTACTCTGACAGTATTTAAAAGCAATGACCTTTGGAATGACAGGGACCTAGACTAGATACACTCAATGCACATTTAATGCCTGCACTTGGGAAACAGTCAGAAATTGCAGACTTGAAGAGATTAAGATTGTAGTGATTGAGAAATCATTCTGCCAGGAGACTGTTCCACAAAGCAGCAGTTCTTGGGAAGAAGTCATCACAGTGGAACATGCTTCTTTCTAATGAAATATGAAGGGAATGAGGATGATTCATCCTTGCGAATGTGGCATGGTGGGTCCCAGTTGCAAAAGTCAGGACTGGTGGGATCAAAGAATGTAGCTTGTTAGAATACATGCCATAGAAAGAGCGAGAGAGTTAAGAGAGAATTACAGTTTTCTCTATAATTCATCACCCACACGGCCACATAGATGCTTTGGAACTTCAAGACATACAATTGAAGACTGGGCAGCATTATCCCAGATACAGTAGCAATACTCTATTTTTGGTTTAATCTGGTTCTTGTAAAGAGTATGGCAAGGGGTGTCAGATACTTGTTGGAATGGTATAATGGTTCAGCCATTTTCCCAGTATCTTTAGCAATAGATCTTATATACAAGTTCCACTTCAGGTCTGAGGTGAGCTTGAATCCCAATAGATGTTCAGAGTGAGGAGCCTCTATACATATATGTAGTGACATCTCATATGTTCTTACTAAAGGAATTATGATCTGAGAGCAATTAATTTCAGGACAACTCTTATAATAGTGCTTTGTAAGATGGAAGTATAAAGCTTGATACACATTGTTTCAAATTTATTGGGCATAAAAATCATTATATGTCATTCTATTTCAATTAGTATGGTCATCTTGCTTATTTTGACCATTGCGCTCTTCGGCCTATTTCAGGTGTCTGTTATAATCTTCTTATGAGATTAGATTGTTGGCATTCCACTTTTCATGTTTAGGGAAGCAATCTGGTGTAGACTAGAAGGAATTAATGAATAGACAATATCCTCAAAGCCAGTGGTCCCTAAACTTCTTTTTTCTCTGGGTTGCATTTTCAGAATGTGGTTATGTGATAAAAAGTACATTTAAAAATAATAAAGAGGGAGAGAGAGAGAGAGGGAGAGAGAGAGGGAGGGGAAGAAGGAAGGAAGGAACGGATGGAGGGAGGGAGGGAGGGAAGGAGAGAGAGAGGAGAGATTTGTGGACTCTAGTTAATATATTCTTATTACTTGATATAACGCAAAAATGTCACACTGATAAAATCAGTCAATTATTTACAACTATTTATACTGGGACTCATGCATGCAATTACAAGTAATTCATAATATTTTAAATTTTGAAATCATACTTATTTTTGGATATATGAATTTTTTGAAACCATTTCTAAATCTTTGATTGTCTTTCAATCATTCCACCTTACTTGCTATCCTCTTCTGCCACACAGTTTTGGAGCCATTGCTGTAAGCATTGAAAGTAGAATTAAAAAAATCTATCCCCATGGATTGGATAAAGGGTTCAGCATGAAATTCCAGTAAAGTTACTAAGTATGACAGACACCTGAAGAAAGCCTGAGGATATCACAGCCGAAACATTGTGAGTATAAGAATCAAGATAAGCATGCTGGTCCAAATAGGAAGGCATATAATAATGAGAATTCCTCATTTGAGAAATTTTTACAAATTATGAGCTTAGCACTGACCTTGAGTATATACCCTTCCTTGCAACCAATATAAAGGATTCCGGAAAACAACCAGCATTGGGACAATGGAGTCATATGCTTTGTACTTTTGAGTAAGCCGGGCAATTTTTCAACTCTTTCACCAATTTCACCTGCCTTGGCTGCTTCGGTTAATTGGAGACCATTATAGACTGAGTTTATTTGCTCAGTTTTAGTCGGTGAATGTTTGCTAGTAGGCTCATCAAGAGGAGGACAAGGTATAATCCTAGTTAGAAAAAGAAGAAAAATAAAGCAAACATTGATGTCAGAATATATTAGGATATATCAAATATCATTTGAACATAGGCATTTTATATATCTGTCTTTTGAAAATGCATTAACATCATGAAGATTAAAAAACAAAAAAGGATTTTATAAGATGTTTTGCCGACATTCTTATTGGAGTTAACTCCTTTAGTTCATTAACCCTTTCACCAGGGGTCTCTCTTCCCTGGCTATAAATACTCGCTGACCCTTCGCCTCTTCCTCTTTTTCCTCAGGCCTTCAGCCTTACCACCTTACAGATGTGAACGCTCACAGAGACAGCGTTTCCCAAATGCTGGGAACATGCTAAGCACAATACATGTACGTACGAACACTCACCACACACTGTCGATGTAACTTGTAACCTTTCTTGTTATTAATACATATATTTGTTTACAGATATTTATCAGTCTTGTGTTTGTTTTTCTTTGCCTTCTTTGGACCTAATTAAAGTCCAACTTTCTCATGTAGTTGGACCGGCTAGCAGGAAAATTTTAACCCCACATGTGTTGTTCTACTTCTATCAACAACATCACCGACATGGTCCTCTACATTCTACAGGGTGTCCCTGAAACATGGACACAGGCAAAAATGCATATTTTCACAAAATTAAATTTTTAACAGCATTTTATTGAATTGGAATATTAACAAGTAACATCTTCAATATGATTTCCAGCATTTGTAATGCAAAGGTTGATGCATTTTTCAGGATTAATGTGGACTCATTGCAATAACTCCATATTGCCGCCAATTTTAGTAGATTCATTCTGTGTTCAATTAAGTATGTTATATCTTATTTTCATCTTGAGTACACTTTCTTTAGCATACCCCAGAAAAAGTAAATTCTTTCTTTTTTTCAAGAAAACTTTGTTTAATCTGTGGAGTTAAAAAAAAGATATTGTTAATGTGATTTCCTATATGTTCTGACTTTAGGAACACCCTCTACAAATAATTTCAACTAGTATTTTTATCTTGTTCTTGTTAGAATATTTCAGCAGATAAGTTCTCCTGGTGTTTGTTGGATTTGATAACTCTTTAATCTCATTCAGTACTTTTTCACTTTTCTAACAGGGATGTTAAATGTTACAGGGGCTAAATCTTGTGTCCATGCAAGAAAAATTTTGCATCAGGAATAAAAAAAAAAGTGGCAAAGTTTAACATTTGTACACACAAAAAAAGTTTGTCAAAAGGACATTTCTTTCACTTGATTGTTTAAAAAATCTATTTTAATAAAACTGCAACTAGTTTTTTTTTTTCAATTTATCTTTTTTCATTTGATTTTTTTTGTTTCTACTTCAAGTAGAACATTTAACATTTTTTTTTTAGAAAGAATTTTTCATAATTTTGTATTTCATTTTTATTATGCAATATCATTACTCCTATATAACAGTGAATGCTGAATAATCTCACAGAAGATACTTGAGGCAACAGAATTGTTCTACAGAAGGATGCTGAAAATACCATGGAGTGAATATGTAACATGGAAGGAGAAAATGGCAACAAGAGATACTTCTACTTAGAGACAATTGAAATATTTAGTGAGGAAAGAGTTTATAAACTCACAGGATATTAAATGTAAGAGAGACAGAGGAAAGCAGCAAATAACCTAATTAACTAGTGTAATTAATTGGCAGAACAGTTTTAATGAGGGATAGTAAAAAGATAAACCTTACTTAGAGCTACAAAGGACAGGAAGTAGTGGAGAACGATGATCACCTATAACCTGAATGGACATGGCATATAAAAGCTTTCATTTTTGAGATGAAGAATTGTCAATATATTTATTTTACTATTGCTCTCATTTTGATTATTATAGATGTTATAGACGCAAGTACTCTCTGGCTATCATCACTAAATCATCTAACATTGAATATAAAGGCTCACAAGATACATCAATACACAGTGACAAAGTGGATATAGGAATTGGTTAAAAAGGCATTGCTTGTGAGTTCAATACCTGGATCAGGTAGTAAAACAATATACAGGAATGAACAAGTATCACAAGGACAAAATAACATGAAAATCAATGGATATCACATAGCATCCAAACAAAGGACACCTGAAGATGACCAGAGGGTACATGACTGAAATGTTGCATCTATAACATCTTTAACACTTAAGATGAGAACATTAGTTTGAATAAATTTGAATTTTTGTTTTGTCTTTTTATACTGTTTGGCTTATTTGAAAAAGCTTTTTTTTTTTAAATTAAAAAATTCAGGGAAAAAGCAAAACATTTAAATGGAAAGAAATATGAAAAAAATTCTGAAAAATGATTAGATGTAATCTATTTCTGAAATGCCTATGACAGTGTAAAGTCTGGGATGCCAACCACATTTCAAGAGACTCACTCTGTACAGTTGTACTCACTATAACAAAGGTGTGTTACTTAGTACATGAAAATTTAGAGTAACCTCTATATTGTTATAATGAGTGTATATTTGCAAGTGAAAGGACAAACAAGGATTAAAATTTCAATGTGTATTGATCAAATATGAAGAATATATACATAGTGAAAGGTGGCAAAAATTGTTAATATGCAATTCTTTAGTTGCTGTTGCTAAGGAAAGTTATTTTGGTATAAGAGTGTTTATGGCTGATGTCAGGAGAGAGGCCTGGAGTGGATTAGTGAAGCAAAGTGGGTGTGTCATTGGCTGGGTTGATGCATGACTGATTTTATGGTTGAAATTGATGGTGGCCATGTGATGAGGCTGAAGTGTTGAAGTTGAACTGATTGTTGCAGGTTTGGTCAATTTGTGGCAAGGTTTGGTGTTAGCGGCTTGATTGACTGTGGTCACAGTGGTGGGTTGATTTACGGTAAGACCTAGTAAGGTGTGTTGGTTGGTTGATTGACTGAGGTTATGGTGGTGGTGATGGAGGCTCTCAGTGGATAATGAAGCTTGATTGAGTGGAATGTCTGTTGGATTCAGGTCAAATGGGAGATCAAGAAAACAGGATCATAGTGATGATGAGGAAGGCCTGCGGGTGTGTAATGAAGCTTGATAGTGCAGAATATGTCTATTGGATTCTGGTTGACTGGGAGATCAAATGAAACAAGGTTTCAATGGTGACATTAAGAGATACTGGTAGTTCATGGTGGTGAAGACAAAAGGGGGGGTCATGGTTGTTGGTTGATTTTTTTTGGCAGCATATCAACTTCTATGGGTTATTTAATGCCAAAATCTAGATTTTTTGTATGTAATTTTAGGTTTTCAACTTGTAGTTGTGAAAAAAAAAGAAAAAAAAAGAAACTGTCAACTTATAGTAGCAATAAACGTCTGCAATAGATTTCTTGTCTCTTGACTGCAACACTTGTAGCCAAATCAGTTCAAATGATAGTCTGTTGTAACAGTCCAACAGGCAATGTAGAAATGACAATCACACATCCAACCTTCACTTCTCATCAGTAAAAACGTGTGTTTGTCCACCAAGCTCAGAAAATTCAAATCTGCCACATAAGTGAAAAACAAAGGCTTTTGTTCACCAGGAGATCTTTCTGATTGGTCACGCCATTCAGGGAAGGGAAAAACATTAGCATAGATTCTGGTCCATAAAGTAGATTTTTGCTAACTACCTTTTGGTAATTTTTCTTTGGCAGATTGCACACAAAACACAAACTCTTTTGCGAGGTAGCTGATTATCTCTTTCACTACACAACTACAAATATTTCATGCATAATTTTATAGGTAAAAGGTATGTTTTTTTTTAGATATATTTTGTAGATCATAAAATTGTATTGTTGGTAAATTTACTATAAAAATGTATTTTTATATTTTTTTAGTCTTACATTCACTGCTTTTATTTTAATTCCATATTGTAGTTTCTGTTTTGAAAAGGTTTATCTAGAGTCTTATTTCTTGGAAGACTTGATAGAGGATGTTTATTTTCTGTTCAAGTTCATTCTTGTCCCAATTATTAATATACCTATATCACCAACACAGACCAATTATCAGTATATTGGTCTTGGGAGGGAAAGCAGGATCATTGTCTTCTATTAGTAAATTCTTTTCGGATGTAGCATAGAATGCTTAAATGATTAGTGCCCATATTTTGCATTTATGCTTGTAAATGTGCAGAGCATAGTCTAGGAAAAGATTAAGTAGATTGGGTTTGTTTTATGGCATATCAACCTCAATGGGTAATTTAATGCTGACAAGATTTTTATTGCTGCTAACTTTCTTTTTTGCAAAAATGTATGAGGTTTTAAATGTCTTCATAAAGCGACATTCAAAGGTCCCAATTACATTTCAGGGATGTAAAAAAAAAAAAAAATCAAATATGCATGGAAATTTAACTATCTGAGTTAGAAGGCAACAAATGATTGAAAGTGTAACATAGAAATCTAAAAAGGTGCATAAGAATAGCAAAGGACACTTTTTAGAAACTGAAAGTATTAAAGGACTGAAAAATAATAGCAGAAACAAAGATTGATTGGCTGATTTGCTTCTTACAGCTTATTCATCATGTCTTATTTAAAGCCAAAACATTTCAGATTGTAAGAATAATTTTTTTTTTGCAAGTGAATATTGCATTAATTTTTAGAGATTAATTATGATTTTTTCAGATATGTCCTACTATTTAACCCATATATGAGGGAGAAGATGGATTCATACCTTATCCAAGAGTATTTGCATGTAAGTGCTTGTAACAATATTTAGGCTGGCTCTTGGTTCTAATTTCTCATTCCATAAAAATAAATAAAAGAGTGCTGAACTGCTAGTCTTCTATATGGCAATGAATGGTGGATATTTTTGTTATGGAAGAAGAAGAAACTTCAAGCAATGAATGTTGAGATACAGGATTAGATATTACCGAGAAAGTGAGTAATGTATTAAAGGGTTGAAAAATAACATTAGAAACAAAGAAAAGAGTGCTGGACTTCTATGTAATACTTGTTGTGTTCATTAAAAATAAATAAAAATTAATGATACTACCACATAATTATAATTATCATCAATACAATTCACCCTTTCTAAATCAATGAGAATCAATCCTACTCTTCTACTCACAAACAACACACAAACACGTGATACCCTCACTACTGGACAAGCAGTTAACACGAGGGTTGACTAATATTTCAGAGCCTCTATTGTTCAGGCCACAACAATAATATTTATCCCTTCTTAGCCCCCATGACCAAAATTTGAGGTAAGAAAACTCCAAACTGTTTTCTTTGCCAACTAAATTATCTGGAGACTCACTATACACATACTAAAAAAAGAAAAAAACATACAAAGGGACTATATACCATTTACTCAGTATTACTGTCTCTCACATCTCTAACACCATATAACACTGTTAAAAAGATAATAAATAATACTGATTTTACTGTTTCTCATTTTCTACAAGTATTTTTGTGTGTATAAATGTTAGGGGTTTTATAATTATTTACCTAGAATTACCCTACATGTCTTATCTTCTATATGGCAGTAAATACTGGACAATTTCATCACAGATAAAGAGAAGACTTAAAACAATAGAAATGTCATTCTTTGGTTTGGTTTGTTTTATGGCATATTAACCTCAATGGGTTATCTAATGCAGACAAAATTTTTATTGCTGGTAATATATATTTCAAAAAAGTATTGCCAGTAATTTTTTTTTTTCCCCAAAAAGTACTGCTGGTAATAATTTTTTACAAAGTATTTATGGTATTAAAACCTATTTTTACACTTTCATATTGTTTTGACGCCAGTTTGGGAGTTAGCTATTTACCCATAGCTGGGACCCTAACAGGTGCTACCACCCCAGGTCAAGGTGGACCTGGGAACACCTGCAATTAAGTGGTAGTTCTATGATCCTCAAAACCTCCTGATCAGAGGCCTTGCTGGTGGACGTAGTTTATCATCTTACACAAGATGTGGATGCAGTTTATTTTCATACCCAGGATGAAGAGATGTCATTCTATTGAACACTGAAGGAAATGTGAGAAATGTGGATGCTCTAAGAACAAAAACTACAATGAAGTGCTGCTAACAATTAGGAGGTAGCTGAAATGGTAAAATGAAGGACTGAAGAATTTAACACTTGCAAGGCATATTGGAAGTAAGAAAATTAAAGAAAAACAGAATCACAGACTACTTGATAAGTGGGTAAATGCATGGCAGAACCAGTACCACAAAGTGTTGGGGTCATAAAAAAACAAGAATTATATATAGCAAACAAAGATAGAAAGATTTTCCACATCCTTAAGAAGTATGACAGATAGTAAAAGATATATAAATTTAATTATTCCTCACCAAAATTTCCATGTGAAATAGTCCATTAGTTTTGTCTACTATCTTCACTATGGTCTGCTTACTTATACAGGGTTCATAAATATTTTTGGAATTAGCCATTGTTTTAAGAATGTGAACTAAAGATCTAGCGATGCTAAAAGAAAAATCTGACTTTATTGCTTCATCTGATATACCACATACACTTCATTAAAAACGCTTCCGAAAAAATTCTAGAAATTTAACACATTAATGCTTACCATAAAATTCTATATTATAAAAATTAAAATAAAAATCTGGTACAAATTATAGCTTTATAGAAAAATCTGGCATGAATTATAGCTTTATAGGAAAGAAAATTGGGCATGAATTATAGCTTTATAAAAACACATCTATCATGAATTATAGCTTTATAAAAACACATCTATCATGAATTATAGCTTTATAAAAACACATCTATCATGAATTATAGCTTTATAGAAAAAAATCTGGCATGAATTATAGCTTTATAGCAAAAAAATCTGGCATGAATTATAGCTTTATAGCAAAAAATCTGGCATGAATTATAGCTTTATAGCAAAAAAATCTGGCATGAATTATAGCTTTATAGCAAAAAAAATCTGGCATGAATTATAGCAAAAAAAATCTGGCATGAATTATAGCTTTATAGCAAAAAAATCTGGCATGAATTATAGCTTTATAGCAAAAAATCTGGCACGAATTATAGGTTTCTATAAACGAGATGGTAGATATTAATGGATAAAATTGTAGAATTAGTGTATTGTCTTAATAATAAAAATGTATTTAATATGATTCTTTTATACATAATTACTGATTTTCCTTGAAAGATTAATGTTAAACTGTAGTTTCCTAGAAAAGTTAGAGATTATTATTCTTGGTAGAGGTTTAAGCAATGAAGTCCCATCATAGGGTGGCATAACAGACTGATTGACAGTATGAACAGATGAAAGTATTGACTTGCAGATTGATTGAGGAACTAACATGTTTGTTTCTATAGAAAAATACATTCTCAGGAATCAACTCTTGATAGAATATTACACCAAATCACAAAGGTTTACATGCCAAACAATTCATCCCACAGAAAAAATGTTGCTAGACATTTGCTAATCTATCCCTAATTACTATGGTAGATATTCAGAAAAGTTATATTCCTTAGTTCCACCAGCTCAGACCTTCACAGCTAAGAACTGCCATAACATATTCATGGCAGTAAACTATCTCCATTCTCTTTGTGTTCCTTTGATTAGAAAAAGTTCCACTCAGACAGCTTCTCCACAACTGTTTCTTTCTGAAACAAACTCCCAAGAGGATGCTTCCCTGAAAAACTAAAATCTTGGTCTAAGTCAAGGGTCAACTGATATCTATCCTAGACATCTTCATAATATGCATTTTTTACTTCCTCTTTTGCCCTCATAACAGACTCACTCAGTAAGCCTCTACCTTCAGTGTTTCATAAAACAAACAAAATACATAATAAACCTGATTTATGCTTTCAATGAATAGTCAAATTATATTTTAATTACGACCCTGGAAATAGTGATAGAGCAGCAAGTGGCTCATGACGTCTCATCTGTGAAAAAAGGGTTTGCAGGGTGGAAAATAATTTGTCCTCCACAAAGGGGCGGAGACACTTTTGAACTCAATTGAGAGGGGACTTGGAAGCTCCTGCCCATATATGGCAGAAGTACTCCATTTTCAATGGTGATCTGGCTCTTGTAATGCAGGAGTCAAGTACTTGCTGGAGCAGTACAGGGAATTGACCATTTTTCCAACATCTTTAATGATTGATCAATATTCTCCTCCTTCAACTCAGCAGATTCCAACAGGCAGCAGGAGGTTTGTCAAACCTGCTAATGAAAATGGACTGACCCATTTGTTTCAGTATATGCCCACAACAACTAGTACTTAATCAGTTCTTATCTACCTGAGGAGGTCAGACACTCCGATGTGGTGTAATGGTTTGCAAGCTTATCTCACTAGATCAATTATAACAGTGTAGTGAGGATTGAATTACTCGCTTATCATTCATCACATTTTATGTAGGGCTTTTTTTTTTTCCAGTATATTTTCCGCTACTTATCCCTAACCATATTCAGTGACATATTTGTATGGTTATTTGAAACAAGCGAAATATTTTTATACATTTTTAACCAACTTACTTGCAACGAAGTTCCAGGTGAGTGTGACATCTGACAATATTGTAGCAATGGATTTGGTCGGTATAAATAACACTCAATTGGTGCCAACTTCCAGGGTTAAAGGACAAACTAATTGGAATCTCATCTGGCATCTTCATGGAAGACAGCTGGTTACAATTTTTGTAGTCCCTGCAAAAAACACAATTCATAATGTATTTAAACAACAGAAGAATGTGATGTTTAATGAATGCTACAAAAGCAGATCAATAAGTCTGTAGCCTGCTACATAGTTACTAATTGAATTATAATCTGAAATTTTCAATGTATAGTATGTGATCTATGGACATCTTTGTTGCCAGTGTATTTTAGTAGAATAAGCCTTTAAGTTATTGGGGCTGCAAGTAAGAATTTGCATAGTAAAATTAGTTCACATTTTCATGGGGAGTGGTGCAAATGATTTTCTGGGAATGTCAAAAAAAATCATGGACGTGTCTATGGAAAAATGCAATATTAAGTGCATTGACAAGGAAGAGGATTATATTGAGAATAATTCTTTTTTTGCTTTAAATAATTACCTTTTTTTATTATCTATGAGCTTACTGATATATACTATATTTTAGAATTTAATACTATGTCATAATTTCTAGTAAAGCATGTGTGTTATATACTCTTACACATACAAATTAAGATAGTGTCCCCTGTAAATATATATTTTTCTATATAAACAGAGCTTAAGCCATATTTCATTGTATTTCTCCCAATGATAATCATTTATTTCATCATCATGTCATATAGTAACTGGTTTTATTACATCCTGAGAACTTGTTGGTACTATTTACTTATTCTAATATCCAATGAGGGATACTAATGGTGAATATCTACCTTTTGTTGAGATAGTCACAAGGGTCATGTGATGGCCAGTGAATGATGTCAGGGGATAGAGTGACAAAGGGCAGTTGTGATGTAGAGTCTACAGAAGGATGTTTCTTACCCACAACGGTAAGTTTTACAGAAAAAAAAAAAATGCCTCACCAGGTTCATAGAGAAACCATGGTAAGTCCAGTTTTCTCTTTGGGAAATATTCCTTTTTTTTTTTTTTACACTGTTTGTTGCATACATGTTATAATTTCTCTACGTGAGATTTGTGTACATGTAATTTTGTGTATGGCATAGTATTATAAAACTATCTGAAAACAAAGCATGTTTGTCATTTTTTCTATTCAGCTATTCTGTTCTGTCCATGAAGTATGGTGTTATTATAACATAGATATAATAATGCTCATAATGGGAGAATAAATCTTTCTACTATAGCTCTCTCTTGTTATAATAGTCAGTACTGTAAGAGAAGAGCGAGTTATGGTGGAAAATTTTATTCTCCCATTTCCCCCATTATGGGCATTATTAGATCTGTGATATAACAGAGTACTTAAAAAAAAACTGGAGTTACAGCTATACCAAGATCTGAGAAGTGTTTTAACAGAGGATGGAAAGTGCAACACTGAAATCTGAAGGGGCATTGGGATAGCGAAAAATGCCTTCCAAAAGGTAAGCAAAATATTAAGAAAAAGAAAAATTTCATTAGAAACAGAAAAAAAGAAGAGTTCTGGACTATTGTGTAATATCAGTCCTATATGATAGTGAATGTTGGACAAACTCCTTAAAGATAAAGAAAAGACTTAAAACAGAAATGTGCTTCTACAAAAGGATACTGAAAATAGCATGAACTGAATGTTTTAGAGAAAAGGGAAATAAAAAGGACACTTATACCTAACACTGAAATTTCTAGGGCTCATAATGAGGAAAGAAGGCTTGGAAAATTTGATACTCACAAGATAGATTGAAGGAGAAAGGGGACAGAGGCAAACTGCATAACCTACTTAGGAAACTTGAGTAAATGAATGGCAGAACTGGAATTAGGAGAGATAAGACAAAATATATCAATAGCTGCAAAGGACAGGAAATTGTAGAGAGTCAGGATTGTCAAGAGTCCTGAAGGGACACAGTATATAAAAATATATCAAGATCAACATCTAGGTATCTAAAAGAGAATGAAGATTAAATAGCTTAATGTTTTATTCATTTTCTTTTGAGATTGAAGACATTTGGCAATTTAAAACATTACTAATATACTGTGTCTCAAGTTTAGAGCATGTTGAAATTTAAGTTCACCCTTTTACATATCTTTAACAGATTCTTATTAAAAATAAACTGCATTTCAAAAACCAAAATAGATAGCCAATTATATTTTCATTTAGGATTCTAGAGAGATTCTTAAAAAACAAAGAATATCATATTTTGCTTGATTATTTAAGAAAGATGTTTGGAGATTTTAGAAGAAAAAAGAGAATCCTTTTGTACACAGATATAAAGATTATCGTCTTTTGTTTGAGTTGAAATCACACGAGTCACATGACAGCTGCTTAGTCATGTCAGTTCATAAACTTACAAGAGTGGTCGGTCAGTCAGCTTCCAGGTGTCAAACTGAACAGTTGATTTTTTTTTTTTTTTTTTTTAACATGGGCCAGCTAACAAGCCCATAGCACCATTTTCCTTCAAAGATATATCTTCATGAGATATAGAAACTATTGCTGATTTGCAGTCCTCATGTTGGGAAAAACCTATGAATCACAGTTTCCTGTTTGAGGAATATGTCCTTGCTAGTGACATAGAAAATAAATCTGGATGAAATCTATTGAAAATCCTAAATATGGCTTCTCTAGAAGCACAGAAGAATCCTCTGGCAGCTCAAGTTCCAGTTGGAAATTATTACAAGCAAGACCCTCTATCTCTTCACCATTTTTGCATTGCTTGTGTGGCATACATGTGTTATAGTTTCTCTATGTGGGACAAATGTAAATATGTGTATATAATTTTGTGTATGACTTAGCTGTATAAAACCGAGAAAAAAAACATGTTTGTTATTCCTTTTCTTACAACTGTTCTGTTCCATCCATATATTAAGGTGTTAATATCAGATATAATAATGCCTATAATGGAGGAAATGCAAGCAGAAAATGTTCTTGCATAGCACTGCCATTACTTTGAATACTGAATGTCCAATTGGAGAAGAAAAACAGCAATTTTCATCTTTATTAATTTAGATTTGTTTAAACACTGAAACAAATTGATTATTTTTCTTGGTTATTTATTTCGGTAATATTTTCAGTTGCATTTCAAATCAATGCACAATCTTTTGACATGTCTGAAGATCTAATAAGATTTTCCTACCACTGTAAAAAGTGCAGTAAAATGATAGCCTTAAGCCATCTGTTTTAATGCCATGTCTCTTCAAGACATGGCATTCCACAGATTCTTTTTTCCTTTATTATATGGGAATTGCCATGCATTCTTGTGAAAGACCATGTTTTCCAATTGCTTTCTCCAGGGTTTGGAATTCTGTTTTTTTTGTTTTTTTTCTCTTAGACTGACTGCTATTCCATATTAGAAAGCCCAGACCTCCTTGTTATTTAAGCCATAGAAGAAGAGAGAAGAGGAGATGGATTCATGTCGTGTGTTTACTTTGTGTGAAAGTGAACACAGCAGGCTAAGCTGGAATTTGAACTTAGCTTGATCTGCATGCTAATATCCATTACACTATCTGCTTGTATAGAATAAAAGAAAAAAAATATTTTTGAAGATTAAAGTTGGCTGGAAAGCATAGCACCACAAGGGAGTTCTACAAGTGAGAAAAGAAAATGTTAGCATAGAATTTATGGTTACATATAGTCAGCTCAGTTGTCCCATTCTTACAAGCTATTGGTTTAGTCATTTCTAGGTAAAAACTAACAATACATGAGTATTATGTAGGTGCACTGCCTTTCTGAAAAATCATTGTTTGTAAAATTCTTCTGGAGAGTTGTCAGATAAAAACAATAGTTCAAAATATCTGAGTAATTTTCACCTGTAAGGTTTTCTTTGATGAAGAAAAGTCTGTAAACTCTTGTTGATGACAACCACATCCAAATCGTTTGGCATGACTGACATTTATCAATTGTTTGTGATTAGGTCAATGCCTCAAAATACATTTTCTTTAGGGCTTGATCTTTTAATAGAAATAATTATTTCATTTTGTTTTTCTATTATTTTTTATTTCAAATGTGGTAGTTACTGTACATTTCTGCATATAAGATGACCTTTAAATCACAAAAATCACCCTTATAAATTGGGAGCCGTTTTATACTACAGTTCTAAGAAATAAACCTTAAATTCTGAGTGATGTTTCTTGGTAGGCTAACCTCAGTCTTAGAGTAATAACCAATAACATACATGAAAAGATTCAAATTATCAAATAAACTGATAATAAAAGTAATAAGAAAAATTTCTACCTTATATATTACTGGCATAACTTCATAATAAATTGCCTCTTTGAAAAATAATTCCATATTAATGAAATCAACTTGCATTCATGCAAGTTCAGCTGAGAAAATGTAAACATGTTATGATCACAGCAACCTTTCAATAATCATTATGGTAGTATTAATTCATTTCTCATTAAAAATTCATTGTCAAATTGGTGTTTAATATGAAGTACAAGTAAATGGTCATTAGTATACCAGGCTGTCTGTAACTGTTTAGATATAGGAAAAGAAAAGGAAGAAGAATCAGTATTTTCAAGAGATCACATGATGAAATGTAAGCAAAACAATGGTTTCCCTTTTAGGGGATGTGTGTAGGAAAAACGTGATATAGAATTGTTATTTTGTTTGCTTTGAATTTCTAAGAATACAGTAGCAACATTTCCAATAGCATTATCTTTATGTAATCAATAAGCAGTCATCTTATACTACAGTTATAAGATAAGTTCATGAAAATTTGCTATATTTTTTGACCTTGTCTTATCTAAAGATTGCCTTATACACAGAAATATATACAGTACTTTATTTAAACCCTGTATAAAAGACTGGAAGCTTTGAAAAAGATATTACCAGAAACAAAGTTGGAAATCAGGAATACCAGACAAACATGCCAGATAATCAGTGGATGAAAAGGCAATGGCAGAGTATTCAAGTTTAGCACAAGCTGAAATTAAAAAAAAAAAAAAGGATTTATTTAAAAGATTTTTTTTTTAACAGATTTCCAGTTATTCCAAACATTAAAATTAAGATATTATTGAACTTTTTACAGTTACACATTCATAAACATGTATATACCCAGTGTGCTATGAATGCTTTATAGGTTGGAGAATAGAAATTATTCAAAATAATAGAAATTTTACTCCTGGGCTAAAAACATACACTTTAGATTACTTTGAGTATTGTTGATTTTGAAATTGTATTCAGAATTCTTCTAGTACATCAGGTTTTTTTCCATTATATGCAAACACATAATCGAGGAAACTGCCTTACATTAGTTACACATGCAGAGTACGGAAAGAGCAACACTGGAATCCGAAGGCATATTGGGATAGCCAAAGAAACATTTGTAAAGCTAAGCAGAGTACTATGAAATAGGAAAATTTGCTAGAAAAGGAGAAATTATTAAACTGCTGTGTGATATCTGTCCTCCTGTATGACAGTGAATGTTGGACAATCTCTTCAAATATGAAGAGGAGATTAGAAGTAACAGAAATGTGATTCTTTAAAAGGATGCTGAAGATACCATGGACTGAAAATGTGAACAAAGTTTTGGAGAAAATGGAAATGAAGAGAGAACAACAGGAAGAGACAATTGAATTTTCTGGGGTCACATAAGGAAAGAGGTCTTGGAAAATCTGGTACTCATAGAACAGATAAAGGTCAAGTGGGACAGAGGAAAACAATTCATAACATACTTAGTGAGCTTGAGTAAATGAATGGCAAAACAAGTTTTAGGAGAAATAACCTAATTACAAAGTTTATTTAAGAGCTACAAGGGACAGGGAATTGTGGAGAGCCATGATCACTCTCATCCTGAAGGAACATTACGCATAGAAGAAGAGGAATGAGCTTGTGTAAATGGATGGTGGAACAAGGTTTAGGAAAGATAACGAAAAGACAAAATTTATTAAGAGCTACAAAGGACAGGAAATTGTGGAAAGCCAATATCACCTACAACCTGAGGGGACATGACACAAAGAAGAACAAAAAAAAAACAAACTATCTTCAAGCCAGACAAATGACACTATATTTGTTCAATTTGTGTCTGCTGATTCTGAATTTGGATTCCGGATTCTTCTAGCACCTCAGGATTTTGTGTTATGTCTAAACATGATTGGGGGAGATTTTTTTTCTTGTGACAATGGAAAGAAAAAGATCTTTTTCTCTGCTACCCACATAAATGATGCTATTTTAGACAAAATCAAGCACATTGATTTTGAATCCAAACTAAAAATTATCATATCAAGCTCTCAGGATATGTGCATAACATTTACGTTTAAGGTAAATATTATCTTGATAATATATTAGCAAGCACTTGAGCAGGACTTTCTCAGGGTCTCCTTGAGCTGAAAACTATGCTGATTCACTAAACCAGAGATTGGCAAGTTTTTGCTATGTGCTGATTTAGGGTTTTAAAATTATTCACTGAGCCAACAGCATACATATTTTTTATACAAGTCAATATACCTGTTCTACAATATATTTTATATAGTAATATATAGTATATATAATTTAGTATATATTAAAATTTAAACCGCTAAATATCTTTTGTGTTGTAGTAGTTATTGGTTTGGACTTTGTGATGTCACTTGTGGCTGTGCGCCATTAGAATTTGTTTGGCATGCCACATATGACATAGGTTGCTGACCCCTGAACTAAACTTGCTTACAGCAAATCCAAGAATGAAATGCCAGATGTTCTTATCTATTTATTTCGGTGCCATGATCAATAAGAATTTAATGAGAAATTTCACAAGGAAATATCCAAAATGGAATCTGGTATCAAGTCCGGTTCAACTTTAATATAATTGGTGACTATTGTTGGTTCCTAGAAATGGGGAGACCAGTTCAACATGCAAACACAAGAACAAGTATCTCAAATATTTTTGAGATTAAAAAATAAACTAAGTATTTTATGGCTAGTTATATACCATCATTATCTAAAATTTCCTGAAAGATAAATGCCCCATTTATCCTGAATATAAATGTACTAAACACAGTACTAATATAGTACTAGCAATATTATCCGACATTGTGCAGGACCCACCTGTAGTCATTTCTTTTAGATTGATGCATACTGAAAAATATTAGTGAAATTGTTGTAATTAGAGCAGTTTGATAGATTTGAACATTTTGGTAAGAGTTCATTGAATATATAACTTGTTATAATCTAATTCATAATATTTGTTGCATTTTAAAAATATACAATTAAAATGTCAACATTGCTTACTTCCCTTTACTTCCAAGTTGTGAGCTAAATGCTAATGCCATTCACGAGAGAAAATGCTATTTGAATAACTAAAATGTTAATTATGAAAGCTACCAACAAAACAATTGCATATCTATAAAGATCATATAAGACTAGAGCGGAAATGAATAAAAAGAGAGACAATTTTTAAAATGTATGCTTTTATTAAAGAAGCTGAATATGCAAATTAGTTATCACCATTAAGTAAAATTTGCTAAGCTGGGCAAGATATGAAACATATTTAGACAATCAACTTTACATTTAATTTTCTGGGTTTCAAATATATATATATATATATATATATATATATATATATTTATTAAGGACATTTTTATGTTTAACATTCTTTTTTATAGATACAAGTATTTAAGTAAATGCTCTGTTTATAATAAACAGTATTAAATAACATTTACCGACCTGAATGTTATTTAATACTGTTTATTATGAACAGAACATTTACTTAAATACTTGTATCTATAAAAAAGAACGTTAAACATAAAATGTCTTTAATAAATAAATTGTCGGACTTTGTCCATTTCTTAATATATATATATATATATATATATATATATATATATATATATATAAAATGACCAGAGGAAAGAAAGCCTTTTATGCTGACATTTTATTCCTCAAGGAAGTTTAGCAAAGAAATTGCAAAAATTTAGAAACCCGTATTCATATATACAGACACAAAGTGACATTGAGAAAAAATACAAGTATACATTGAAATTAGATTTGGGAAATGTTCTAAGATATTCAAAAATTTCAACATTAAAGAACACTATGGAGAATGCTTAGTGACAAACTTTTGGCATGGTGTTAAATGAAAGTGAATTACGTACATGGTAGGACTGTGAAATTCTCAAATGAAGGAAAACTGTAGATATGAATATCTGGGTTTAAGCCTCGGGAACCGATAGCTATGTGCTTGTTCAGTTTATGTACAGCAAAAGCAGAGATTCCTTTGCCTGGAAACACAAATGGCTTTTTCTTGCCAGAAAGGATTATGTTCTTCCCATTCAAATAACAGTACGTCTCCTGGTCAAGGTATTCAATTCTAGAACCATTGTAACTTTTGCACCAACTGTAAATAAAGAAAAAAATTTTTAGTAACAACTTGGTCAATAAATAACACTTAAGTAGATACAATCTGATGTCACAAGAGAAGCAGAATTTAAAATGACTTAATAGTAACACTGATATTATTTGTTTTTATTATTATTAATAATAATAATAATATTATTAATAATAATATTATTAATAATAATATTATTAATAATAATAATACTATTATTAATAATAATAATACTATTATTAATAATAATGTTATTATTAATTATAATATCATTATTATTAATAATAATATTATTGGGTCACATTTAAAGACACATGGAGACCTACCAAACAATCTGTAACATACTCATTGTTAATACAAATGTAATAGCATCATCCGCATGTACAAAAAGCTAAAAATAATGGAAGCAGTAATAAAAAAGAAAACACCAACACACTCAGTAATAGCAATTATGGACAGACTGTGTTTGGAAAATAAAACATTCCTATAGCACTAGATACATACATAAAACAATCTATATATTCAGTTAAAAGTAAAATAAAATTCATTCTTGATAATGGGTAAAAGTATAGCTTAAAGCGCTTTGAAAACATTCCAATGAATTTTATATAATGTATGTCCTGAAAAGGAAAAATTATAAGAACACGAGAAAGTATAAAAAAACTCAACCACAGCATCTTGTCAGTTGTTTTAAATGAAACTTGCAGAAAAGAGGGACTGCTCCCTAAATATATATATATATATATATATATATATATATATATATATATATATATATAAGGGAATAGTTTTAAGATATGCTATATTTATGGGATGAAGTGCTCAATATCAGAGAGCATATGTAAAGATAAAAGTGAACATTGCAGTCAATATTCAGAGACAACAACTGCTTCATGCTAAATGTAATCATCAGGCCACATCTGTAACCTCTGACTGTTGAATTCAATGTTATATATATATATATATATATATATACACACATACACACACACACACACACACACACACACACAGGGGTTGGACAAAATAATTAAAACAGGTGTAAATTCCACATATTTCAAAAACCTATTATATTAAGAACTTTAACTAAAACTTCATAATTGCAGGTTATATCTATCGTAAATATGTGTATTTATCTAATTTACCATCTTTGCCTTATTTTTAGAATTTAGTAAAATTTAAGCTAAATACGTGACTTCTCCGAGTTCAAAAAAGGGAAAATTGTTGGAGCTCGCAGGGCAGGAACCTCGATTACTAAGATTGTTGAACTGTTTGTTCTTTAAAGTTACCATATCAAGAACTGATGCAATTTGAGAAACAGGGCAAAACCTCGAGCAATTTTAGCAATTCGGGCCAGACTTGCAAACTTACTGACAGGAACAGACATGCATTGAAATGCAATGTGGCAAAAAATCATCGGACTACTGCGACCAAAGTGACTGCTGAGTTGCATAATCATCTGAATAGTCCAGTTTTTACTAAAACTGTTCGTCACAAGCTCCATAAAGCTGGATATCATGGAATAGTCGCTGTAAGGAAACCTCTTCTCTCCACTCGCAACATTCAGAAGAGGTTGCAGTGGTACAAGGATCACAATGCCTGGTTTGCAGGCCAATGAAAGCAAGTCATATTTTCAGATGAGTCCAGTTTTTCTTTTCCCAACTTCAGGGCAAGTTTGTGTGGAGGCAGCCCAAAGAAGCTTACAACCCTGAGTGCATTCTTCCAACAGTGAAGCATGGAGGTGGATCAGTGATAGTTTGGGCCGCTATATCATGGAAATGTCTTGGTCCAATAGTTGCCCTGCATGATAGAATCAACAGCAAAGATTACCTGAACATTTTGAGAGATCATGTTCATCCAATGGCTCAGACTTCATTTCTGATTAAGCTTTAAAAAGTGAAACAAATTAGATCGATAAATTTTCTAGTTGTTCTTTAACCTATTTTGTCAGAATCCTCTCTCTCTCACACATATATATATATATATATATATATATACACACACTGCTAGTGGCCCAATGGCAGTGCCAGCTGGCCATTAGCAGTCCACCAGTGGTAACATTGCAGAGGCTAACACACTGGTGGCCTGACAACAGGCCACCAGCAGTAAACACTATTGGCATGCCAGCCAGTGGCAGATTAGTGGCTTGTGTGTATGGACACACAGTGAGGGTTAAACTAAGTTGATATCTAAGAGTTATTACTGGTGTCTTTATCATAGAATGTTCAGTTTCTTTTTGTGATCTGTGGTAGAAGTTATCTTATGACAACACCTGTATCAATCATAGATTTGTAGAGTATGTAGAAGTGATTATCAGCAAATCAAAGGACCAAATAAAATTAAACACACTGCACAAAGGCTCCATATGTAGCCTTCCAGATTTCAAACATACTTCAAATTTTCAATTTAATAAAAATAACCAATAAAATCAGCCAATAAATAAACACAGAACTATGGAGTCCTACACAAGACCATAAAAATCAAACATTCACAGCAAACTCAGCAGGAGGACTGACTACAGTAAAGAGACTTGTCTTTTTTAACAAAGCAACAGTCGACTCCCTTTGATCTTGTCTCTTGACTCCACTTTCTCTTGTCCTCACAAATGACTGTTCATGTTCATTTCTTTACAGTCAATGAGAAGAACTTTCTAACTTTCATTTCATAATTATTGTTAAAATTTGTGTCTATGTTTAAATATAATTTTATTTAAACATACAACAATCTTTTCTCTAATTTTTTTCATTCAAACAGTGACCCAAGGAATTTTTCCCCAACAGATTTATTTGACCCTGAGTATGTGAGACTGGTGGGTTGTGCATTTTGGGTCTGTATGTTATGATGAGCACAGCATTATAGAAAGAATAAAATTAATCCATCGATTCTGATTTAGAATGACATTCCATCCCATTATATACATATTTAGAGATCAGCTCCGAAACTGCCATTTTTTTCCAATTTGCTCACAATCAGCAACTTTATATTTGGATTGGGAACTGGTCTTTTTTATGATTTTCTTGCTTGATTATGATGTTTGTATTCTGGCTGAGAGTTTCTAATTAGTCGAAACATGACTTCATAGCCTATTGGTTCTCAATATACTTATTTTTAGAGCCTGGGAAATTTTGGTTCCTTTCTTATTTGATATTTTTTTGTCTATCACTACAGATCTATATAAAAAAAATTTAAATGCATTTTCAAGGAAGGGGGATAATATTGAAAATACATTTTTTCTCATTATGCATCGAATCTATTGATATTTCCCTGTTAGTAATGGTATGTACCAGTAGCTGAACAGCTGTCAAGTTTAAGTGACGACATTAAATAATTACCTAACTTAAGCTTTGGCGTTTTAAGTTTTTCTAGTTAGAGAAGTTTCGTATGTCTACTTACTGCTTAAGGTTTATTGCGCTTAAACTTGTTTTGTTAAAATGATTGGTAAAAATTAGTTCTATTTGTTTTTGATTGTTTGCTGCCAAAGAAATTTGATTAAATAATTTGGTTCTAAATTTTATAATAAATAGATTTATTTTTGTCTTCTCATTGATCTTTCTCCGGCGTTGTCGGCTGATGAAAGAAACACGAATACTGAGTTACGTCCCTTGATATGAACACCGGAACATTTAAGCAACGATCTTTTTAGTTTAGCGTCCCGATGTTTTTTTTCCTCTCAATCTTGAGGGTATATTTTATTTTTGTCTTTTTAAAAAGGTTTTTTTTTTTAAAACTTTCTTTTATAAATATTTTGGAGTAGAACAGGGATTAGTTGTAAGTTAAACTTTATATTTCTTAAAGGAACCCCCAAAAAAAAAAACATGAACACCGTTTCATCGAATTTAGCGTCCGAAACAATTTTCGGGAGCTAAATTTTAAATTGATTTACCTCCCTTAGATTGATTAACATATCCACCCCAGTAGACCTTTTTCGCCTCATAAATAATAAAATTGAAATTCAACTGTGACCAATAAGAAAATAGAATTAAAATTTTAAACAAAAAATACAATGAATAAAAAAAATTATTTTGGTTCAAAACAGTTTTTTTTAATTAAAAAAAAATACTTTGGTCTTCTTTTCTTAATAAAACTTTCACGATAAAACTTTATTTTTATTAACTTTGGAAACTTCTTTCAACATGCTATGTATGATGCTGTTTTGGGGGTGAATTAAATAATTGGTCATGCAAAAATAAAAATCTAACATCAGAAATTGAACAAGACTTCGAAAATATAATTAAACATAAACAATGACAATTTTTTTTAACGACTTCTGCTTCTAGGGTTTTCGTTTCCAAACACTGTCCATGCTCAAACAAAACAAAAAGGCAGAGAAAAATCATCCAAGAAAGTATTTTGAGATGCGAAATTTATTGAAATTTTCTTGACAAAATTAAAAATAAGCAAAAATAAAAAAAAACAAACAAAAAAAACAAAGTACTTGTCACATGGTAACAGGTAACTTGTGGGTTATCTATCGCCACCTTTTTTTAATTTACGTATTGATATTTTATAAAGCTAGATGTGGTATTTAAAATGACTTAATTTTTTTTTTTTACTTTCAGAGTACTAAAAATGAATCTTTGTGATTCAATATTTTCACACATATGAAAAGTTTTATAAAATTAATTTAAGTGACGACAGATAATCCACAGGTACCAAGACAAACTTTATAAATTTAGATATTCAATTTGTTTTCTGTTCAAGAATGTAACAGCAACTGTGATAATTTGAAATGTTCTAGCTAAACTCAAAAATAAAATTATTAACTCGAGATCGCCCATTTAAACTACACATTTTTGTGACGAGCAATAATTCCATTATTTTTTTTATCCATTCTGAAATTTAAATTAAAGATATTGATTAAATTAAAGTATTTGGATAGTTGTAGAATAATAAAACGTATTATTCGTATGATTTACAATATGTATCAGAGTTCAAATCGTGTCTAAAAAACAAAAAACTAACGAATTCGGAAACTTACAGCAGTTCCATGTCACCAAAACTTGAATCTTTATCCTCGTCCGCCATTATTAATATTTTTTTTAATTAAACCAGGAACCAATGCTTTAATGATAGAAATTAGATGCTAGAGTGTATATATTCTTGATAGGGTTTCAAATAAACAAAAGCTAGAGTCAGTGTTGCAAGTCTTTTTCATTGACTATTCACTCGGTAGTTGCTAAGCAACTGTAAACAAACTTGGGAGAGTTTATTAAAGCACGTGTCTCACCAGTGACAATTTGTAAGGCCGTTGGTTGCGCATGTGGAAATTGCAATATACATCGTTACATGAAGAAATGCAGCGAAATGAGTAAATGTAGTATAGTCAGTAATAATAAAATGATTAAAGTCGCCCGAGTAAACAACGAATTTCACTTAAATTATTTTGTGTACGGATAGGTTTTCGTAGGAATTTTAAATCAAAAAAAAAAAAAAAAAAAAAAAAAAAAAAAAAAAAGAAAAGATAAAAATTAAAATACATTCAAGAAAGATTAATTTTAATTTCTAACCAAGAGACAAAAATTTTGTCACAAAATTCGTTAAAAATTCAGTTATACGAAACACGAGTAAAAAACAAAACAGTAAAAGCAAAGTGTAGATTTTTTGTTTTGAAAACATTTTCACTTTGTATGTGTGTGCCCTGAGAATGATTAAATTCTACATTTTTCCTTTTGAAAATTCACTTTTTTAAAAAAGTTTTCAGAAAAAAACTAAACTGTTACAGTCACTAGTTTAAACATTATTCATTTGTTTTTATTTAAGTTGTAGGTCTTTTCCCGTTAATCTAACATCCATTTTCAAGTACAGAAACCTAAACGTTATAAGTAGCATTTTATTTTTTTTCTGCGACTAAGAAAACAATTCACGGTATTACGGAAAGTAATCTTCAGTTCCAAACGCCTCGTCTTAGCCTAGTAACTCCAAACCTAGCCACTAATTAGCTTAAGTTGCTTTTAAGGCTTTCGTACTTAAAAATTACACACCAATTTCGTTAAATTTTTCCACTGCCCTTTGAACAGTCGAGATTATAACATCGGATTTTTGTTAATTCACCCCCAAAATAAAAATAATTTGTAAAATTCACACCTAATTCTCCCAGAGCGAGGCCCTTCCATTGCACTTCGGTTGGGTTGACCTTTGCGATCGCCCCAAATTTTTAAGTGTGGGGGTCTACATTCGCGCTTATCCCGCTAAACAAGCCGAAAACAGTTTTTTTTTTCTTTTTTAAGTTGTAAAAAATTTCTTGTCAGTACCTCGAATATCATCCGAACTTACGAAATGTGAATAACTCCCTGAATTTTGGTAATTTTTAATTCTGAGGGTGGGAGTTGTGCCGAGGCAAGCTAAATAAATTCCGATTTAAAATTTATAATTTCTTGGGGTTGATTAATATAAATTTGCGATTCGTAACTTTACATTATTTGGGGTGAATTAACAGAAAAGATCCGTAAAATCGAACGCAAAGTTAGATTCTAGATATGTAAATTTTTTAATCGTACCACCAATTTTTAGAGCCTTTTCATTTGTTGTATTTGTTGCTAATTGGAATAAAAGCATTTATACAGGTAAATCAATGGTAGTCATTGTTAGGTGAAAGGAAATGAAATAATAAATTTCATCAAGGTGATTTTCATGTTTTTTTTTTCATATATCGTTAATAAATGATTAACAGTAACACTATTTGATAGTTTTTATTTAGTGGCATCTCAACCTCTATATAGGTTTTTTACTTTTATTTAGTGCCGAAACTTAAATTTTTTAGACAGGTTTTTTTTTTAAGATAATAAAATAATGGTTTTTAGTGACAAGTCTTACTAATTAAGTCATATCTTTGGTGGGGGGGGAGAAAAGGTAGATTCATACCTTTTCAAAGCGTATTTGCGCGTAAGTGAATATAACGAACCCAACTGAAATTGGAACACTGTTCGAGTAAAAATTTCATTCATCCATTATTCTCTACGACTTTCGATGTTGTAAAATCTATAAAAACCAAAACAGTCACAAATTCGAAAACCACTGGCTTCTAACGTCAGTCTTATATACCTGTAGCGATAGTCACAGGTTGGCTATGATTCGTTGACAACCAAACATTACCACTCTCATGCAAATTAGAAAAAACTACCATGCAAATTTATCAGTGATGCCATCTATGTTGAGCAATTGTCTTTTCTAAACAAACAATTAATCAAGAAAAAACAACTCTTACATAGACCAAATACACTAAGCGTTGTATTTCCCAACCAGGGGGCCACGGACCACGTGGACAGGTTCCCAACCAAGACTCCACCACCATTATTATTATTATTATTATTATTATTATTATTATTATTATTATTATTATTACTACTACTATTACTGCTACTACTACTTCTTCTTCTTCTTCTTTGATGTGCCGTGTCCCGCCAGGACACGGAGAATCATGGCTCTCTATAACTTTCTACCCTTTTCTGCTCTAAGTAAGGTCTGTCCTTTCACCATTCCTCGCAGTCTCTGTCCTGCTATTCATTTATACACGCTCACTGCTTTCCTCAGTCCGTCTTGTCTTCAAGTGAGTGTCATATTCTCCAAGCCCTCAACAACTTTTAAAAAAAATCAAGATTTATGCGTAATTAAAAAAAAAAACTGATCAGTTTTCAAAATGCTGGATAAGAACATGTCCCGCATTAACTGATGCGAGACAATCCCACAATTTGCGGTAAGTTTTTCAAACCTTAGGCGCAATCTAGTAGAGGTCTTTTTTTTGTATCGATTTGTTTCTTTTTATATATAAAATAGGCCGAATAAAGATGGGCAACTGCTTCAGGCCCAAACATAGCACTCCCTGTCTCTTGATCACACTACGTAAGATGAGTGAGAAGAGCATATAGGATCCATTTTTTTTAACTTTTTTTTTAAGCATTTCACCCCAAGCAAGGCGGGAAGCCACTAGCACGCAAGGGGTTACAGAGAACTGAAGCGAGACCAAATAGGAGTGATAGAGGAAAGGATGAAGAGAAGGATAGGGGATAGGTCGAGGCATCTGGAGACGTCGATTGACATTACATTTAAATAGTTGGAGATTATAGCTATCGGGGAAACAAGAAATGGGGAGGGAGTTCCACAAGCGAGAAGTGCGAGACATGAAGCTATTGAAGTAGAAGAGAGGGCTACATTTAACAGTTTCGACAGTACTTATGCAATTTTTAAATACAAGGTCCAAGAACCACTCAAGGTAGAGAGTTAGTGAATGAGGTTGTAAGGGGGGGAGTGTATATGATGAGAATATATAGGTTAGCTAACAGTTGATACTACATTGAAGACAAACATAGCATCAGTTAATTATAATTTAATAAGATAAGCTTAATATTTTAATCATAATAATAGTATTTTAAAATTTTGGAAATAATTAATTTATTTAAATTCTTTTTTAAGACCATCAAAGTTTGAGTGGAAATGTTCATAAAATTTTAACAACTATTAATAAAAGTTTTGGCCTAATTAATTTAATTTTTACAGCTTGGTTGGCTAAATATGCAGATAGTGTCATGGTTAGAGACTCGGAACGCGAAGTCTTTCTCACAGATAAACTTAGTACTCTTGTGGAAAGGTACGAATCCATTTCGTTTTCCCCAACCATGGGTTAAATTACAAAGCAGACAAGACTTTCTAGCCGTGACTAGCAACCAGTATAGGAGAAAGACAGCTTTGAATTTAAAACCGTATGTGGGCACATACTTATACTTTAATTAAGATCCGTTTAAGCCACAGGTTAAGTCTTGTGGATGTTGATAGACCTACTCACCAAAAAGAGCTGTCGTGCTCAAGATTAGAAATTTTACAGATTTGCCGTGAGTT